TTTTTTGGAACAATCTATGCATGGTTATCAGGGTTACCATTGATGATTATAGCAGTTTTAAAAACTGAAAAGTTGAATTATGATTTGCTATTGACGAATCTAAATAAGGTTACAGATCCCCAAGAAGTCCTGAATTTGACAGATCATCTTATCAAACTGTATAATATTTAAGATGCAGATTCATAATTAATGATTGATGGATTCTTAGAAATACACAGAGCCACTTGTGCAAGGGAAGATTGTTATTTAAAATAAAAGAAATTACCAAATTAGAGATTGGCTAAACCATTCTTTAAGGATTAAAACCTTCATGAAAGGGATGTTGATTTACTGATGGTTTTAGGTTAAATTTACTTCAATTAAATAAAAAGATTCCCAAACGAAATATCATTGAGATTGAGATACTCATTGTTTCTGCTGGATCTCATGAAGTAGAGATAACAAGCATTAAATGAACTGATATAAACAGAGCAATTATGTCCAAGCTTTGATAATGAATTCATAATTTTTAGGTATAAGTAAATTGTAGAATATGAAATGAATGCAGCATAGAATGAAAATATGGGTAATTTGGATGTAGCAACAGAATTAGCATTTTAGAATCATATGAGATCGTTTTAGAATAAAATTGAAAGAGCCACACTCATGCATATGGACTTCTGGTCCTAATTATAAGAGGATTCTCCAGATTTAGGCAAGATGAACAATATTGGAGCGAAGATTAATTTAGCAATCACATAGGTTGAAGAGCTTTGGAATAAAATGCAAATGATGACACAAAATTTACCTAAAGCAATGAGGTTATATGGAAAATTCATTATTGAAGTATTACAAGATAAAGACTATGGAGAAGAATTATTGGAGAAGGCTCGTAGACTATAATAGTAAAATAGCAAGAACAAGAATAAATAGATGATTTCGATATTAAGTGGTGAAGATTTGAGTTAAGAGCCTAATCCCACTACCTTGGTTTCAACCGCAGCTGAGAAATTTGCTCAGATAATCAACTTAAATTTATCATGTTGCAATTTATTTGGATATAGCAAGTCAGAAATGATTAATAGAAAGATCAACATTTTTATGCCAAATCTTTATGCTAAATTCCATGACTCTTATGTTGAACACTTCCTTTAGACAAATGACAATAAAAATATTAACAAAGAGAGACTAATTTACATTAAATTGAAATCAAATTACATAGCCCCATGTTTTTTAATGTTGAAAATCATTCAATCTTTGGATGACAATTTATAATTGGCTGCACAATTTAGATTACCTAAAATATTCAGACCCACATGTTATATAATCACTGATTCAGAGGAAGTTATAGATTCTATATCAGCCTCGTGTATTCCATTGTTGAGTATCGATTAGAAAGTGATTTCCCACAAAAAGGTGTCTTTGATAGATATCTTTCCAAAATTTGCAGAAAATAAATCACAATACTTAACTAAACTAGGAGGACTGTTGTAATTTTCAGCCCAATAGTCATAATTTAGTAATTCAAATATAACAGAAGAGAAGGAATAAGAACAAATAACATTTACGTGTTACATGAGCGAAGTAATGAATGATACAACAGATCAATTGGCTGGCTATATCATAAGATTAGAATTGCAAGGATAAGATCAAAGTGTCAATTAAGAACTGCTTGCAAACAACCATCCTTTAAAGAGTGGGAGCAGCTTATAATTCAAGTTTAACCCTCAACGTGCGATGTTTAGTGGAGAATTCGTAGCAGATACTAATTCTTAGAGGGTTGATCAAACCATCTTATGGGATCAAAATGATTAATCATCTATGATATCTTCAAATTAGGTTGATGTTCTAAATACAGGGAATATAAGATCATAAGTGAAGACTGATAAATCTGAGGAATAGAATGTAAACAATAAGATTAACTATGGAGAAGGTATTAAAATATTAAGATTGTTTGAAAACAGGATCTAAGACATAGATGATAAGGACGATATAATGTCAGATGATGAGGAGATTGGGAAGAATAGTGTATTTTAAAATAATCAAGAATAAGCATTAGAGAATGATCAATAAAGAAACGAGTAGAATAACATATTTAGATCCAGAAAAAATCTATTTTAAATTATTAATAGTAATTAAACACCCAAAGTGATCACCAAATTAGGTTGGACTGCCAATATACTTGCATTGATCTTGGTTGTGCTTTCTTTTGTTGATTTCTTCATTATCTATGCGTAATATGAGGACATCTATAATACAATCCTTCTAGTAAGGAGCTAAAATTAAAGGAATGCAGAACTCTAAACAATAACAACGAGTGTCCAGAATCTCTTAATGTTAAACTTAGATGTTTGGCAATTAAAAACAGATGCTGATAAGACAACTTATGAGACTACTTGGAAAACTAAATTGAATAACTCAATTACTAATGTTGACAGTCTAAATAAAGATTTGATGCTATCAAATATAGGCTTAAGTGATTCAATAGTAAATATGTTGAGTTCTGATATTGTCACAATGAGATCGAGTGATGGCAATGAATAGTTGTATGATTTATCTGAAGCAATTTAATAAATAATCAGTAAATCGCTTATCATCAGAGATAAGAAAATTGCCAATATCAGTATGAAAGATATTGATGTAAATTTTGTGCTTTATAATTCTTTAAATAGTCTGATCTATTAATTGAGATTATTTTCTACGTTGTATGCCAATGAGTTGAGAATCAAAACTTAGAACAATGGATAAACATTCCTATTAATTCTAGGAGTCTCAGCGGCTGCCATTGGACTTGGATTGATCATTATGATTATTGCTATGATATCTGTTAGCAAAAACTAAGAAGAAGTCCTAGCCATGTTTTTAGATCTACCAGACAAAACTGTTAAATATTTGTATAATAAAAGTGAGAACTTTATTTCTAATTTGTAAATGGGCGAAGATGATGAAATGATGTCAGAAATAGACGATGTGGAAAAAGAGGAGTAGGAAGAATTGAATAAGACTTTGAAGACAAAGAGAAAGAAGAAAAAGTTTAAGAATACCAATAAAGATCAAAGAAACTTTATTTTTGGCATATTCTTTGTTTTGTCACTCACTCAAGGATATTTTGTGTTGAATTATGTTCTAAGCAATACTTTTCTAACTAATCTTGATCAAATGATACCAGAAATCAATGCAACTGCTAGGGCTGAAAGCTTTTATAGATTTGTTGATATAGGAGAAAGATCTTTATTTTTGGATAGAAATTAAACAATTTTGAATCAGGATGCTTACACAATCGTTAAAAGCAATCTTAATTCACTCTATACTTTAGACTCGTCGATGCACCAAGAACATTCATTAAATGTTGAAATTACTAATCAAATATATCTTGATGCTTTTAAGGAAATGTTTATGTCTCAACCCTGTACAATTATGGCTACAGTAATGAATGAAGTTAATGAATAAGATTGTTAGACCTTTGCTGATGGAGCCATCTATTAGGGTATGGCAGTTGGAGTTGCTCGTTACTTTGAAAATTTGAGGTACATAATGACCATATATGATTAATTTTGGAATAATTCGAAAGCTAATTTTACTCAATTGGCTCGTGGATTTGCCACATTCAAAAATATCACTAAGAATTAAGATAATACAACAAATTTAGTTTTAAATCTTAATAATTTCAATCACACAAAAGAGGCAAGATAGATGCAGGACAATTATCATAGGGGAACCTTTCGTTATTTAATTAAAAAAATGATTGAGGGAATTTATCAAGACATGGAAAGTAGTAGAACTTAGCTTCTTGCATTCTTCATTGTATTTGAAGTCCTATTGTTCATTATATATTTCATATTGTGGTTGCCATTGGTTGTTAAAATGACTAAAGATATTTGGAGAACTAGAGCCATGATCATGATGATTCCTTTGAGAGTTATCCAAAATATTAGATCTATTAAAGCCTACATCAAAGACAATATACAGATAAATGATATTGATGTGTGATTTTATATATATCTAATATCTATATTATTTAAATAATTGTGCCAAAAAATAATGTAATTTAATTTGATATTTCCCATCACACAAACGAACATTCTAAATTTCAGAATCTAACGTTTTTGATTTAAATTTATAAATGATTTTCCACTTTGGATATATTCTTGCACTCTTTTCACTTGATATGTATATTTAATTTCCTAATAAATCTAAATAATTGCAATTAATTAATTAATATTTTTTTTATTTATTGTACTCAATAATAATTTATTTAAAAAAGAACAAAAATATCTAATAATTTTAAAATTTAAGTATTATTAGTAGATATAGACCAAATACATAATATAGTACATTCCAGATACTAAGTGACCGATATCTTCACTTATTAATTGATTTTTCACATTTCTATTTTTATGCAAAAAAAATTAAAACTATAATGTAATTAGAGTTTGGTTCATCATCATATAATTGAAATGACCATAAAATCAGTTTTCTTGTAGATTGTTTATATAAATATAATTTATGCTGGATTTTTCAAATATGATAATAATTTAAAATTTATGCTTATAGATAATAATGAAACACATTTAAGTTAATAGTCTCTGCCCTATAATCTTCCACAAGACTAAGAATTATTGCCAAAGGTAAGAATTTAAGAATAATTTTCTTCTTAATAATGATTATTTCAGGCTGTGTTTTTGATTACCCCTATTTAATTTGCAATATTATGGAGTCATAAGAAAAATTAATAAAATTTCAGTTAGAGTATTTTCACTAATAATTTTCTTATTTATACTTATATTACTTTGGCACGATATATTACAGATTTTAGGATATTATTTGAAAATAGATCTAATTGAGGGGCTTGTTTATCGTGTTTTAAATATTTATATAATTTGATTGGATTGGCTGGAGGGAGTGGAAACTGAGGGATTCTTGGGAACTATTGCCAAAAGTAGTTGATAAGGGATTAAAGCTCGAAAAGTATAGATTGTGAGAAGGGGAGGAATAATGAAATTTTATTTATTAAATTAAAAATGGAACTAAAATCAAATTTTGGCACTACAAAAGGTTCTTTAGATTCCGAGAGGTCGATAATTGATAAAATGTAGACTGAATTAAAAGGGGTGTTCTTCCGAGTGATCTAGTTGATGTTAAAGGATGAGGAATAATCCATTCCTTTTACTTGCATTGGAATATTGTTGCAATACATGCAGATCACTTATATTATATTTAATAGGTAGATTTGGAAAGTTTGGCAGAATGAGATTCTATCTAAGCAGCTGAATAAAATCTTTGGGTAAGGACTTTTCTTAAATTAGATATGTACTGTTGACGCCATATTTTGAAATGATAAGTTTTTCTGGATTTGCAGCTATGATGTATGTATGTTTGGGCCTCGTTTTGTTCGCGTTAATGCTCATCTTCTTATTAAGCTACAGTATCAACAAATCCAAGAGTTCATTCACTTGGCCGATAATGCTTCTAAGGTTTTTGATAAGCATATTTCTCCAAGCCTTGTACATGCCAATCATAGATTTACTTTTGTCTATGTTGGCATGTCAGTCCGATCAAAATGGTATACTCAGACATCAACTCTTCGATGTTCAATGTTGGTCCAATATTCACATAGTCCATGCGATCGTGGCCATCTTCGGAACGATATTATTTTTTGTACTCTGCATAATATTCTCCCTATTATACTACGAATCAAGGTACCAGCCACATGAGGCCAGTTCAAAATTGACAGGCAGAGCCAATGCAGTTTTTTTGACATACGAATTGATAATGGTTATTTGTTACACATTTATGAATGGTAAGAATTATGATTATTTGATGATATTAATTATGATGGTTGGAAGTTTCACTATTTTTTGGAAAATTCATGTTGAATCTCCATTCAATAATATGTATGTTCAAAAGGCTTGGTCAATGTTGGTGGCAATGAATATGTGGGGTGCAACTTTATTATGTTTTGCTAAATTTTTAGAAGGAGTTCTCTTTTTTGGCACAGTCTACGCTTGGTTGGCAGGTCTGCCATTAATGCTGATTGCTATAATAAGAAGTGAAAAAATGCATTATGATCTACTTCTACTGAATCTAAACAAAGTCTAAGATCCAGATTAAGTACTTCATCTAACAAACCATCTTTTGAAATTGTTTTACAAGAGTCAGCAAAATCAAAATTGCTCGTTGTTGTTAGATGGATTTCTGGAAATACACAAAGCAACATGCACAAGGGAAGATTGTTATCTAAAATAAAAGAAATTAAACAATTCTAGATAATAAAAACCCTTGTTTAAAGAAGGAACTGTGACAGAGAGAGACGTGGACTTGCTTATGGTGATGGGCTAAATCTATTTTAATCAAATCAAGAAGTTTCCAAATGAAATCAGTCTTCGTATCAGATATTCGTTTTTCTTACTTGATAATTTGAGATAAAGGTAACAAGCATTAAATGAACTAATACAAGCAGAAACTTTATGTCCTAGTCTAGATAATGAATTTATTATCTTCAGATACAAAAGAGTGATTGAGGATGAAATGAATACAGCATAGAATGAAAATATGGGTAATTTGGATGTAGCAACAGAATTAGCATTTTAGAATCATATGAGATCATTTTAGAATAAAATTGAAAGAGCCACACTTATGCATATGGACTTCTGGTCCTAATTATAAGAAGATTCTCCTGATTTGGGTAAAATGAATGACATTGGAGCGAAGATTAATTTAGCAATCACTTAAGTCGAAGAGCTTTGGAATAAGATGCAGAAGATGACTCAGAATCTGCCTAAAGCTATGAGGTTATATGGAAAATTCATTATTGAAGTATTACAAGATAAAGATTATGGAGAAGAATTATTAGATAGATCTAGACATCTGTAGACTCAGAATAACAAAATGAAGAATAAATAAACAATATCCCTGATCAGTAGTGAGGATATTGGATATGAGTCATAGCCTACTCTATTGGTGTCTACAGCTCAAGAGAAATTTGCATAGATCACAAATTTGAATTTGGCATGTTGCAATTTGTTCGGTTATAATAAGTCAGAGATGATCAATCGAAAGATCAACATATTTATGCCAAACTTGTATTCGAAATTCCATGATGCTCATGTAGAGAACTTCCTATCATCCAACGATAATAGAAATATTAATAAAGAGAGATTAGTGTATATAAAGATGAAATCCAATTATATTATGCCCTGCTACATTTACTTGAAAGTGATTCAATCCATAGATGATAACGTCTAATTGGCAGCTTAATTCAGAATTCCTAAATCTTTCAAACCTTCGTGCTATTTAATATTGGATAGCGAAGAAGTCATCGATTCAATTTCATCGTCTTGCATTCCTTTACTGAACATTGATTCTAAGTTAATTTCTCATAAAAAAACACCGATTACTGAGATATTACCAAATTACATGCAATAGAAATAATTGTTCTTATCCAAAGTGGGAGGTCCAATCGTTTTCAATCCTGCCACTCAATCGGGTGTTAGCAATAGTCAATTGGCTTCTCAAGAATTAGATGATCAAGACAAGAAAGACGACAATATTCAGTTTTAATGTTACACTTACGAGGTAATGAATGAAAACCAAGACTAAGTTGTTGGATACATTGTTAAATTAGAGTAATAGGGAACGGAAGTCAGTATGAACTTGGAAGTCAACAATTTATAATAGAAAGTCCTTAGTAATAGTATGCAATTTAAGTACAATCCTTCTAAAGCTCTGTATTTAGGAGAGTATGTTGCTGAATCAAATTCACAAAGAGTTGATTAAACAATTCTGTGGGACTAGAATGATCAATCCTCGATGATATCTTCAGTTTAAGGAGGCGTTGAAATTCTTAAGTCTTAGGTTAAGACAGAAAAATCAGATGAGCAAAACGTGTAATAGCAAGTTAAAATCAATTATGCAGAGGGAATCAAGACTCTGAGGTTATTTGAGAATAGAGTGCAAGACATAGATGATCGAGAAGAAATGATGTCAGAAGAAGATGATCAGTAAGGAAAGAGTGTTTTCCAAAGACAATAAGATGTGGACAATGAGTAAGAAGGTTAACCACAGGATTTCAATAATGTATTTAGATCAAGAAAGAATTTATCACTTGTAGTCAACAGTCAAGTTACCCCTCCTGTTGTTACCAAGTTAAGTTGGACTGCCAACATTTTAATACTCGTATTGGTAGCATTGAGTTTTGCAGATTTCTTCGTTTGTCAAGCACAATATGATGAAATATTTAATACAATCTTATTGGTAGAGGATACCAATTTAAGAACTGCTGAATTGCATACTATTTTATCAACAACTCAAAATTTGCAGATGTTGAATTTGAATATTTGGAGGTTGAATACAAGTGCAGATATTACTGCATATGAATAGTAAGAGAAATCTAAACTTAATAAATCTATATAGTAGGTTTCTTAGTTAAATAAAAATTTGATGTTGTCTGACATCTTTATCAGTGATGAATTATCTGAATTGTAGAGTGAGGATGTAGTCAAAATGAAATTTGGAGATGAGTATCAAAGTTATGACATTATGGAAGCTACTCAATAAATTGTGAGTAAAGCTTTAAATGTACGAGATAAGTAATTAAGTAAAATTGTATTTGAGGATGATGATGTTGGGTTTATCATCTACAATCTCCTCAATGATCTCGTATTCTAATTAAGAAATTCAAGTAACTTATACGCAATGGGTTTGACTAATAAAACAACTGAGAAGAAAGAGACATTTTTAATTATTTTAGGTGTATCAGCAGGAGCCTTGGGTTTGGGGCTGTTGCTCTTGACTGTCATAACGCTGTCTGTCAATAAAACGCAGGAAGAAATATTGTCGATGTTTTTAGATATTCCAGACAAGACAGTCAAATATTTGTATAATAAGAGTGAGAATTTCATTTCTAATCTCCAAATAGGAGAGGAGGAGGAAGTATTATCAGAGTTAGAGGAACTGGAAAAGGAGGAATAAGAGGAACTTAATAGAACATTAAAGAGTAAAAGGAAGAAGAAGAAGTTTAAAAATACTAATAAAGATTAGCGCAATTACATTTTCGCATTCTTTTTAATCATTTTGATTTTGTAGGCCTATTTTATATTCAACTATTTTATGTCGGACACTCTTCTGAGCAATTTGGCTTAATTGGTGCCTGAAATTAATGCTACTTGTAGAGCAGAAGGCTTTTATCGATTTGTTGATAATGCAGAAAGATCACTCTATGTTAATAGGAACATGACAATTTTGAATGAGGACTCATATACGATTGTAAAGGCTAACATTGATAAGTTGTATGCATTGGATTCCTCAATTCATTAGGAACATTCATTGAATGTGGATATCACCAATTAGATATATTCAGATGCATTCAAACAAATGTTTATGCTTCAACCATGCACAGTGCTATCTTAAGACATGAATGAGATGTCAGAGACTGATTGTTAGACATTTGCTGATGGCGCTATGTATTAAGGAATGGCAGTTGGAGTGGCACGATATTTTGAGAATATTAGATACATAATGACAATTTATGATCAATTTTGGAATAATTCTAAAGCCAATTTTACAACGATTGCTAGAGGTTTCACCACATTTAAAAACATTACTTAAGACTCTGATAATATAACCAATAACATTCTGAATCTAAACAACTTTAATTAATCGACGGAATCAAGAGTGATTTAGGAAACTTACAATAGGGGTAATTATATATGTGATTACTAATTTTAGGAACATTTAGGTATTTAATGTCGTAAATGCAAGCAGGCATCAACAATGACATTGAGAGTGCCAAAACTCAAAGATTGGCATTATTCATTGTATTTGAGGTCTTGCTTTTTATTATTTACTTCATTTTATGGTTACCATTAGTATTGAAGATGACAAGAGATATTTGGAGAACAAGGTCAATGATAATGATGATCCCATTGAGGGTGATACAAAGAATTAGATCAATTAAGCAGTTTATCAAGGAATTTTTACATGCGAAGGATCTTGATTCTTGATATAATTATCTATATATGTATGCTGATTTTATAAATTAACAGAAAAAAAAATGGATCAAAAATAGAAGATGCAACACCTTATGAACAATTTCATGAAGAAGGAATAAACAAAGCAAAGTCAGGTGACGATTAAGTTGTATGTGAATAATGAGTTTTCATAATAAATTTAATATCCCACTTGCAATTAGACCGCCACTCAATTGGTTGGTTACTTGCGAAACTTGCTTAATCAGACTTAGATTGTAGGGTTTCAGAGCTTGGAAAGTAATATTCATCTAGATTACTACTTAACAACAAATAAGGATTTGGGAGTATTGAGTAATCAAACTCTCTCTTTAAAGCCTTTGTATGGGATATATCAGAATGCGATCAACTTGGATTCCTTTTATTTTTTGTAATGCATAGGGATAGGTGGATTCAGCAGAGTCTATTTGGTTAGATATAAGTTTAACGGCTAATTTATGGCATTGAAGATGATTTCAAAATCATTCATTGAGTAAAATGACAAATTTCAGATTGTTCAGAATGAAAGAGATATTATGGTGCATCTGGCCAACAATAATAATTCGCATCCAAATCTTTGTAAATTGTTGTGCTCCTTTGAAACCAAAAATTGGGTATGTTTTGCAATGGAATACTGTCCTGGCGGTGAATTGTTCTAACAATTGAAGAGAGTGAAGAGGATGGATGAATAATAGGCAAAATTCTATTTTAGTCAAGTGTGTATGGCAATCCATCACTTACATGAAAACAAGGTCATTTACAGAGATATCAAGCCTGAGAATATCCTTATAGATGCAGAAGGACACATTAAATTGGCTGATTTCGGATTGGCCAAACCCAATGTCGAAGATGACAAATTGGCATACTCCTTTTGTGGTTCTCCAGAATACATGGCTCCAGAGATGCTGTTGAAATTGGGACACAATTATTAGATTGATCATTATTGTCTAGGAGCACTCCTATACGAACTATTGACAGGGTTGCCTCCCTATTATTCTAACAATCCAGAACAAATATACTAGAATATTTTGTAGCATGATCTCCCTTTGCCAAATAAGAATATAAGTGCTGAGGCCAGAGATTTAATATCTAAGTTGTTGTAGAAAGACATGCAATATAGATTGGGAAGAAATTACGGAATCTACGAAGTATTGAAACACCCTTGGTTATAAGAATTCAATTTATATAAATTGATTAATAGATCTTATGATCCTCCATTCAAACCAGATCTATTTAAAATGAACTTTGATCAAAAGGAAATAGTTAGTGGAGAAAATCAGTTTTAGAAGGAATTATAAAAGTCAATCAATTCTGAAGCAGAAAGCATTTTTAGTCCTTTCTTCCACAATTTCTATTATTCATCATTTTCTTGCAAATAACCTTAAAGGTCCTCCTCAATTACCCAAATAAATATCTCGAATGCTGACGACAAATTCACTAATATATTACTGAGTACAACTAAATCTAAACATGCTTCTTAGGCTCATTCATCGTCTAGTCAATCTTAATTGAAGAAGAAGAAAGTCACATAGAACGATGTTGAGAATAAAGAGAACTTAGTCAAGAATAACACTTAGATGATGTTGAAAGCTGGGGCTAAACACAAGAAAAATAATTAAAGTATGCCCGATAACGTTTTGAATGTTCAACAAAATGAATTGAGATCATATTCATCTTAAAAAGTAAATGAACAATTACAAAAACTTGCAAATACTTATTAAACCAATCAATTGAAATCGCCTTCAATTGAAAATGATGAATAAAAGTAATAAAAATTATTATTTGGTGAAAATAAATAGCTTAATAAAAATTAGTCTAATTAATGTTCTCTTATCAGATATTTTAAATAATGAATTTATTCACAACATATCAATAATTTCAATCCTATAAAAATTTTGAGAATTTAACATTTAAAAGTTGTCTCCTCTCTCTTTCCTCCTTTCTCCACAAAGTCTCATCTAATTAAGCGTGCTCAGTTCTATCCTCCTTCTCTGCATCAAACTCTATTTATTTGTCACCCTACTTAATTGTTACTTGTAATTTCACCTAGAACAACCTCTTATAGATGTCTGCCATAACTATTTCAATCTCATTCTTAACCTACTTAATAGCCCTACCCTCCTCTCCAATAACAATCCTCGCTTATGATGAAGTTTAAACATTGATTTAGACTTCAATTTTAGCTGACTCCTTGTTAGTGACTCTGAACTCTTTCACATATATGCCAATAATGAATGGGATTTCATTATAGAATCTTTTAAATATTGCTTATCTCACTATTTATTCCAATTAATCCATTGGGGTAAATAGATGTTTCTGATTTTCGTTGTATTTCCATCTACATTAAAAGCTCTGAGAATACAGATATTATTTCAATTCCTCCATTCCATACCCAGTTAAAGAGGATATATAAAATGTCTAATCATACTTTCCTAGATCTTCCATCTCAGTTTACAACCACTTCAACTTCTTCTTATTAAAACATAAATCCATCTTATTAAAAACAAGTATTTTAGGAATTGGTTTTTCCTCTGACAATTTGAAATCATCCTCATTTCTAAAGTAACTTCTTAATTGTTCTTAATCTACTCTAATTTTGTTTAATCTTGACATGACATTCTTCATGCTAATATCTAAAGTCTTTATTGCATCAATTAGAACGATCACCATATTGGTGTCTTCGATAGCATCCCACGCCTTTGTCACGAAATGCTTTGAGAATTTGTAACGCTTGGTCACTCCTGGAGTATCCACAAGCTCTATCTGAACACCACTTTTGACATCTGTGTGCACTCCTCTGATTTCTGAGACTGTGGTATTACTCTTGTTTGATACAGCACTTATTGGCTCACCTATCATCTGATTCAGAAATGTGGATTTCCCTGAATTGGGAGGTCCAATGATGGACACAGCCAAGAATTTCTATTCTTCAATGGCAACAGATGGTTTTTGTGCTAATGGTTTCAATAGTATTTTATTGGAGACCTTTGTTCCCAAATCAGTGGTTTTAATAGCTTGTTCGTTGATAGTGTAGAGAGTGGCTGGTGTTTCATAATCTTCCAATAGAAATCGCTCTGGTTTTGTTGGGGACAGAATGTCAATTTTTTTAGTCAATGGATTAGATGGGTGCTGATATGGTCTTAGTGTTTTTGCATCTATTTTTTTAGGAGGAGCATACTTTCTCAGTTTCTACAAATTAGACATGCAATAACCACAAATTTTGAACATTATATTATATTTGAAAAACAAAATAGAAAAATTATATAAAAAACTTCAATGAATTTTATTTCTTTTGAGGACTTTAATTAATTTGGGTTTTTCAACGCTTCTCTCTGTTTTTAATTTCATCTAATACAAATCTAAGATATTATCCTTTTTGGGCTAGCTCTTTGTGCTCGTATTGAGTGTGCTTCGATAGGAGTTTTGGGTTTAAATGTTAGAATCTTCATTTTTTGGAATAACTAATTTTCTATTTTAGAGCTGCTAATATGTTAACTTCATTTAATTTATTTTCTAGTTGGTTTTGAATGAACTTGATAAACTGGAACCTTATGGTTTAGGTTTACTTAACAGTTTATGAATTTACTATAACAGATAACAATATTGGGTAGTACCTACTGCAATTAATAGCTAATGGAGAAGGGTTTTAAGACGTTGTTCAAATTAACAGTATTGGATAGTTTCATTTTTAAATCTCCTGCCGACTTAATTATCTTCAATTGCTTCTTCACTATGAAAGATGAGAAACTGAATTATATACCATCCTAAGATTTGGATCCATAAAACTATTTGCTAAGTGACTTGAAATAGTCGTCATCGTTTTCTTTGAAGACTCTAGATTCCACAAGTTGAGATTCATCATTCTCAACCATGAAACTAAGAAACTATTCATCATTTTTCATTTTTTTATATTTTTATTTAATAATTGGGCTTGTTAATGTAGAAACTATAGTTAGAAATCACTAAGTAATCTTAATAGGAGAGTATTTTACAGTTTTAAAGAGTTGGAAGATATGCTAGAAGAATAACTAAGAGGAACATAAGGAAATTATATTACAGATAATTAAAATTGGATAAAAATATAAGAAGTATGATATTAAGAATCTAAAAATATAATTAAAAGAAGCAATCATTAATGGAGATTTGTAATTTTCTTAAATAAAATACATTTTAAGAATAATACCAAAAATTTAAGTGGGATCATTATCATTCAATCAGAGTCAGAAATATCTGAATCTTAAATAGGAATAGTAAAATTAAGCAATTGCCAACTACTTTGGTTGTTTTTTCTCCAAGTTAGTTCTAAAATTGAAAATTATTAGATCAAGAATGAAATCTTAAAGATAACCATCTAAAATCTTTTAGTAACTCACTGAGATAAATAAAAGCCTTAAGGCAGAAAATTGATGGTTCGCAAAAGATGTAAAATGATTGAAAAGCACACTATTTTAATAAATCGACCCAATTGACTTTAGTATAAGTAGTTTACCAATAATTACAATAAGTAATTTTATGAAAATAATGATTATGATAATAATTTGAACATTAATAAATCAAATAAATTCTCTATTTTATTATCAAAAAATGAATAGTTCTTTCATTCATTAATTTGATTATTCACGCTTGGTTAAAACATTCAAAAAAATTATATATCATACTAATCCTAAATTGAAATTCAATATAATGAAAATTGACATATCAAAAAGTCAACTGAACTTAAGAATTGGATTATATAACCAAGTATTGAATAAATAAATTTGTGATTGATTTAATTTTTAAAATTAAATAAGTAGACCAAATTATAAAAACAATAGACATTTAAGATCTACATTAAGTTAATAAGTTAAGAATATTAATAAAAGTTTAAGAGGGACTTCTCGAAAGTAAGATCTCAATTTAAATCATTGATTTATTGTATAGCATATTTGAAAAATTAAATTACATTAACAACCAAGAATGACAACAGAATAGAAATTCGATAAGTTTGTAAACATTAGAGCTATCAATTTTATCGAAACTTAACTTAGTGAATTTTTGAAATGTTTATAAACTACTGATTCATTATGATAATTTCATAATTCGTTCATTTAAAAAAGAGTTACTAATACTTATTAGCCTTTTTAAAAGGTCTATATTCATATTAATCTGCCATATTATCATTAATGCCGAATGGTCGATTACTTAATTTAATTTATGAAACTAATGTACTTTAGGTACTTTTTTAGTGTTCAGTCTTTTATTGCTAACTGATTGCAGATTGGGGTTTCATAGAAAATTCTCTAAAGTTGTAAGATTTGAAAGACTATACAAAGGAAGGATTGAGTTTAGGTTTCCTTTTGATTCTTGTTGAAGAAGATTCATCGGGATTAATATTGCATTCACTTGATTCCAGATATTTGGACTTTAAAGAACTTGATCTACTTGATGGTTTACGAGTAGAGGAAAACCTGGAGAGTTTCTCAGTTGAATCAGCAGGAGATTTGATTTTATTGATTGACTTTTCAGTGTTTTCAGCAAAGCGATTAATTCTCCTATCTGTTCTGATTTCATGTTCTTGATAGGTGTAATCACATGATACATAATTGATGTAGCATTAGCATTGACACTTACCAATATTGATTGTTCCCATATTCTTAATTTAATTTAATAATTGAGTTAATTATATAGAATCGATTGATAGGTTGGATTGATGATGTAAATAATGAAATCAATTTCCTATAAAATAACCTGCGACTAAGGCAATTAAAACAGCCACAAATAGTTAAGAGAGAGTCAGATTACTCTTATCTAAGAAATAGTGATATTTGAATTACCCTTTCTTAATTATGCTTATTAGGTTTCAGCTTCAATTTTCTTTCTGAATTCAAGATATTCTTGTTACTATATTATTAGATTGTATATATATTTACAAGCTTTTCAAATTGGTCTTAATATTGTTTAATTTGCTCATCCTTTTCTGATTTTGGTTCGATAACAGACTTGAACATTTTGGATTCTTATTATTGCGAATTGCTAGCATTGGAATCAAGTATTTTGGAATCAGGAGCTGACTGAAATGAATAAGCATCTTGTTGAGCATTCTATTATTTTATTCTGCTTTTAATTTATTAGGATTAAATAGTTGATTGATCTCTGTTTTTCCAAAATTAAGTCAGATCTAAGCAATATTAGACATTATATCAAGTACCTTGATCAGGAAAGTCAATAAAGCAAGCATTAACTTAAAATTTTGGATCAAATTTTGCGTCAGTCTTTATGGGTTGACTTGTAGATATCTCAATAACTTGGGACTAATTGATATTGATAACACCAACGCTTGGTTTTACTTGAAACAAGGTAGGCGTTGTTGTTTTTATCTATTTTATTTGAAATTAATGATACTTTGAATGCGACATCTTGTTATGTCAAATTTTTAAGGGATAATTGAGCGTGTGCTAATTTGTTTTCTTCAGCCTCAAATTCTAAAAATTGTTTAGGTTCGATTTCGATTAGCCCTTGCATAGAGTTAAGAAATTAATTTAAATATTCGATATTAAATTATTTGGTTGTTCATAATTATTCTCTCAAAAAGATGGGAGGATAAAGAAATTCCATCTATTTTGCGTTATATATTAGATAAATAAACAAGTGAATATTTTTCAATAAATATATTAATATAAATGGCTGAATAGTCAAGTATTATTTTGCATTTGCACTCTCTCAAGGACAGCATTAAAAGCGCTTTCAAAGTTTTTGAGGATATTGATATCCAGTGCCAAGAAGAAGAGATCAAGCAAAACCATACCTAGGCGGTAAGTAAGCAATTTATCATTAGGTTGAAGAGAACAAACAATATCAAGAACCAAAATACATCACATTAACTGATTAAAAAAGAGTACTCAATAATTTTGATAATTTAATTTGTTAATTATAATTAGTTACACCATTCTATAGTGATCAAAAATAGTACTATATAAAATAATTAGTTTAACCTTTGACTAGAGTGACAAGAACAAAAAGCAAGCCCAACTGAAAAACCAATAGATGTGGGATCAAATTAAGTAAGAATAGAAAGAACGATTTGCAAAGTACCAGGATGAAGCAATTGTAGATAAAATATTCTAATTGGATACTAAACTGAAGGAAGATTATGAATACAGTCTTCAATACATGAGTGGTAATTAAAAAAAAACAATACAAATCAAATTGCATGACATTCAAAAATTAAATCCACCGAATTATTTGAATGATGGCATCATTAACTTTTATCTTAAGTTTATAGAATCCGAATTGATAGATTAATCATTACGAGCCAAAACCTACATCTTCAATACATATTTCGTATTGAAACTATGTGCTTTTGAGAAATTATAGATGATTGGCTAAAATGACCATCCAAAACTGAATGAACTATTTAAGTTGTCATATGAGTAGATTAAAAAGTGGATTAAAGAAGATTTAACTGAAAAAGAGTACTTGTTATTTCCGATTAATTTGCCAGAACATTGGTCTTTGTTGATAGTACACAAAAAAACCAAATCATTCGCTGACTCATTGATTATCTACTTGGATAGCTTTGGAATTATGGATCAAAAACTAATCACAATCATCAAGATGTAATATTTGTATTCCATAACATTTCAAGGTACCTTCACAAAATCAATTGTGATGTGAATTCAATTGAAGTCAATTACAATGATTCACCCATTAAGCTTATCCCAGCCTATTAATTATTGGTGCCTCGCTAAGTTAATTACGTTGATTGTGGAGCATTCCTTTTAGAATATGCAGAATCATTTCTATCAAATCCCGATTATCTATTGTCAGATGTTGAATCCCAAGATGGAATTTATAAATTAAAATTGTTTCCAAGATCATTGATCTGTAATAAGAGGTTGTTGATGAAGTAACTATTAATTGATCTACTTGAATTTGATAAGGAGACTGCCATTTCTCAGTACTAACAAAAAAGATAAGCTATTATGGACTAATGCAGTAAGATTTTAATTTTAATTATAGAAAATGAAGAAGATGAATACGATCAGATTGATTAAGCAGTTTTTAAGGAGTTTACTAATTAAAAAAACTAAATGAACATTGAGCATAGATAGTTGCTGCTAGACTTCTATATGAATCCATAATAAAATTATTATGAATAATGAAATTTAGAATTCAATTCATTTCATCTATATATATCAATATTAAAAAGAAGAATTATATCTTTTATGTTCAAATTTTGAAAATAATTTTTAAGCGTGATCACATATTTAGATATCTAAATGAACATACTTAATTCTAATGATAGAAATCATTACCTTTGGAATTGATAAAGAATAATTTTCTCATAGATCTAATTTTAGGGGGATATGAATATAATTATTAATTTTTTATTAATAAATCAATTGAAATACTTCTAGAATTAATTATAAGTTATTTAGTAAGGATAATCTTAGAATGATTAAAAAAATTGTAAAATATGTTTGCCCTTAACATCTAATACTTTGAAGTCGTCCTATGTAATTATTCCATCCTAATCCAAATCTATGAAATTGAATATTATATCAATATTCTTTGTGTCTGATCCCAATGAATGAGTTGATTCTTTCCTATATCTAATTAATTCTAAAGATTTCTATATCAATATTCTTATGATTTTCTTGGTTTCATAACTAAACGCCCCCATGTAATTATTTAAAGCCTATTTACTTTCTGGGAACAGGGTTTTAAAATCAGTCAGACTAATTAAATACATTATTTCTTACTCCCATTATGTTTAAGAATGATGAGTCGAATAACTATGGATCAGTTACCTAATTATAAAATCATTAACGTCTATTCCTAATTACAAAAACACAAGTTTTAAATCTTATAACCCTATTGAACCATCAACATCAAGATCAAAAAATTAAAATGCTTGAGAAATAGAATAATCACCTCGACTTGAAAGCTTCATAGATAAACTTAAATACCTCTAATTTTATTTGATCTAATTCTTCATGTAGTTTACCAATTGTTATAATGTGCAATTGAAATTCCAGAATTGACTCTTCCATAACACTAGATGACTTTTTTAATGATTTAGTTGATGATTTAGTAATAGAAAAATGAACGTTTCGATTTGAATTTATGTTTTCTTGATCTGTCTTTTATCTAGATTCACTTCGGTTAATTGATTTTGAACTTTATTATTTACTAATCTATTTCGATAGATTTCCAGTTGATGCTTAATTATTTTTTGGAGGTTTCGAACATTTAAGCAGTTCTTCCCAATCAAATCTATTTACATCTGAATCTTGATCTTTATCTAATCTTCTCATCGCACAAATAACATCTTCAAAACTTATATCTAGATCAATGTTTTTTAACAATTATAAGAAAACTGGAGTGTTTTTATCTGATTTTGGACACAAATAGTTTAACAATGTACTCTTATCAAATCTTAATATCAATGCATCTAGATAAGCTTATATTTTTCGAATAATCTCAATATTCTTTCCTAACACCTTCCCTATTATATTAAGTATGTCAGAATTAGGATTGTTATAATTCATTTGTTTTTAATGATATTGCTTCAAGAATATTTGATTGTTGGGAAGCATTAAGTCCAAAAAACTAATGATTATTATTTTATTTTACTCTTAATAGGTAGTATATTTCAGCAATGATATCTCTCTTAAATCAAAACGTATTTACTAACTTTAGAGAAATACTTCTAAATCATTTCTCGTAATTCTATCTTTCTCATAAGCAAGCTAATATTATTACGATTTTATAACATGTAAAAAGCAGGTCTAATAACTAGCATTGTTATCGGTGATATGAAGAATTAGACTCTGCTTTATATTTTCCAATTCTTTCTCTCCTTAAACAACATCCTTAATCAAATGTACAATTGTGTTTTTACTCTAATTTGAAAACATAATTATATTAATTTTTGTAGCTGTTATGATAAATCACTTAATTATGTAATTGAATGACTATAAATTGAATTTAAGAATATTTACAGGTTTTCAAATAAAAATATAGATACTCTCACTATACTTTATCTGTTTGCATAGCTAGGATAATTCTACTTTGTATAATATTACTAATAATAATACAGGAAATCATCTATGTTATTAGATATAATAAAAACCATTAATATACTAATTTTCAGAGAAGTAACTATTAACTCAGGATTTAAATTACATTCGTAAATTTCCTACAAATTAGAAGCTATTATATTATAAATAGAAATGTTCATTTTTCAACTAAAAAGCCCTTGACACTATATTGCAATTTTAGGATTAACAAACATATTAAACATATGATTAAATGGAAGTTACAGATAGAAATGAAATTATTCTCGTTAAAACTCAACTTTATTTAGAGAGCCAAAAACAATTTCAGAAATTATGTTAGTTTTCAACTTGTGTTACTCACATTATTTAACAAACAACAACATAAGATGTTAGTTAATGTGGCAATTAACAAAAAGTTTGAATTGCATTTAACCAGATATTATTAATTAATCAATCATTATATTTGATCTGCATTAATATAGTATTTTATAATTTTGCAATTTATTAGATAATTAAACAAACCCAAAGTAATCAACAATCTGAAAATCTAAATAAAAAATATGAGATTTCAAAAGATTTTCTCATTGTTTTAAAATTTAGCTGTTGCGAACAGTGGATTTTCCAAATGAGGATGGATTGATTAACTTATTAAAAAGAGAATAAACTATAGAATGAAATGAATAACATAGAAGGGTTTCTCACTATAATGTGAATGATAATATTGAAAAATATAAATTTATTATCAAAGAAATGTCACTGTTTTAACTTTTTTTTCTAACATTCTTTTCAAACTGTATTAAGGAGATTAATAATCCTAGGATAGGTATATTGACATACAAGAATTTTTCTAATGTTTTCAGTTAATGAGTCCCTTTTTTGTTTAATTTTGGGAGGATCCCTGATTGTAATTATTGACTATCTTTAACTCAAGCTTGGTAGCTTCAATTTGACTTATTAATTGCCTTTTTTAATTATGGTTCTTTTCGTTAAATCTATTATGTAAGCATTTCTCTCAACCATAAATGACCTTATTTAGGGTAAACTCTCTTAATGATGTGATGACATGTTTTTAATATTAATATAAATTTTAATTAATTTTGCAAAATTGATCCTAAGTTCGAATTGAGATGAAGTTCTGATTTGCAGATTAAGGTTTAAGCATTCTAAATTGAATTTATTATATATAATATTGATATTATTCTATAGAAAATGAGAGATGAATAAAATTAAGAATTACAATATAAATCCAAAATTAAGTCCAATTATAAATTATAATCCTATCCTGCTAAAAGTGAAAAATTTATATTTGTAAATGCTTTCTATCCTGCCATAATTGAGGTGTTTTAAAAAGAGCGCTAAAGAAACAAAATAAATTGAAAGCTCATTATAATCAGATTGCTTAGGGGTGATTGAAAAATTGTGAAGATTGCTATAGAACAAAATTGAAAATATTAAACTCTAAATAAAATTGCACAAAATAAAATAAATAGTCCTAACTCATTCGATAAAATTATGCATTGAATATATATGTGAATATATAATTAAAATTAATTAACAATATGAATTAGAAATTTAAATTCCATGAGAAAAGCCAATCGTTACCATTAATAGTTAGAAAACCAATCGCAGTTATGAATTAAAAATTGTATGAAAAATATCAGCACTCTCAAAATTACTACTACATAAGGGATATTAATGAAATATTAGGTGATGCTAGTACCAAAATAGTCATTACTTTTAAAGATTAGCTGGCTATCGACGAGGATGTATCTACAGTAATTAATATGAATAGGAAGAATACCTTAAGAGATTTTATTAAATGAAGGAATTTCCCCAAAAAATATAGTTACTCACAGAATATTACAAAGTACATTATTAATACGAAATAGTTCCATATAGATATTGCGCGAGTATTTTAAGAGCCAATCTGTTCAATATTAAACAAATATTATGATAAGAAAAGGAAGTACGATTATTTTAGGATTGCTAAAATGATTGAGGAGGAAAACAAATTAAATCCAAATATACCACCTAAAGGAATAGTGGGTGAGAGACCTTCTCCTGCAAATTCATAAGAATCTGTACTTCTAGATAGAGAGGGCAAGGAGTAACAGAATATCAAAAATATTTAAATATTAAAAGAACTAAGTTGGTTAAAAGTAAGACATTACCATATAATTTCATTAGCCTGAAAAAACTCTGCCTATAGAAGTCTCTCAAACCATAAATGAGTTCTGCAATTAATTAGGATCTGGAGGGGACTAATCATCCCTTTCAATAATTAAATTTACTAAACAAGATAAAGTAACCTTAGACAATTTTCTAATGCACATTGGAAATAAAGCCAATTTGAATTAGAGAACATCTCCAACTACAAGGAAGCCCCAAGAATAATTGATCTAAGAGTTGATTATTAGTTAGAAGGCTAAAATATCCTAGAAGGAAAATAAAAATTATAGCATGCATAATAAGAACGAAACCAAGTATAGTATTGGTTCGATTGAGATACGGAATAATTTTGTGAAGGATCAATTTAATAATATCTCAAAGAAATCAAACCGATAAGCCTCAACAGATATTATAGAGAGTGGAACTAGATTGGAGAACAAACCTCAGGAATTAGTTAAAGTTAAGTCAAAGACTATAGTAAGTAAAAACTAACTAAAAATTAATAAATTCATTGGTGATCTCAATTAAAATTCACCCACTCTATCTTTACATAAGACATCTATATGCTCTGCTTCTTTGAAATCATAATAACCGCCTATTTAATCGTAGAATAACCATAAGCCTAATCAACTAGCTAAACTTTAATTAGAGGAAGTTGAATCATAGTAAAAATTAAGAAATGGTGCAATAACACACAGACCTTTATCTGGAACAAACGCGTTTTTTGGGTCTTCATCAACCAGGAACAGTCCTTCAATTAATTATCAAAAATTGGCCAAACCAAAATAACATAAGGATGATTTTTACAAATAATAGAAACTCAAAACTACTAATTCACCACAAAAAAACCATCAGTTAGAGATGCTTGCAAAAGATCTATTTCTTAAGGCATAAAATGCTTAAAAATAAAAGAATTCTGCACATACAAAGTAGAGTTCAATATAAGATAAGGTGCTTCACTAATATAACAAACAAAAACCTAGTAATGTGTAATAATAATAATAAAACAATTTACTCGAAAAGAAATAACATAAAAAAAATAAATCTGATGGCAGAGCTTTATAAAATTAGTTGTCAATCCATGAATTAGGATGCTTGACTGAAAGAAATGATAAAGAAACGAAGTAATTGTTAAATAAAGTAAATAAAAACAGTTCTCCATAAACTTAAAATTTTAGAAGATTACACAGTGAAAAATAGGAATCACTCTCGAGTAATATGAAAGGGATGTTAATTTAATAGATGTTGAAGCCATTTGTCAAATAAAATCTATAGAGTTAATAGGATCTTAGGTCTCTAATTCAAAGTTAAAAAAAAAAGTTTTGATTATTTAATTCAATTATTTCTAAAAATGATAAGTGTTACATTGTTTATAATAATAAAATGCAAAAATTAGTTTTATTTAAATTATATAATAAAAATAGAAGAATGTTGCTTCTTCACAGCTAACTGTATTCAATCATAAATAATTAAGCAATCTGTTTGGACTTATTTTCTGAAAGTTGTCTGTTTTGTTACTGAACTTTTTAATTCATGATACAATTTATGTCTTTTTGACTGTTTCTCATAATTTTCTGTAATAAAATTCAATTAGATCGATGTATTTCTTCTCAAAACATCACCAATCATGCTAATGGGATTTTGGATTTAATCCTCATTATTTATGCTTTTAAAGTAATCCAATAGTAATTTTTTGGCTTGATATAACCAAATCAGGAGTGTGTTTTTTTAATCATTTCCTTCTTCTTATTCTTCTTCAATTTCTTCGACTGGATCATCTTCTTACTTTCTAGGAAAATTAAATTGAAACTTACAAGCTTTTGTAAATTTGATTCTAAATGAGATCTTCTTCTTCCATCTGTAGCATTTGTTTTATTATCGATTCTATATCATAATTCACAACTGTGATTGGCCTCTTATAGTTGAAACTCTCGGACTTATTGCAATTCAACATGCAAATCTCAAATAATAATTTAGAATCTAGGAATTTCGATTTTTGCAATTAGAATAAGTAGATTACAACACTAGTTTTTGCTTAAACGATTGGAACTTGATAGTAGAACTACTCCTTAGGAATCTTAAGATACTAGGATTCTCCTTCGATTGTTCCAAAGTATAACAGCTATTTGATATCAGAACTACCAAAGTTGGAAATTATTTATTTCATTTTAATTCCACCACCGGACAATCTAATTTGTGATATGCTGTAAACGGCATCAATAGAAAATCTGCTTTCTATCAAAAATTATTGCCAAATTTGACCTCTGATGCTACATTCGAAAATTAGGACAATATAAAATTGTTTCGATAATCTAAGTATGACACTACAGTTACATAGACAAAGTGGATTTCAATTCTTTTTGTAATGCACAGGCACAATAAGAATTATCACATTTTGAACCTACTATTTATGAGCACATTGTTATTTCATTTTGCTGTTCCCAAAAGGATTTTCTTTTTCCAAGCACCAAACCTTTGATAATAGTCAAATTTACTATCAAAATTCAAAACAATAATTTTATTTATTTACACATCTGTTCGTTATGATAAATATAAGCATTTAATATTTACTCCTTTTTTTAATTAATCATGTATTTTGTTTTATAATTTGATATTTATTTGATTATCAATAATCTCCTATCTACATAACAAGGGTTTAAATATAGAGTCTTTCATCTTGGTAACACTATTTTTGCTCGGAGTTAAGATTGGCGAATAAATTTTTGGCAACATCAACTCCTGTGAGTTATAGTCAGTATAATCCTCATTTTGATCCTATCTACTTTTCAGACGAGTACTCTTGCTCATTCCAAATACCTTCTCCTGTTTTGGAGTTTCACTTCTTTCAGAAACTTGAAGATTTCTTATTTTAAACACCTATATTTAATTTCCACCATCGATTGAGAGATCCCTCTCCTAACTCGTATTATTTCTGCTTGATGTTGGTGAACCTCTTGAGCGATTTGATTTATTAGAACCCTCGATTTCTGGGAATTTAAACTTTCGATGTATTAAATTGATTGATTTTTGTTGCATAGTTATTAGTATATTAGAATAATATATCAAACAAATCAATAGTCTGATAAAATATTTATTTTTTAACTTATTACATAAGAATTCATCTTTCAATCAATCAACCATAATATGATTGCTGATTCAATAAAAATATGAGTCATTCTATTTGAAATTGAAAAACAAGACAAAGTGCATCTTACTCAAATTCATTGAACTTTCAGAAAAAAAGGAAGATTTTATTTAAATATTTAAATCTGAAAGACCAATACAAGACAGCAGTTTAAAAAGTAAATTAACTGTTGATAAAATAGTAAGTAATATCAAATTGAAATTGTAATGATTAAATTCATATATTATTCAGTATTATAATTTTGAATAATCAATAATTTTTTGAGCAAAGATTGAATTTTATTAAAAGACTTTTGAATAATTATCGATATTGTTAACAACATCCTATTATTTAGTATTATTATATGAATTAATGAAATATGTTCCTTCTCTATTCTCAATAATTAATTTTCTTAATATTCTAAGCTATCAATTCGAATTCTCATTTTATTTCATTTCTTGTATACTTCTTTATTTATTAATTATTAACAATATAACTCTCCACTTATAATGAATTTTTATATTAATGTTGTATGGATATATAATTTATATCAAAAAAATTCTATATACTTAAATTGTAAATTTAATCTATTGTAAATAATGGCAACTACCCCTTTGTTTATTAGAAACTAGAAATTATAAAAATTCTTTAAAACAATTTATCATTCTCATATATAAGGTATTTAAATCTAGATATTAATGAATCGATCACGAGCAAAAAATTAATTAATAAATTGAACATAAGAATGAATAAACTCAATATCCTCTAATAATTAATTTATCATTTATAATTGATATTTTTTCACTCGACCTTATTATAAAAAGGACATAATAGATTCAGAATTTATTACACATACTATAGTTAATTATACAGCTTATGACTTATCTGTAGAGTTGACTAATGATTGAAAATTAGGCAGTGATTAAGTTCTATTGGAATTAATTAATGGCAGATCTTCAAGTTATGATAGGAATGATGTAATAACTCATTTGATTTGCCACCACTTTTGGCTATATAGATCATTGACTTTAATTTATTGAATTAAGAGAAATTAAATTCACATTTTCATGAATATGTTTTATTGATGGGAAATTAAAGGAAATCATTCCAAATATGACTACTATTATACGACTTACTTTTTCATTAGAGACTACAACTATTGGTCATAGATTGTCTAATGATGAAATTATCCCTGTTGTTATGTATTTATTACAGTGTTACTTAGAAAACATATTAGAAATGTTCAGTGGAAGTAAAATTAGAGAGAGACAAATTAGGTTGGTTGCCAATTGGCCAAAAGTGATGCATTTTGGGAAGGAGATTGTCATGGGTCGTCTATTAATATGAATAACATATATAGCATTTATAGTAAATTTAATGAGTTTCTTGACTTTGAAGACAGGCCAACTACGAGTCAGAGTGTGCAATAGTAACTCAATAATGTTGGGTAGAAGATGAAGGAGTACAAGGATAAAATATTCACTTCACATCAAAGAGCTAATTCTAGTGCGTCAAGAAATGATTAAAAACACCACACTCAAAAGTCCAAGTCTCCTATTTGGGACCGAATGAACTCATAGAATTCGCAAAAGAAAAAAATCTTCGATGAAGCTCCTGTTGTCAAAAGGACCAAGCCTCAGATTTTTAGTAAACCTGAATGGAAATAAACAAATATGCAATTCACCAAACATGTCTAATCTTAGCCATCTGAAGACTTAGATGAGAGCAGTTTGACAGTGCAATTTTTAATGACTGAAGATAAGGACATAGATGAGATGTATTATAAAGAGAATAATGAATGTGAGATTTTGAGTTACTTGATTACATAGATGGGCAAGAGACCTACTCTTGAAATACAAGGGACCATGATAGAAAATCTGAGTCGCAAAAACAGTGAAGTCAAGAAGCAGCTCTCTCTGAAGTTGATGGAAAATTAACATTAGTTGAATTGGTGTTATTATATGTGGGATGCATTATCATTTCGAGTAAATTAATGCTGTGCAAGAATTGCCAGGGCGAGACTAGTACTAAAATTGTTGAAGCAAGCACATAAGGATTTGGGATTGAAAATACAAAAGAAGTAAAAGTAAAAGGAGGAACTAGAATTGCAGATCTCAAATGTTATCAAGTTTAGACAAAGATATCAATAGGTCTTTGAATTAGTGTGTGAATTAAATAAGGATCAAGTGACCAGTGATAGTTGGTCCTTATACAAGATTATATCTATTAAGGATTTAGTTTGGACTTAATCTAGAGACATGAAACAATAGATGCATCTATACTATTGTTTCAGCGACATCAGAGGATACATTGAATCCTTATTTCAACAACAACTAGAATATTCTTATCGTTTCTTCACTTAAAACATAGTCTTAACCTTTGTGTAAAATAACAAGGACAGAGAAGAATTATACAAGATGTTAGATAGTATGTGTGATTATCTGCAATATTATGAGTTGAATAATAAAAGTGTGGATATCAGCAAATAGATTCGAACATCTCTTTAGAGTCAATTTAGAAGTATTATCAGACAACAGCTGAGAAATGAGAATGTAGACATCTAACCATAGAATTTTAACAAATAGCTTATGGTATTTTAATTAAGTATTCTATTAGAAAAAGGGAGTCAAATATGATTGCCTACATTCTTTGAATAAATACTTGACGGCCTTCTTAACTTCCTTCTATTTCACTTCATACTCCCTAGGTCTGATAGTTTAGCAATTCTAAAGGTTGTTGTAAATAAACACCCAGCAGAAGAAGCAGCCCTTACTGAAGAAGGTGGGATTTCAGTACAACATTGAAAAGAATCAGTTCTGGCAATATATTCAGGATAAGGTCGTGAAGAGTATCAGACATACCAAGATGGATGCGCAATGTGTTTATTAAGATTGGATAAGATTCGAGGCTTTGATTTTCAAGATCATCCAAATAGGGGAGGAACTAAGTAATCTGAAATCGTACACTCTCTTGTTTCATTTGAAGAATACGCTAAGATTGATCGCACAAGGACTGAGCATAAATGTCATTCAATGTTTAAGTGTCTAAAAAGGAATGGGATCCACGAATATAGTTAAACCCTAATATCAATGTGTGTTATTTAATAAACTAGATTTGAGTGTGGAGAACAGGAGACTCAATGCTCAGTCTCAATATTTGAATTAATTATTAGAAGTCAAACAAATTATACCTCATTTTGAATAGCAACAGCCCTTGTAATCAATAGAGAGTCCGTACAATAAGAAGGAGGAGTACTTCTTTATTGTAAGTCAGTTTTAGGAACTGCTCTTTTTTGCTTAAAATGTTCAGCAGTTTAGAATCGACTGTTTTTTGCATACGATTCATTGTTTTGAATATTATTGTTATCTGTTGATAAGGAATGATCTCTATGCGCAAATAAAGCAGTTGTAATTTGAATTGCCATCATACGAGGACAATTTCGACAATCTGGTAATAAGTCATCATCACATCACTAAATTCGCTAGGTTTAGTAATCTATAGCAAATGCTAATGAAATAAATAGACAGCATTAGATCGACGAATCTGTAGATCCAGGTGATTTACACATCGTCTTGTTTGAGAGAGATCTTAGAGAACTTAACACTTTGTTATCAAATATACGAGTTTATAAGGTAGTCTTACCGATACCAGGAAGACATCGAGTTTATTGAGTCCTACTTAAAGAAGACAAAGCAATGGTTGGATCAACTGAAATTCCTATGGATCTACAGCCAAGGATTGAAGGATAGTGAGATCGATAACAAACAAATAACTAGTTATTAGATAATGTATAAGATGACTCAAATTATGCATCAGATATCGGTCATATCGTTGAGCAACCAGACGATCAAGCCAGAAGAGATAGGGTAGATTTATTATCAAGCATACACCGAAAATCTGATGGAGTTGATTGTGGGGACTATGAATAAATCCAACAAGTAACAAGTGCTGGGAGAATTGCAAAAGTTTATTAAGCAAGTCAATGGACAATATCAGAGTCAACAATTTGATTGTTTTGTGAGATTGCTTGATGTGCGGACACAGAGTCAATATGTAGAGTAGATAAGCAAGTTGCAATTGTTGAGTCTGAAGACTTAAATCTCCATTCTATAAAAGGATATCAATTTAGACTTGAAACAAATAACTCAAACCTACATAAACTATGTAAATGAAAATAGTTGATAGTTGAATAATTAAAAAGATCACTTTTTTTATTTGATTTAAATGGTGGATGATCTCTTTTTTCGTTCATCATTCCTTCTAACTAAAACCGAAAAGTTATTGTAGTCTAGGGAGGAGATAGACCTCACCTTGTTGATCTCAATAGATTCCGTCTGCATTCGAGTCTTTGGTTTTGTTATTTGTTTGAATATTGATTATGAGGGTATGCCATTTATCATTAAGTATTGCTTCGGTAAGTAGAAATGCTTACTCTTGATTGGGTATCAGTTACACTCTTCTCGGTTTCTATTCGTCTCCTGGATGCGACATCAATTTCTTTCTTCAATTGCATGATTTGTCTTTCATAGAGCTTAAAATTGGATGAATGATTATTACTTCAATCTTCATCTGAAGTATTTTGTGTTGGTCATCCTTCTACAACAGACTCTCTTCTAATTCATCGCAATGAATCTTCAATCTTTGCTCTATCTGAAATAAATGATAAAATGAACATGAATGTGATATCGATTTTCCGATTCGATCTTTTATAATGAATGTTCCAGCAACTCATATTATTCTGTCATCTCTTAATGCAATCTTTAATGTACATAATTAGTATTTACTCTATAAACTAGTCTAGGATGCGGGTGATGTATTTAAATGTTACTGCAATATCGTCTGGTAATATAACACGTATGTTTGAATAGCCGATGTGATTCAATTTGTTTTGCAGTTCTTCAAAATACTCGATGATTTATGATTTCAGATCACTATTTAATTAATTCATTAACTAAATAATGTTGCAAGAATCCAAGTAAAACAGAGTATGCATTCCAACCCAAAGTGCAGTTCAAGAATAACTTCAATACGTACACCCAATTCTAATTGAAGGTTACTTGTGGAGCTGAGAGTACATTCTGCATCACAATACATAAGAAAGTGTTTATGTGGGGATCGGGGATTCAGATCCCCTAACAATTGGAACTCCAGGATATTGAGTAGATAGCAGCTTCAAAGGAGCATTGGTTTGCATGGTCGGAGACACAGGTTTTCGGGTGGTAAGAGAGTGGCAATTAATGATTATTAGTGGTTCGAACAAGTAAGGCAAATTGGGCATGAATAACTCAGTCAATACTCCCACATTGTTTGACATTTTCAGCGAAGCCTCTCAATATGGATGGCAACTTCAAAAGATAGCTGTGGGATTGGATCATAGTGTGGCATTAATTGAAGTTGAGGAGGAAAACAAGATTTTCGTTTGGGGTTCCAATGCTTATTAGCAATTGGGTTTCGATGCCTCAGAATAATTTGTTGCTATTCCTCATCAATTAGATTTGGATAATCTTCCTCGAATTGTTGACATCTATGCATAACATAATTACACAATGGCCATAGACGAAGAAGGTCGTCTCTTTTCATGGGGAAGCAATGAATTTGGTCGTCTAGGATAGAATGCATTTGCCAAGTGTATGAAATTGCCATCTCCCATAACTTCCCTTGGCAATCTCAAAATAGCTAAATTGGCCTTGGGAACATTTCATGTGTTGGCAATTGATACTCAAGGCAATCTGTATTCATGGGGTCGTGGATTGCAAGGGTAATTGGGACATGGCAATTCGAATGATTGCAGTAAGCCCAATCAAATCAGTTCATTGTCATCCATTAGAGAGGTGGCATGTGGAGAAGCTCACAGCATGGCACTATAAAACAATGGTTCAGTGTATGTCTTCGGATCTGGTCAATTTGGATAATTGGGATTGGGAGATTACAAGCAACAAGATGCTCCACAGATGTTGCAGATGCATGGAGAAATGATCGCTTGTGGGAGACATCACTCGGCTGTGCTTACTAAGAGTGGGACTTTGTTTATGTTCGGGAACAACGAGAGTAGTCAGTTGGGATTAGAATGCGGAAAGAGTGGTGCCTATTCGACTCCTTTGCCCAAACAAAGTCCTATGAATGTATATTACAGCCCTTATGCAATTTAGATAGACCAATCAAATCTTTGAGCTGACTGATGAATTCATGAATAAGATTGAGGCCAGTAGGAGTGAAGATCTTGAACAGGTAAGTAGTATGTCTATTCACTCTAGTTATTGATCGAGTATCAGTAGAATACGCAGCAGATTCCGAATACTCAAACAACTATTTTCATCAAGGATCTGATGGAGAGAGTGATCGCACTCCTGAAGAAGAAATGATGCATATGATATATATATATATAGATTCTACACACCATGTACTCTCTTTTTCAAATGTTAAATAAATTAAAATTTAATTAATGGAGTAACTTGATTATGAAGAACTGCTATAACGATTTCGATATTCCTACATTAAGCCTAATTCTTAATTGAGATACTATTTATAATCTCTTCCCTCTGAGTAATACCCTGATTTATTCCAAAAGATTGAAAACTTAAATTACGAGTCTCAAAAAGTCAAAAGATTGCTGAGAATGCTTAACAAACCGCATTAAACCCCTCAATATTTCCATCTTAAATTGAAGCACAAGTTAACAATCAATGAAACTGTCCCCCTCGAAATTGTCGACTTCAATAAGAAAAACACATTAATTTTAGCATCACAATAACAAGGTTAATAATTATTTGATAGATTGAAGGAAGAGTTTTTTGTTGACTCCAAAATCAGAAAGAGCGGTATGTCTATTTTAATCCTATTAAAGATTCACTTACATTCAAAAATCAATATTATAAGGCATTATAGGATAACTTAACTAATCAATGCATTGAATAATGTCTGCGCCTTCTTAAGAGATCAGAATAAAATCTGGACACCCTCTAAATTGTGCTCACTGAATTAGTTGACACCCAATACGATATTACTCCATAATTAGGAGCAATTCATAATGCGTTGACCGAATTTAGTAAGAATGATCTATCAATCACTTGTTTGAAATTGGCACATTCTTGTGTAAGAGGGGATTTAACAGTTGCAGTCTAATTTGTGGCTAAGATGACTTAGGGTATTCATGATGATAATAGAAAATTTGCATTTCTTGCTACACTTCCTCATAAGTGTGAAAAGTAAGTCGATATCATATACAATTTGGCCACAATTCTGAACGAAGATTAAAAGGTATTTGATTTGAGTGCACGAATGAGAGATCTTTAAGTTCCATTGGGGAATTGGGCTCATCTAAGGAAGTTGTTGAGCCTCAATAAATACACGAATACCTTTGTGTCACTATTGGTTGTGGATTGGCTATTGGAGAAGAAATATGAATCGAATAGTAAGGATTTGGAATGCATTATGGAATAGATTATTAGTGGATTGGCTGCGAATGTAATTTGATTTATTACATATTGTTAGTTTAAGAATTTTGCCAAGGTAGTCACACAACCAGTGATGTTCTTGGCTCAATTAAAATGTGTGGTGTTATATGCACTGTTCTGTGAGGATGATGCTCCAGCCAAATTGATGATCGCAATTAATGAAAATCTGAATAAGTATACAGAGATCTTCAACCCTAAGAGTCATTTGTGCTAATTAAAGTATTTGATATCACCGTCATGTTAAAACGAGAGTTAGTTATTCTTGGACTGTCTATTTTTGTATTAAGCAATCACATTTGATGAGAAGGATCAATTCAACTATATATTGCCATTGATCATCTTGATGGCATTCAGCGGCAAAGTGAAGAATAGTGTGAATGTCAAGCAATCTCTAGAATTGTTAACACTATTCAAGTCAATCGAAATCAATGTGCTCTACAATAAAATATTTAAGGCATTGCATGAATTTCTGTATTATGTCAACCCACACTAAGGAGAAGGAATCAATTTCAGAAAGGATAGATTGATACATTTAGTCAGATTCATCATGGTTCAAATTGGAAACACCCACATTTAATAGCCCAAGTACATCTACACTACCTTTTCTCACGCATTTATTTCTCAATTTCGATTTAAGCTACCGAAATATGAAATCAATGTGAATCCCTTGAGTTGGTTTACCAATCGCGGATTAATGAGCAATAACCCTTACACAGTTCAATCCACAATCAATTATTGCAGACTCCTCGTTGAGTAGGGATACTTCAATCAAATTGTTTAACCCATTGAAGAATGGTTTAATCCATTGAACATTAGCAGATTGAACAGTATAGATCACTTAGATGAATAATTGTAGTAGATAGAAATTGAATCCTACGACCATACGGCTTTATTGCAATCCGGATTGAAATTGATGACTGACGATAAGCCAGTAGACGAAGCTGAATTGCAATTACAGCAAGAACTGAAAAAGTTTGAAAACAATAACCTAGTTTTAATGGATTAAGGAGAAGAAAAGTAACAAATGTTATTGAAATAAAAGAATAAGTTGTGTCAAAAATACTTATTGTGCTTACAGTTATTTGAAGGGCTTCTTCACACTAAGGCCAAAGATTAGTTCTTCACAAAATACTTTGATAGGATATCTGCTTTCACCAAAGACATGTCCACTAGATATGATAGTTGCATGTTCCTACTAAAGTATTTCGAGACCATCCCACTGTTACAGCAATTCAAGTGGCCTCTCACTTACTTCTTCTTGGAACGCAGTTTGAATTCCATCCCCAATGATGTGATACTCGAAAAAGTCCATTAATTTCAAGATTGCCTTATGAAAAAAATCAAAAATCCACCCATCCATCTAATTCATTTGATGAACCTCTACATCATCAACCAAAACTCATTTACTTAGACTACCAAATTTAAAGCTTTTGCGATCATCCACTAATATAAGGATCAATTGCCAATTGCTGAATACTTTAAGCCCTTTGTTCACAACATCAACATTTGTGGACAAGCCAAGAATGCAGGTTAAGTCTTGTAACTGATCTTCAACAAAGATAGTGATGAACATTATCAATTATTCTTTGATAACATCTTTAATCTTGTGCCAGAAGCCTAAAATCTAATTTTGAGAACAATACCTAATTTGCCAGATAACTTTGACATTCACATCAAAGTCAGAGTGTTGGCTGAATTTGGAGAAACAAAGGAGGCTGCCCTACCCTTTGTGGATAAGGAGTTTAAGGTTTTGAATTAAATGCAAAGGTGGGACCTCGTGAGTTTTTTGAAGAAATATCCAAGAGAATATACTGAAGTCATGATCAATATATTAAATGACGTAAATGGATTCCCAGAGATGATACTGTAAGCAGCATCTAAGTTGATTGTTGATCAGCAATTATAAGAAGAACAATTGGAATTCCTCCCCCAATTTGTTAGTAAATAATTAAACACTTACCCTAAACAATTAATTGGCAAGACCATTGACTTGTTGATTCAGTATTCATCTACTCCAGAAAGGTAAAAATTAGCTGTACTCTGCAGGGAAGCTGGAGTCTAATTAATCAAAAGTGTAGGTAAAGAAAACTCTAATGATATCTTGAGTCAAATTGAAAATCATCTCCAATCGAAAAATACATGTGCTTCAATACGGGCCATAACATTTTTGGGTGTCTTGACTTCGTTTTTGCAAGGACACAACTAAGTGAAGACTTAAGAATAGATTGTCTAATTGTTTAGAAATAGTGACAACGATTCATAATTGGAATTAGCCCGTTCATTATAAGAACTATTGAGTCTGTTCCCAGATACTGAAAATTTAGTTAAGGAATTATTGAAAACTAACAAGCAAGAGAAGGATGAGAAAGTGAAGAGAGGAAACGCGTATATGATAGCAGGCTTAATAAAAGGTTTGGGTATAGAGATGATGGAATAGTTGGGTATTTTGGAGTTATTGGAAGTGAAGGATAGAAAGGAGACTCTGGAGGATAAGTTCAATGTTCTCATCTAATTATAAGCATTGATTGAGCTATTCTAGAAGACATTGGAACCATATGTAGAGAAAGTGATGGAGTTGCTGATTAAGTATTTTGGAGAAGGAAAAGTGGAAGTGCGTAACTTAGCCATGGCAAATGCGAATAGATTATTGTAATCCCTCTCAAGTTATGGTGTTAAGATTGTGCTTCAAAAATTACTGGAAGTTCTGGATTCAGACACTTAATGGAGAGTGAAAGTGGCCATAATTTGGGCATTAGGCCATTTGGCACATTGTTCACCAAAACAATTGTCAAGTTGTCTTCCGTAGATTGTCAATTCCATTTCAAAAGCAATTTCTGATACTCATCCTGATGTAAAAGCAGAAGCTAATAAGTCATTAAATGAAATAGGATCGACCATTAAAAATCCTGAGATCTCAAGTATTGCAGACATACTCATCATTTCATTATCAAATCCGTATGATGAAAATTTAAGAGGACTACAGGTTGTCTTGGAAACAAAGTTCAGGCATTATATCGATGCTCCAGCCATGTCATTATTGATTCCAATCATCGATTATGGTCTGAGAGCTTAGGATAGTAATTAAAGGAGATAAGCTTCTATCCTAATAGGAGGATTGCCACATCTTATATAGAAGACCGATGATCTAGTACCATATATGAATTTAATTGTTGGTGGATTGGAGGTGGTGATAGGGGATCCCCTATTGGAAGTCAGAACAATTGCAGCAAAGGCAATAGGTTAGGTATCCAAGAAGATAGGAATTGAAAATACAAAGACATTCTTTAAATTCATATGGGATGTGTTGGAGAATAAGGAGGCGAGTACGAATAAGAGATCAGGTGCAGCTCATGCATTTGCTGAGATCTCTTGCATTCATGGAGATAACTACTTAGAGGAGCAATTATAATTTATTTTCAGTCAGATTCAAAGATCAGAAATATTTGTTAAGGAAGGATATATTGGGATATTTATTTATATTCCAAGTATTTTACAATAGAAATTTGAAAATTATGTGAAGGACATAATAGAGAATGTTTATGAATGTGTCAGTCACGAAGATGATGTAGTAAGTAGTATCACATTGAGAGTGTTGAAGATTGTGATTAAGAATTTTGGTATCTTATAGAATGAATTATTGTATCTATCGTTGACAGAGAATATGTTAAATGAGGATGCCAAAAAAAGAAATGCAGGAACTATTTTGAGTGGAGAAATGCTCAAAATTACTCAGAAGTATGTGTTTGCTCAATTAAACAATCCAAATACTCTCCAGTACATTAACATCGATCTATATTATTTGAATCTAATGACATTGTACACCATGTAATAAGATGTCACAGATGTTGTCAGATAAAATGCAGTTGCTACTTGGATGGAATATGTAGATAACACTCCGAAAACTTTGAAGAGTGGATTGAAATAATATGTTATTCAATTGTGTAATATTATGAGTAGAGAAAGTGTTGTGTAAAATGGTATTAATACCATCAGAAATTTCTGTGAAAAGTATGGCGAGACATAGATGACTGAAGCATTTAGGCATTTAGGTTATGTCCTATAGAATTACTAAGAAAATTTGTCATTAGTCAAGGGGGCTTATTCAGTATTGAATCAGATTTATATTCATATCTCATTGGATATCGCTACAAGATATAGGGATCAATTTATTGAATATTCCAGATTGTACATTTTTTGCAAAGATAATCTGATTAAATCGTAATTATTTTAATCAATTGGTTCAATGATCAATAAAGTTAAATAGACTACTTTTGTGGAAATGATCATCGAACCATATTTGATTGACTTGTCTAATATGAGTGAAAACGATCCTCGATATTCTGGCTATTTAGAGGTGTTCTCCAGATTGTGCTCATTGAATTAGACTCTGATATAGCATTATTTGATAGTGTTGATTTTGGTACCACCACTGCATCAATTCAAAATTGACATCCTCACTAATAATGCATCCACCTTCGCTAGTGTCATGTACAAACAGTATGATAACAAAACACCGATCCAGATATTGTTTAATGATCTCTATTCATGTGCTGAATTCAATGATCATAATGAATGGAATGATAGAACTGAATCTCTCCTCTATTGTATTCAATAATTGAGCATTCACATCAAATTTGATATTGAGAATTCCTTAACAATATTTGTAGAAGATATTCTTCGATAATTATAAACTAAAAGTAAACCGATCTTTGAATCTGAACCAAACCCTACTGAATATAAGCATTGTCTTATTCCATTAGAAGTGTTGTAATACTTCTTGTAAAATACATCTGAGGATCATCAACAATTCTCTCAAGCTATTATCGACAAAGTAGCTCCTTTCTTATATTTGTAATCAGCTAACCTTTCCAAGCAATAACTAGAAAAATTCTACAATTTAGCCAATAAAATCATCTATGCAATTAATAACACATTGGATAAACAATATCATTTCGATAATATGCGTAACTTACACACTTGTTTCACCAATCGAATCAACACCCTTGAGATACCTAGTCTGAACACCTAAGATGGTGCTGGAGTAGAACCCTATGTCTCAATGCTCATCGATTGCTTTGTCTTTGGCAAAGAGGAGATGTTCAAATATGCCTTTGACTTTATGAAAATTCTAATAAGATCCACTGAAGAACAGCAACTTCAAATCTACATTCTCAAATTGGTCGGTTCTCTTATACGTATCTTGAATTATAAGGGCAATACTGAACTCAAAGTGCTGGCCTTACAATTGGTGCATTTATCCTAAAAGAAAGGTCTTGACATTTCAAAGTTCAAGTCGCAATTGACAATTACTTATGAAAAACTAATTATGGACATCAACTAAATCGATGGAGGATTGAAACAACTATCAAAGAGTTATAGTTAATTCCTTTAATGGCATGATAAAAAAGTATAATGATTCATTCTATAGAATTATAGGATCTGCTTCTAAATTAACTCTTTAACAAGGGTGTATAGAGTGTTACTTAGGAGGCTCGAGAATGCCACTTGAAAATAGTTAAGAAGGCAATCAAGGATCAATAAGTATAGATTTACTCCTCCGCTGTTTTGGAAAGGTTCTTCTCTCTCTCTAAATAATATTTTGAGAAGTGCATTCAAACTGAAAAATTTGATCTTGCTTCTCCTTGTGAATTGAATCGTCTAGGTATCGATATAATGATTATATTCTCCTAGCTCATATCCTTGCCTTAACATACAATTACACTAATAAAAACAATAAAGAATAATATGTACAGAAGTACATTAAATTTGATCAATATGGTTTACTTTTAAGATTGTAATTTGTCAGATATTAAATGAAAGAACTAATACCTGATACAATAGATTATGCTGTCCAATAAATCAATACTAATGAAAACATGCCTTATGTTCTATAATTACTGAAAACTTTAAGGAAAATACCCAACGTTTAAATTAAACAATAATTAAAACCGAAATTCTAGGAGGGTTCACAAATTTTATATGCGTTATCAAGATTATTATGATATATAATATATTAAATAACAGTCATAATAATAATGATCGAGTCTTTCTAATAGCAATGCGAACAAATCTATTCTGAAAACCAAGAAAGTAACATCGAATATCATATTCTAGTCATAAAAGAGTTGAACAAGCTGAAGCAAAGTGCTCTTGAAAAAAATCAAGAAATCTTGAAATTGCAACATATGTTTAAAGAAGTTGAACAAGAATATTAGCCTATTCACGATAAGATAAAATCAATCAAAGATTAGTTCTAAGATTCCGAACTCAATAAGCAAGCCATTTGTGATTCCCTTGATGATCTGGAGAATCTGATAATGCGTTAATTTGCCGAATAAATAAAAGGGAGCAAAAAATCTAAAAAGACTTTAAAAAAGGAATCTCCCTCAAAAGGAAAAATAAACAACGAAAATGATCAAAACACAATCAATCTCAGAAAACGAACAATCAAATTGCAAAGTTATGATGACAATTCTTAAACAAGTGAATCTAGTGAACCAATTAAAGTATCGAAAAAGAAAGTTAAAACAAATACTGAAGCTCTGGATAAAGCCAATTGTCTAATTAACGAGATTTTTTAATTTAATTGAGCATCATCTAATTAACAATAATTTTATTTATCTATCAATGGGAAATAATAATGTCTGTCTAGCTGAAATACCTGTCAATGGAACTCATCACACCACCCCTAAATCTTAATCAAAATGGAAAAGGGAAGACCTAAGATCTGGCTCTTGCATCTAAACACTTGTTGAAAAAGAAAACAGTACAGATTTCTTCGCTCATTTCCAATGTGGTTAAGCATTGCCTCAATATCGCAATAAGTTAGCACAATCAAGATGGTAGGAGGCTCTCAATAGCCTAAACACGATAAACGATTCATAACAAACTATTAATTCGTTACTTGATAGACCTGAATTTAAAGAACTAGTTTTATTAGGCCCACCTAAGCAATTTAGATGGCTCTGTTGGATGAATTTGTTAACTAAATCCCAATCTCGTATTGGTTATGAAAAGTATTTGGAAAATCCACCAACAGACATAGACAATATTATCAACGATATCAATCGCACACTTGTAGATTATGCCTTATTTAAGCATCGAAGTTGCGGATAGGATCAATTAAAAAGAATTCTCTGTGCTATCTCTAATGCTTTACCATCTATGGGATATTGTTAAGGCATGAATTTCATTTGTGCTGTTCTACTTATTGTCTCTGGTTGTGATGAACATCAGGTATTTTAAGCCTTTATGTAAATGCTTATAAATGACCAACATCTTCTGTGTTTTGCTTTCTCCGACGATATGCCCCTTCACTTTTTTTTGACGAACTTGGTACATCATCAAATTAGAAGCAAATTTCCTTATCTTAACTTAGGTGATATCAGTGATTCATTTTGGTTAAGCAAGATGATTTTATCTCTTTTCACTTATGTATTCAAAATGGAAGACTGCATAAGATGTTGGGACTATTTGATGGTTCGTGGAATGATACGTGGAATTCCTGAATTAATACTAGCATATATAGATGCTACATACACTTAATTATCGAAATTCAAGGAGGAAGATTTTGCTTAGAATTTCAAAAACCCTGAAACTACAACACTCTAATTTAATGTTGGCGAACTCATATATCTGGCCAAGTCTAATCATAGTTTAGACAGATCATTTATAGCCAAGTTCGCTAAGAAAATGAGAGATAAGAATGCTCCTTCGTAATTATTAGACCTTTTACAATATTACAACAATCCTCAACTCTATAAGAAACATGTATCATTTTATATTAACACTATTTTTTATTGATATTTATTTTATGTTAGTTATTAAATTAACATTTTATTTTAATTTCAATAATTATTTTGTATTGAAAATAATCGTATATGTTTGATTACAACTTGTAAACAAAAGTAAAAGTAAATTTAAATTCTATTTGTCAATTATTATAACTGTTCTCTCATTGATAACTATTTTATTGTTATTTAATTAATGAGTGTCTAAAGATAGAGAAGATCAAAGTATAAAACTTGAGTTTATGATAATTAATACAAGAAACTAAATGATTATAATTCCCTATTCTCCTTATAATCATTCACTCGTTTGTTTTCTATGATTACTGGAAATTAAGTTGACTTATGGTAGTATAATTAGATTCCAAATATTATTTTTAATAATTGAAATAATGCTGAGAAAGAAGAGTCAAAGTAAAGGAAACACCCAAAAATTATAAGTAGAAGTGGACATCATGGTTTGATTGTTTCTTATTCATCTAGGAATAACGAATTGTGGGACTTAAATAAATATTGCAATCTCAAAAGGAGACTACTAAAGAGAGAATGCTAACAAGTCAGGGATCCACAAGATGGTCAGCAGCTTCGACTAATGTTCCTCTTAGAAGTACGTTAGTGTATTGCTACAAATAGATTATGGGAAGCATGTTTTAGAAAAACATAGGGAAGTTGCAAAGACATTCCAACAGAAGAATAAATTAAGCAAAGTGCCATCCAGGCCATCTTCTCGTTCTAGTTCACTTTCTAAATAGAGCAAGCAATCGGAAACTCAATCACAATAGAATCAGAGCTTCTTGTCGTAGAGTCTCAACTTTGCAGGGAAGAATTCAGCAAATGAAAATTTGAAACGAGCACTCCAAGTCCAATAATGTAAATCTTACAGACTTATATTAGTTAGAATACTCTAATGAAGTTGTCAAATTCCTCAATTCCATTAATCTTGATAAACATGCAGGAGTAATACTTGAAAATGGATTTGAAGAGATGGAGCTTTTAAAGGAAATATCGGTAGATCATCTCAAAGACATGAACATACCTCCCATGGATGCCAGGAAGCTATTGAACCGAGTGCAAAAACTAGTGGAAACAGAGTAAAGACAACTACTTCAATCTTAAAAATAAGCTTAACGTTTAAAAGAATCCTAAAGCCACATAAAAGAGATTGCTAACTCGGAAATCTATGATGAGGAGGAACAACACAGATTGTTTTAGGAAGCAGTTATGGAATACAGACAGTAATAGAAATAATAGAAAGAATTGAAGGAATAAGCAATACAGCATACAGAAGAAATAATAATTGAAGATGAATCATTAGGTTACATATCAAGTAAATAGAATAAAAAAGAAGAATAATAAAGAAATAAAATGAAGTTCCTCTTATCAGGTGCAAACGAATGGAAAATGTTTGATGTTGATTATGATTAAACTTAAGGGACTGATTAACAGCCTGTTATAATTGATAAAACCTCTTGCTACTAATGTTATAGATTATTCGACTAAAAATTCTCCATTGGCAATAATGGCAAAGAATTTTGTTCAAATTAGTGCCTTGAATCTTACAAACTATAAAACTTAGTAATAAATTATTGTGATTTTTAGTATCTCTGTCGATCTCAGTCATGTGCTAAACAAATTGATATTGCTTAAGCGTATTATGAAATTGGCTAATGGTTCTGTAATTAAGACTGCTTTAAATAATATTAATGGGAAAGTGTCAACATCAGAGGTAGAACCCACATTAGTTTATGATAATTAAATATATATATACATAAATAACTTTAGAGTTTTATATAATCTTTCTCATTTGTATTTTTAATAATCAAATTTTAGGATGAGGAATATGCACCTTTGAAGGAACCTTGACCATCAACTATTTAAAATGTCCCACTTTGGCTTCTCTTGTCGATTTTCCAACACTGAATGCAGGATATGATTTCTTTTTAGAATTCACTTACACACCCACAGCAATCCTTTTTATCTTATAAAGATTACTATTTAGTATCGTATGTTTGATTCTTGTCCCAACCTTCAAAGATCTTGCCTATCTTAGGACCTTTTGGAATAGTCCAATGAGCAGCATCTTCTAAGTTGCTTGTATTAGCAGGAGGCTTTTGTAGATAAGCTCCTGGTCCAACGATCACAGGAGTGGAACATGTCGGAGCCAATGCCGAAGCTCCTGGGATGTCTCTTCTGTACCCAAAGGAAAACTGAGGAGGAGTTGGAACCTCGGGTTTAATGGCTGGATCATATTAAGGACCAGGGGTTCCTTTGAGTCTTTTTTCAGGGGGGAACTGCAAAATAGTGAGAAATATAGTACTCTTGATTCCAGCCCAATTTTGACATTTGGAGCCTTGGTCTTTCTTACCAAATCAGCTTCTTGAGGTTCAAACTTTAATATAGCAAAAACTCGCTTACATCTACATCCTTCCTTTGATAGTAATCAAATTTGGCTCCTGTATTCAGAGTGTTACGAGGGTCTGTTCCAAACTTTGTTTCTGCGTCTTTTGTATAATAATACTGATCTCCTCCTCGGACATTATAAATAGGCCCAGGACTTCCCTTTCCTTGGAATACTAAACTTGAGTAGTACCTGCAAAATCAATTCTGGCAAGCTCTTTATTGTGATAAAGCTTCGCTTGATTGGCTCGTTCAGCAGAACCGAAACTGTAACATGGTAGGGTTTGCTTTGTAGAAATAGGCATTTTGCCTATTGAACTAAATGCCTGTTTATTTTCGAATTCGATTAAGTCTGCATATGAATACACTTTTGGTTGAGCTTTAACTTCTTCTTTTGTTTCTGCCATTTTATATATATTAATATTATTAAAAATAATATATAAACTATGTTAATCTATAATTATAATTATGAGTTTTCTCTATATTTCCTTCTCTATTTAATTTAGAGAATAAATGTGCTGTTTATTTCAATTTAAACATTAATCTTTTATCATATAAAATTAAAGCTAACATAATTAGATTATATATATTGGATAATAAAGTAACAGCGATTAATTATGCATTATCTATATTAAAATATAATTAATTAAGTATAATGAATTACTTATTTTATGGATTCATTGGATATTGGGCTTTGTCTTTAACCTTTTTTGTTTTCCCATACAAGAAGAAGAATGTTTTTAGGCATTCAAAATATTAAAAATATCGTCAGAGAAAAAGCATCCTCCATATTTCACATAGAGGAGGATGTCGTGAAAATTTAGAAAATACTATGTAAGCCTTTTAACATGCCTATGACCTCGGTACAGATTGTTTAGAAATGGACTTGTGCATGACAAAAGACAGGAAGGTATGTGTGATAAATAAAGTAGATTGTAGTTTTGCATGACTCCTCATTAGTAAGAATGTGCGGTGTATAAGCACATGTCAAAGAGTTTAATTATGCTGACTTACCCAAATTCCTTGAAAGAGTCAGATTAGATTTTGCTCCTAATGATTACATTTCAACCTCCACTTGCAAAACTCCTTACCTACCTTTGTTCGAGGATGTTCTTAAAAAGTTCCCTGATGTTTTACTTAATATCGAAATCAAAACTCCAGATCCAGAAGTTGTTCAGATCGTAAATGAGCTTATTCTGAAGTATTAAAGACAAGATACAATTATATGGGGAGCCAGATGTATTGCACAATTTATATAATCATAGTTTAAAAGTAAAATGAATTGCTGAAATCAATTAATCCTGCAATCCCTAGATTTTTCACCGTTGAAGGAATTTTGAAGGTGTACTTGCTCTATTTGACAGGTCTCCTACCTTTCTTCGATGTCCCAGATGATTCAATGTAAGCACCGATGTACACAGACGACTTCTATTAGTGGAAACTTTAAGTTGCAAATTCGACTTCGGAGAAGATTTAGCAAATGTTATTGTAATTGAAATTCCAAAATATTAAAGTCATTATTTCATTTGGTTCTTGGGTTTAATATCAAAGCCATTGTTCAATCATTTACACAAAAGAGGTATCTTCGTATACTATTGGGTTTTGAATAATGAAAAGGAATATGAGAGGGCTCTTAAGGCTGGCTGTCACGGCATGATGACGGATTGCCCGACTGTTTTGAAATAATATCTGATCAAAAATAAGCTCTATGGAAAATAGTGATCTCTATAAATAGAAATTTATATATGTTTCTACAGATTTAATATAAATAATTGTTGAATTCTATTGATGACATCTTGAGGATCTTGTGTAACAACAGATTTTGTTGTGAGTTGTTAAAGTGCAATTGAAGTTGGAAATACCATTAAGGAGAGATCCTTTATTATTTTTGGAAGGGAAATTATATTGCCATTCAACATTCTAGTATGTTTTCAAAAGTAGCCATTTGAGTGATGATTGGGAATTGTGTATCATTATTATGAGTTTATGGAAAGAGCTATTGAATATAAACAATGAATTAAGGAGATCCTTATTTTAATTCCAGTTCAATTTATAAACTTAATACAAATTGCGTTATTAGTAATTAAATTAACTACCAATATTATGGTGTTTTAATGAAGACCAGAAATTTGAATACTTAAATGCATAATAATTTGATCTCATTCCAAGACAAGTCATTTATTGGATGAGATCAGTAATTTGATTTAATTTGAAATTATGGATTGAATAATTTACAGAATTGCGTTGTTAGTAAATTCGATAGCCACTATTTTCATATTGTTATATGAATTATTAATAGTTGATAACAAATATTGGAAATTTAATAAAATCAACACGTATTATTCCAACTGTTAAATTATTAATTCTTATTAAAAGGATATAATAATTCAAAAAAATTAAGAAAAAGCAGTATTTAAGTTGAATTTCGAGGTCAATAGGAACAGATTGTGTATGATTCGAGGTCATTGTCATGATGAAATAATTCAAGCGAGAATCGAAATTGGGAGAGATGCTCAGTGAATAATAATCGATAATCAGTTCATATATAAATGTTGAATTGGAAATGCCAAAAAAAATATATTTTTAATTAAAATTACTCGGGTATATAAAGATTTCATGAAGCCAACTTATGTTTATTCAAATCCAGTGCTGAGTCTTCTGAGCTCAAGTTCGACCTAGAGTAGTCCCATGACGAAAAGTGAATTGAATGATTCGATCGAATACTATATGGACCAAAAAGACTATCAGACAGAGGTGGAGATTGTGAAGTATCTGCACGGTCTTGGAGTGCGGACAAAAACAGATCCTTTGATAAAAGAATAAGAATATTGGAAAGAAAGAAAACAAAAGAGCTAAATACTGCTTGAGACTATGAGCAACACCCAGGAGAGAGGAGTATTGAATTCAAGTGTTGGTCGACTATTGAGAAAGAATGTAACCTATATTCCAAGGAATTCAAACAGTCCCTTTTTCTTACTGGATTGATTTATGATTCTCCTTTTTATCTAATAACAAACAATATCTCTCCCTATATAACTATAAAGCTGAATTCAATAAACCACAATTAATTAGTTAATCATTAATAAACAAAGTAACCCGACGTGCTTCTCTCGATAGATTCAAATTCGATAGATTGCTTAAACTCGAATCTGAAAAGATCAGGGAACTCTTTTTCAATAATATCCTTGGTTTCTTGAGACACTTAGACAAACCCTTTGGCTCCCTTGGATTCCATCTTGTTGGCAATCAACACATCAGGCCCATAGATATCATACCTCACCAACTCCGTTCCAAGAACACCCCCAATGATGGAACCCTAATAATGTTAAATAGATATCAAAATACAGTATGGACTCCGATTCTCATGTCTAAGGTAGGATGGTTGATGTGGGCTCTGACTCTTCTGATTGCATCGATCATTGCGAACCCCATTCTGACAACGTTGACTGCTTCTTAGGATGGATTCCTCTAGATTCCTTTGCCATAGTCTACCATGCCCATTACAACATAACAGTCTCCAATTGTATAGAGTTTGAAGACGTTGTGCAAAAGACAATTTTTATCAAATTCAGTAAATAGGTTTCTCAACATATTCACTACTTATTCAGGTTGTACACTGCTTGAATACTCTGTAAAACCAGCAATATCAGCAAATAGCAAGGTTACTTCGTCAGCCTATTCTCTTAATACTCGTTTTTCCTCGTTTGGCCTGAAAAACTCTTCAAGGACCTGTTGGATAGATATAAATTAATTATACATTTTTTGGCAATAAATAATTCAATAAAAATTGGTACTTGATTGATTTTTCAATTAATTATTTGTTGACATTATATGAATTGACATTCTTCAAAAACATGAATAATTGAATACAAAAGGCGAATATCGAAATTATGACACAATAGTAGAATCTACTCCATGGCCAGTCATTCACTACGATAGCAGCAATAGTCACTCCCAAGAAGAGAATCAGATATACTAACTTATGTTGGTGTCGAAGAATTCTATTTAGAAGAACACTTAAACAATATATGATTCCTTTGGCTATCTAGATTTCGTAATGATCAGTAATTAAAAAACAATCCAGAGCGTAACTTCCCAGCAACATATACGCTAATATTTAGAAGTAGATCACATTATAAAAGGATTCATACTTATGAATCAGAGTGCACAATAATAAGTGAAGTAGACCCACAAACACTCCTGTGATAAGATTGGCCAAGAATATCTATTGATTTAAGCTCACACAAGACACTGAACTTATTAACACACATGATCCTATTGTCAATAGATATTGAAGTGCAAATGGTCGATATAATGAGGATAGAAACTCATAAAACTCCAGTGTTACAGTGATATCTTCATTAAAATCTAAATATAATTTCTTAGGATTGAGAGTCAATAATAAGGTTTAGCCTTGAGCATCTTCGTCAACGCTGTATAGAGCCCTGATTTTATCCTTCTCAACATGGTACTCCATATTTAATTGATAATCAGAGACATTCAACTCGCACTTTGTCTTCCTCTCTAACAATTATATTAGATCTTGATGTTTTTAGTGTCTGTCATCATATCCTTAAGACTGAACGCCTCCAACTATTGATTAGGAGGCGTAATTTTTAGAGGATCCTCCACCTTAGTTTAAGGCAAATTATACTATAGATTATTATTAGAAACCTATTTATTATTGATTTGATTTATTGGGACTCTCAACACTTATTTGCTTTGATGTTTTTGTTACATAGTTGTAAATCTCACTCTTTTGTTTTTTGTTAAGAATCAATGGTTGTGGATCCTCCATCATAGCTATCAGTGGTTGTGCTTCCTTATTAGTAACAGCTCCATTATCGGATATCAAATTTGAATTGTGTTAATCAACATTATAATATTCTTTTGGATCTCTAAAGGGATGTTTTGGAGGTCGTTGAATCATGATTGTTTGCTTTCTTTATTTCCCTCCTCTCTTGGTATTAACTACATAAGTAGTCAATTTTCCCTTCCCCTTGGCAACAACATCTCTCTAAACATAAACCAATTCAAATTTATTAGTCTATCTATATGCTTATTCAGAAATGGAAATATCCCAAGGTTCAGCTGTTGAGCAAATTCTGCTTGCTGTATTGATGGTGTCACCAATCAGACTGAATTATGGTTTGTGATGACCAATGACTCCAGCAATGACATTCCCATAATGAATACCGATCTTAATTTAGAATACTTCATTTGACATAACATGTCGTTTCATATCTAATGCTAAAGAGATCACTTTATTGACTGGATTAGATTTCTAACTCATATGAATTTTAAGTCCTGCAGCAGCCATATAGGTTTTACCCACAGTCTCAATTTTTTGGACTTCATGTTGTTAGCAAAGTAAATCAAATCTTCTAAATAGCTTATCCAATATATCAACCACGTTGGATTGTTCGTTCTTTATTAGTTGATCAAAATCAATGATGTCGCAAAACAGCACAGCCACCATACCTTAATCTTCCTGAATATCATATTGACCAGCTTTGTTGATACGATCCCTGATAAATTGAGGGAGTAGAATAGAGAGGATGTCACTCATTATTTGATTCTCCTTGTTCATATTAATCCTGCCTAAAAAGACTTCCAAAAATATGTGAATGATTCTTCTGAATGTTACAACCAAGAGGAACAATGAGGCTAGGCTCATGACGTATTGGTTGATCAGAATATAGACATCATCCTCATCAGATTTCTTGATTAAGTAAATGATCACATAAATGGCAGAGAACACGCAACTGATGAGTGGCTATTCTTGATAATGATATATATTGACTGATAAACTCAATTGCAACATATTCAGGTTCATCTCTCCTACAGATTAATCTTGATTGAATAGCCAAATGATTATTGAGGAACATCTAATAAACAAAATAATGAAGTTGATTTCAAAGAAATACACTTTGTAATAGGGAGACCAACAAAATAATATGAGTAACAATAGCACTCCGAACATCGAAACATAAAAGTAATCAGTCCAATAAGTGAAGTTGAAATTATCCATTGTTACTATAATGATCGTATAAATAGCTATCTCATAGAATAAAAACGTAATTGCAACTATTATTCTATAAGTCCTAACTATATAGATGAGAGTATCCTCTGTGAACTTATTTTGCAGCAACTAAGATTTGAATCTCAGAGTGACTGAGTTGATTGAGTTTTCTGTTTCATCTGCAAATGCTCCACTCAACATCTGTTTTATGATTGGGTCCATGTCTTCGTCCCCATGAAAGAGTTTCCTTGCAAAATAAGAGATCTTCTCTATAGTAGCTCTATGTAATTTGATTTATCTGGCGACATCCCCTGAGATTTTATTATATATTTTGACGATTTCGTCATACTCCTTGCTTGTCTGTATGACTAGTGGCATAAAGAATGGTCTATTCACATAATTGAGTACCAAATTAACAATTACGTGGATAGCCACGATGAATAGGAATGAAAATAGAGTTTAAATTGATGCTGCCCATTGATAAATGATGGAAATTGAGTCGAATTACAGAGAAATCAAAGTATATAGTCCAAAGGTCAGTCCAATGTTGAATACAGACTATTTCTGAGTGATATACTTTCTCTGAACCAACTTTATAGTATCTACAATCAGTAATAATAAAAATAAGCCTGATCCTAACTCAGTAGTGGTCATGGTAAATCCATTGTGAATAGATAGATCCGTGTATTCAGTGTATAGATTGATCAGCAATGCTTGTACTAATGGAAATAATGTAATTCGTGTTATGTATTTACCAAATTTATTGTTGTTTAATTCTATTTAATTATTTTTAAATACAAAATACAAGAACTCACTGTGATTGCAAGGTTCAACCTTCTCACTTATCTCACTTATGATAAAAGTACTTGAGAGTAGAAAGAATATATTCGAATGAAATTTAAGATAATCTGTGGATATCACATTAAGTTATTTTCGAATCAGTTATGTCACACACACCAAGTAGATTATAGCAAAACTTCTAAATAACGCAAATATAAGAATTCTCTCAAAATATAAAGCAGATCTTCTAGAATCCAATGCTATCATTCTGTGTATCAATTCAAACTCCTTAACGTAGACGTCGCTGTTATATAAGGGTTCTATAAAGCCATGATCTTATTTGTGTGTACAGAATTGCGATTCTTAATCCAATTGTTTTATTGAGACCCTTCCGTGTTGGAGATCTTCGAAGTTATTTTTATCATGTGGAAATATCTACCTTTAGGATTGCATCTAAAATGTAAAATCTGAATGATTAAATAAGTTGATGTCACTAAAACTATCTCCTATTGATAATATGAATTTATAATTCAACTTTCTATCTCTTAACAATTTAGTCAAAATAGACTTTTATTATGGTGTCATTCGATATCCAATGAAATTTGATGTGAATTGTAATAGAAACTAAAAATGTTTCTTCAAATAGGCATCTCTTAAGATCTATTCCAAAGATTCTCCATTAATAATAATCTGAAATTATCGAATATGCAGATTCTTTTATCCACCTGAAATCCATCTAGGACTACAAGTAAATGATCCTTTTTTGTGAATCAAAGTATCTGAATGCCTTAATTCCTTTTTATTTGAATGGGATCTTAATTAACCACTTAAATTTTATAACTATTGCTTTAATTGCAGGAATAACTCATCTTGTGTTTTCGCTTGGATGTGAACAACTGTGTCACTTGAGTTAAGCAATTAGACCCTAAATGCTATTGGCAATACCTTCTCATAGTTGTCTCCACTGACCAACCAACATGGGATGCCTAATTATTTAATCCCATTTAATGTTGGAGTCACATGTTTATTGACTTTTTCTTGAACTCCTATCACACTTACGAGATCACAATTCCTTTCAAATTCATGCATTAAAAACTAATACTCATGCATGAATTCAATTTTGTTTGATTGAATATCCAACAATTTATTGGCTTCCTTAATAAAAGTATTCATCTAAGCCTCAGTCATTAAACTTCTATAAAATAACACTGGTCTGCTACCTTATACTTGTATATCTTTAATCATTAGATCTAGTTTAGCCACTTAATCCTTCTCCAAAGATAAACAACCTATCATATCCAAACTATCATCTCTTAAATATTGTAAATATTGAGAATCATCATTTTCTAGACTCAACTTATTGCATAATTCCTCCTGTAATCGGATAATGATACTGAATTTTCTAGAATTAAATGAGTGCAATGACATAACATCGATTAAATGAGTTTCTTCTCCATCTTAAATGACATATCTGATTTGATTTTCGTTTTTGCTTCTACATATGAATCTAAAACCGTAATGCTTACACAAATGCAATTATTATTTATCTAACTCTGAACTGTATTCATAAAAGAACGAGTCATCACTTTTCTAATACAAAGATCTTGTATTCTGACATAACACTAAAGCAAACATCGCTTCAAAATAATGAGGTTTAAATTCATTGTCCTAAATTCTCCTAATCAAAGTGATTTCATTACCAGAAAACTCGACTTCTGAAACTATTTCCAAATTCGATGGAATTCTAGGAGCATGAAACTTCTAGCTCCCTCTTTGTAAAGTCAATTATCTTTTGCTTTCATGTTGACTGTTCACAATCAGACTACTACCTCTTGGCTGAGACTACTTTTGTATTTGTGCTCCCTCTGCACTTTAATCAAATTGACTGCTTATTTGGGATTCTGGTCTGAACCTTGGAGGCTAAGTCCTATGCAATTCATCATATGGAGGATGATCATCATCTAAGTCTTCCAATTTGAAATTCACCTCCTCATTATTACACTTGATCATAGGAGAAGATTCAGGTTCTACTTTCTCATCTATTGGTTAGTTTAATTCCTGTCTCATTTTAGTCTATTAAATGGCATTTTAAAATTCCTTCTCTGCAAATGATCTATATCTTAATTTATAGAGAGAATCGAAAATGAAAATCCATTTGATCTTGAAAGAAGGAGTCGTTAGAGTTCCAGTTTTATCAATCAACACATGGTTAATCAAAGATAAATTCGAAATTGGAGAATAATTTATTTGCAAGTACTTTAAATTTTTGTGATAATTATCTTATAGGGGATTGTAATCTTGGCGTGAATGCTTAGAGTTTCCCTTTTCCTTTTAGAATTAGTAATTGTTGTACATCATTTATGTAAAGTAGAGTAGATCAATCAAAAAATAGAAATACAGAGGCAATAAGTTGGAATATTGGATCAATGGAAATTCTATTAGGTAATTAAGTTCGCCATAATACTCTATTGTGTATTGAATTACACTAAGCAACACTAAAGAGAGTATGGCTATAAAGAAGTACAAATTTGCTTTCTATTCAAAGTATCCATATTTCTCAACATGTTTAAATGACTTATAACATCTGCAATCTAGACCGACAGAGAGAATGACTCCAAACAAGTACAAGTCATTTAAGAGTAACTGTTCTCTGAAGAAGATGTTTTCTTTGTTTATTTCCAAAGGCTTGGGATCCTTCTTCAATTTTACCATGCCTTTATAATATTGATCTGAGTCAGTTTGATCGTATCTGATAACACCATTCAAAATAGTGCGATAATCAAGTAACTAAACATTATGTTCTTTGGATATAGTAGTTAAAGGACATGCTCGTTTTCTAACTTCATTGGTATTGCCACTCATTACAGTATTACTAGCCATGCTAGCAGATTAACCCATATCTAGAATTAATACATCAGCTGGGCATATTTCATTATTTTTTAAATAAATGATATCTCCAACCTGAAGTTGATCCCATCTCTTCATTGTAAATAGAGGAATTCTAGTTTATTTGTCCTATCTTCCTGTGACTGTATCTATACTAACCTTTCTCATACAAATGTCCTTTTGGTAATTATTGTTATTAACCAAGTTTTCATGTTCAACTATATTTTGATTTATGGATTTCCTTCCTCCTTATTTAATTAATTTTGAGGAAGCCACATTTAATACACTTTTTTTTAAGTCAGCAAACACAGTGGCTTAACGAGAGTTTGTTATTTCATCACGCTCTCGTTTTTAAATGTCAAAGTACAATTCAATGATCGTATGCATAGTAAATGTTAACAGAAGTGAAATTAGATAATTATAGTCTAATTATATCATGTTGATGACAAATAAGTACAAATTTAGAAATCGCTTAAAAAATTTAATTATCAAGACGTATAAACAATTTGTTAATGTGTATCTACTAGTTTTTACCAAATTAAATTGATTTTCATTTCCTCTGACATTTACACTCTCCCCATTTTCCAAAACAATCTATTGTTAGAAAATTCATACCTTCTTTGAGTACTGCTAATTCTCATGCAAATGATCATTATTGGTCTAAGGAGCTTCTGATTTGAATATTTAAGACAATCTTCTCAAAAGACCCATTATAATAATATTAATAAATTCATTTCATATGAATAGTCCTCAATCTTTCCTTGAATTACTTATCAATCTGACTCTTCTCTTATTCCAACTATAATAATTGTTGCTGCTCCTTCTCTCTCAATTAATTCTTCCATGAACTCTGCTCAATCTCCAATTAGTCCTCTCATCTACTAAACACTTGATACCTACTTCATCTGAAGCTACCTAATCGATCTCTAGAACCTCCCATCCAACTCCTTTGATAAAGCCACCAGTTCTTCAATCGGCAAAGTCAATTGCTTTGATGATTGCAAACTTGAATTCTCCTGCTATTGAAATTTAAGAATGTCATCCAACTTAGATGAAACATACTCAACATCTAAATTGATCTCAATCTCTACATTACTGATTTTGAGCTTGTTTCAATTGTTCATCGATTTGCTCCTGTTATTTAGTGATCTGCTCAATATATAGCTTTTCCATAATATAAATAATTATATATTCATAATTTAATCCAAATGTCCACCTATTCCAAAACACGAGATAGCTTAACTATTAGGTTGGCAATGCTTTGAGTATCCTTTTTCTCAAAATAGGGATCAATATTCTGAGTCTGTTTGTAATTGGGAACTGCCTTGTTCAACTCCAGAAACTAGTAGTTCACCAATTACCTATTCGGACTCAGATGATTCAACATCACTGGCAACTGGTGAGTGTTCCGAGTCTTGATCTTATTGTCCAATAGATGCAGACTCCTATGCTAGAATATGAGGGTCTTTCTGATGGGGTAATTAATGAGACTTTGCCTCTGCCCATTCTGAACCAACTGATCCATCTTTTGTATTGCAACCTTGTTGGGAAGAGTGTCGTCATCATTAAATACCAATTCAAATCCTTCTGCATCACTAGAAACATTAATTTCATGATATTCTACCAATCCATAATTCTTCTTGCCCTTCCCAATTGATCCCTGTTCCAACTTCCTGATGCCCAACACTCTCAAAGATGAATGAGGTAACTTAAATTATTTTATTTGGAAATATTACTAAAATGGCTCCATTTACCATTCTCTCATGAAAGGTTGTGGCCTTGTCTACATCTCCCTCTTAGAAGTAGTACTTCCCCAAATATTCGTATGCTTTCAATTCGTGATTCTTCTTATGTAATTTCCAACTGCACATCAAATATTTGGTAAAGTAAATTTTAGATTGTCGATTCCTTAATTTAAAAAAGCAAATCCCCAAGAGTTTGTAAGCCAGCAATTTATACTTTAATAGATGCTCATTATCAGACATCCTCTTTACGATTTTCGCCAAGATTATGCTAAAGTAGAGCAATTTATAACTGCACACAATCTTAGCCAATTTAAGGTGAATGAATATTTTCAAGTCTATTATCACTTCTTATCATACCTGGGATCTTGGATTTCAACACTTGATTGCTTATCTCATTGATTATTTTAATCGCCTAATCTCTATCCTTCCGTTCTAAGTATAATTAGTTTAATTGCATGAGAGCATTTTAGATGATAACTCTATTCTATTGCAACATCTCAGTACTTATGTTACCATAAAAAACACTTACATCAATTATTGTTACTTCTCAGGATTCCTTATCTCCTCCTTAATCTTATCTATTTCCTCTTGAAATGCCAATTTTATATTTTGGATCATCAGAGCTTCCTTTATTGCATTCTTCGCTCTCATAGTTTATCTGCAAGTCATATCCCCTTTGAATCTAGTGTCATTGGTAGACTACAATTGATCTTAACTTGCCTCTGTTTATAAATGTCCAGAGTGTTTTGGTAAGCGTAATTGAATTCTTGATTTCACTTTCATATTTTGATAAATTAATATAAATTGTAATTAAGTTATATAAATTCATCAATAACATTACTATCAATCTGATTTATTTTGTAAAATCAAATCACTTGTTGCTATGAAATTCATGGAACCAAAAATTGGATTAATAAAGTAGAAAATCAATAGATAACTTCATAATTCAAATAATAAGGATAGACTACCTAGGAACAACTCATTATAATTTCCCTTTATAAGAATAAAATTACCATATCTACTCATAAAGCATTATGGAATAGTCACATCAGTAATAGACACAAAGATTCAAATTTGGTTTCAAAAGAATAGAGATTAAATTAAAATTACAAACTTAAATGGATGATAAATAATATTCCTCATTCTTTATTCTAAAGACATAAGAAATTTTCAGAATTTAAAGTATATCATTCAAATTAAATGAATAATTATTGGATAAATTCACTTAATAATAGTGATGTGAACTATTTTGGGAAGTAGGAAAATATGCTTATTGATTATTATTTCCAAATGAATTTTTGTGATTTTATACTAATTGATAACATATAATTAATGACCAAAATTAAAATTATAAAAAATATATAATATCAACAAATTAAAATTTTGTATTTCATTTTTAGTCTCAACTATTCATAAGAAAATAAAATTATCTAATACCGCTAAACCATACAGTTTTCTAAAAGTCTCAAATTTCACTTGATTAAAAGTATTTAAAAGTTTGAATCGATCCTAAATCTAAAAATACTCATCTGCTATTTTAAGAACAAAATATTTGGAATATAGTCTGGTTATTTAAATTTATCTTGATTTCACTAATAAGTTAAACTTTTAACATATATTACATCAGGATATGGTCAATGATAAGAAAAGTATGTTTATGTAAAATCTAATTATTACTGGAGCATGACATTATATGACTCTGCAGTGAATTCAATTGTTTTATCATATCCTGAAAATAGTAATTGGATTATTTTTTTACTAATTTCAAATAATTTTCAATATTTATTTCAAAATAGCTATTTATGTTTCCTTTACATTAGAAATCCACGCTGTACATGAATATATTAAATAGTGTATTCTATTGATGCAAAATAGGATGATTTTAAATGAACTCAATCAGGAAGTGGATAAAACTCAAAATATTATAATTAAATAAGAAGGCTTATTTAGTTAATTAACATTCCTGAAAAAGTGAAAGGGCAAAGGCGCAACCACTGATAATTAAATTAGAGAGAAGATCAAAATCTGCGAAGGGTATATTGGATCATTAATGCAATATATCAAATTAAAAGAGAGAGTATGATAGAATACTCAATGAATTATTCTATCATTGGGATATAATCACTATTCAATTTCCATTATCTTTAGAAGGCTCATCATCCATAACTATCATTGATGAAGATCTTTTAATTTTTCAAATAAGAATTTTTAGTTATAAGTCTGTGAATTTATTTGATTAAGGTTAAAAATGGAATTATACTATACAATCTGAATGAGTTGGAATATATTCAGTTTGTCCTAGGATCGTCTATAATAAAATAATCAATAAAATTGAGGGAAGACATTAGCTTTATAGATCGCTAGGTCAATCAATTTACTCATTAATTAGTATCCCTTGATGGTTGGAGTGTATATTTGAACACAAAAAAATGGCCTTTGGAGAGATTTTTAGCCTTTAATGAGATGAGATTAGCCTTTTGATAACCTTGAGATTAATCTTTGATAGAAGCTTGAAGATTTAAAAAATGGATGTGTAAATCAAATATAACTGGTTTTTATTAATAGATTGGAGCCAAAAATTTAATCAAGTTATTCAGCCCAACTAATTGAAACTATTAATTATAAATATATATTAATTTTACAAATGAATTAGTCTGTAGGTGAAAATTAACAATCTTTGCCGTCAATCAATTATGGGAATGTGAAGTATTCCTTCAAATGTTTACGCCGACATCTTTTTAAAGATAAAGTGTATCATGTTCATGCGCTTCATAATATGATTACTATAGGAGAGGTACACCACTATTTAGAAGTAGCATTTCAACGATCCCAACCCCAAATACAAGTTGGAGTTGAATCTCAAGAACACGGTTTATTGGAAATAGGAGAATGGGTAGAACAAAGCCTTCGGTATTAAATATAAGTAAGTAATTATTTTTAAACTAATATTTTCAAAGAAAGAATGTGAAGTATTTTGAAGCTTCTTCTGAATAATTAACAAAATTTCGTTAGGCAATCAGTTGTTTAATTGGGTTCCATTCACTTGATGAACATTATAAATTAGAAAAAGTAATTGGATAGGGTTCATTTTCTAAAGTCCATAAAGTTCATAGGTTGCATGATGACAAGGCATTTGCAATGAAGCAAGTATCCAGTAAGTAAAAGAATGATAAGGAGAATATGGTATTTACCTATTTAATTGTATTCAGTAATTATTGGAAAACGAAATCGGAATTTTACATTCTTTGAATAACGAATCCATTCTTAAAATATATGAAGTTTTCAGAATCGAAGAACATTAGTATGGAATTATTGTTGAATTTGTTGATGGAATATGCTTGGCTACTCTTATCGAACAACTCAAAAAACATCAAAATAAACTCAAAGAATACGACATCAAAATTATCTTGTAGGCAATCCTTAAAGCTTTGGTTATCATTCATTAAGAACAAGTGATTCATAGAGATATTAAACCATAGAATATTATGATCTCTCTATCATCATTTAGGAATGTCAAAATCATTGATTTTGGATTAAGCATCAAAAATTAATTGTAATATAACAAATGTGGAACTCCTGGTTACATGGCTCCTGAAATCGTTAACATGAAAAAGGATTAGCAAAAAGCATGGACTTCTCTCTGTGATATCTTTAGTCTAGGTGTTGTCTTTTTCAAATTGTACAATATTATCATGCAATTAGATTGTCCAAAGGCATCAGTTGTTTTTAAGGATAAACCTCTGATCAAGTCTTAGCAAACAATAAAAAATGCTAAATAGACTGGTCTATTGTTCAATAATATAATTATTCCAAAAATTGCATCGTAAGACAAACGATAATAAATTTAAGTCTTTATTGAAGGCAATGTTAGCCAAGGATCCTGATGAGAGGATTACTGCTTACCAAGCGCTTTAGCATCCCTTCTTCGCTGATTTGCCCCCAGTATTAGCCACTGATTTCGCCGGAAATTCTATGACATTTAAATCAAAATGCATTATCAATCAAACTATTGACAAATAAAATCTCGACTCCATAAATACTTTAAACGATCTCTCTGGACTTTAAAAATAGCAAATTTATGTCAGGGATTTAAGACCATCAAGAATTAGCAGAAGAGCGTGATATTATATTTTTGTGTTTCATTTTTTACATTTTTTTATATATTACAATAATTGAATATTATATAATCTCATAAAGTAAATTTGAAGTATCTTTAGGATCTGTCTATACTTGAACTAAAATTATAAAACACCGCTAATCCACCTTATTGAAAATCTGTAAGCAGTAAATTTACAAGATAGCCCTTCCTATAAGTAAACTCAAAAAGGAGCTGATCAAATTATACATAAATTTCGTTTTTAAAAACCATAAAAAAAACTATATAAATATTAAATCCTAATCACGTGTAAAAGTTCATATGAGGCGAGGTTTGAGAAAGATAAGAATTTTGTTTAGAAATGGTCTAAGTGAATTTAATTGATAATGACATATATGAGACCTCATCCATACCATATATGTTCTTGGAAGTATGCTTTCGACTGATAGGTTATTATAAGTTGATATAAGAGAGTAAGCGCATAGGAACATGCAAAAATCTCAAATCATGAATAAGGAAAATACAAAAAAATTTTAAGTGTTTAAAAACCATTGTATTTTAATAAATGAAGAACTAGAAAGATTTTAATAATTTCATAGCAAATTATTATCCTAATTTGAAAAATATAATATATTAAAGAAAAAATTGACGGTTTTTTACTAACTAGTTAAAAATTTTCACTTCTTGTAATTAAAGAACAAACAGTCAAAACTAAAGAAGGTTAGAGAACAAGAAGAATTTAAGGTAATAATCAATTAAAATCATTATCGATAGGCCATCTATAATTTTACTTAAAATATTGGATATAAACAACATTGGCATATTAATTAATTTTGTTTAGGAATTTTTAAGATCCAAAATCATTTGTTGTTTACTTCATTGTTAGAACAATGGAAAAATTGATCGAAAAGAGTTGAAGTTCTTATTAAATTCTTAAAATTAAGCTGAATTATATATTATTAAAGCTTGATTGAAACATGATTAATGATTTTAATTATGATATATAAATCATCCAATTAAAAAATGCTATGTTCCGATTAAACATCCGCATTCTGTACAATAGTGTTCTACATCTTTGAATCTTTTTAGAAAGTAAACAAGAATTGCCAAAGGTATTGTAATAATACATACAATAAACAAAAGTATAAGTAAATATGCACCTTTTCCATTTTTATATTTTAATTTTGAATTAGATACTTTTTAGCAGTTTACACATTATAATTTTTGAGATTCTCTAGTTTATGGAACTTTAGGATATGAAATATCAGTTTGACTAATAAGAGGTATGTCTCCATTATGTGATATTAAAACTTATTTAGTCGTTTAGCATTGTTCAGTTCGTAATTCTGTACTTTTATTATCAACTTGATATTTCATTTGATATTTATATAATTAAATATATTTAATCATCTTTTATATTTATTTGATTCCTGTCGTTTCAACTATTACAATTCTTATTGGAATTCTTATTGTATTTTTTACAATTAAGTATCGGTTTTTCTAAATTATCCTGTCTACTGCATTTCTTTGAAGGTCTCCTACGTGGAGAATGCTTTGTCAGTAGTTTTAGTTGATTAAATGCTTTGAAGTACTTTAGGAGTGGCCTTTACAGGGTTTAATTTTGGAGGTTAAGATTGAGGTTTAGTTTATTTTTATTATTATTATTACTGTTGATTATTTAATTATTATAATTATTATCTTTCTTGTTGTAAATTTTACATCTATTGTTTAACTTTTTAAGTTAAGGCAGTATTAACTTATTTAATAATTTTCTTGGGTTGATTATTATTTTACATTTATTCCTATTGTTATTATTGTTGTTATTATTGTTATTGTTATTGTTATTATTACTGTTACTATTTTACTTTATTCAAATCAAAACCTCCTCCTGTTAGTAAATCCTTCTTTTATTATCTCTCTTCCTCTTTTTATCTTTTCTCTTCCTACATTTTTTATTGATACTATTATAATTTTTCATCAGCTCTTTTCTCTATATAAATAAACTATAATTTTACTTGTTTCCTACTATCTCTACTATAGCTCTTATTATTATTCATTCAACAATCTCTATCTCTCCTCTTCTTCCTATTATTTTTTGAATAACAAAGCTTGTTTCCTTTGTAATTCTGCCTATTACTATTGTTTCTTCAATTCTTCTGCTTACATCAACTCCTCCTGTCTACTTCCAGCCACTAAATTGAGAGTCAAAGGACAATCAATGAGTAATTGCTCATTCAAATATAAATACACTAAATAATTTCCTGGTTTGTTCACCTATAACACGAGTTTATGTTTAGATGGTTCATCAAGTTCCTTAATCTCGGCTTTGTAGCCATCGTTCATATAATTAAGATAGATCTTATTATCTTATTGCTACTAAATCTTGCTCATGGAGACCACTTGATTTTTGTGTAATAACTACTCAGGAGTAATTTCAGAATCATCAGAAACAAAAATGTTGTATCTAATAGGATGTGTTTGTTTGATCCCGTATGGACCATACTTATCTCCTAGGTTGATAATGAGATTAATGTCTGAAAAGGTTTCGAATTCTTCTTAATCTTCGTCTTCTAATTCCAATTTACACCACTCTCCTTATAGAGCAGTTGATTCACAAAGCCTGATTCCCCTGCAAAGGTGGAGTTGTCTAACAGGAGCAGAGAAGAATAACTTAGGTTTTGGTTCTTTGTCAATATCCCATTTAAATATCTTTCCTTGCAAATTCAGAGCATAGATCACCCCTTCATATGTGCAAGCTTAAATAATTTATACATCCTCATCAATCTGCAATGTTTTTGGGTAATCAATAACTTTTTCTTTGCTAACCTAGCCACAATACAAGACCTCTCCATCAGAAGTAACAAAAATACTTGCATTTTCATTTGCATTAATATAAAAGCATTCCTCTTCCTATATTTATGAATATTGTTGATGACTATTCACTCCTAGTTAATGAAATTTATTTTATCCTATTCCCCAAACTTCACCTTATGAATTAAGTGACAACAAATGATTATCTCCTCCTGCAATTTAATCAATATTATCAGCCAATTTAGTTAGTTTAGGATATTTAATATTTTCATCCAATTCGCCGATGATGAACAATGACTTTTTAGCAAGTATAGCTCCAAATTTGAAGCCCAATATAATCTATTAAATATCTGCGATAGGATCTATTTTAAGGATGTGTTTAGCTCCCCATTGATATATTCGACCTTCAGAATCCCATGCAATTGAGGTGCTCTTGTATGCCTGAACTCCAATAATGTTCTTATTGCTTAATTAACTAATATTGTATGGGACACTAATAAAGTTTCCATCTAATTCGTTCATGGTTACTTGACCTAAGAAATTCTCTCCCCAACCAAAGACTTCATTACCATTATTACATTTTTCTCCTTTGCATTAACTGACGTAAAAAGGGTTGATACATGAACAACCACTAATTAAAACTAAGACATGATGTTCTCCACTTCCAATAGAGAGTATTTTCCTGTTTTTGAATATTGAATATTAGGTTAGCTCACTACATTGGGTTAGATCCCCTTAACCCAAACAACCAGTTGCACTATTACCTTAGACAGCTAAAAGAGATATCACCTTTTTATTATCTCTCTAGATCTTAAATATGGTATTTTGATAGATATCATCTATTTGTTTGTAAATTTACTCTGGAGTAAGATCATATATTCCCAGATTAAATGAGGGCATTAATTTAACTGTTTCAGCGTAGCTTTTTAATCTCAATGCTTACATACATCCATTATAAGTTTCATTTGTCTCTAATTAAGCCTTACATAATGATAACAAGACCTTCACTTTGTCTAATGTTTGCAATTCCTTCTCTAGCAATTCAAAACATTCTGTCTTCGCCTCCTCATACATTCTATTTTTGATCAAGAAGTCGCTTCTTTAGATCTTATACTATTATTGCTGCTATGGTGTGGCTTCTTTATGATTACTTAATGCTTTTAAGATGGTGCACATCTGCCCTATGTTTTCGCATTTATTGAATTCCCTTTGTAATTCTTTGAATGTGGCCTAATCAATACTATGCACATAGGTAGTGGCCTTCACTTGTTTAGTAGTTTGTTTCTTGAATCCCATCTCTTCTTCTGTGATGTCAACTTCCCTTAGCATACACACTATGTACATCCTCTCTCTCGTAACAATTTCTATGCGAATTCTTAGGCAAACCGAGTGGATTCTGGATCTTAGACGTTCGTACGTGCTTAAGACTTCTTAGCCTTCCTGTTGAACTTTCGATAATCTTCATCCGATGAGCTATCTGACATTTTAAATATATATATATATATTATAATAAATCATTCCTTTTTGATTTTGGGTAATTGTAGTCTCTGAGTTACTTGTTCCACTACTGCGCTCTATCTAAAATACTCTAACACTGCTACTTGAGCTGACGCTCTTGCTCCTTGGCTGGTTTGACCAATTAGCTTCTTCTTAGAAAGTCGTTTTCTCTAATGGCCTCAGGAGATGGCTCATAGCGTCGTAATCTGCCTAAAAAATTTAGTTTAGGTTGATAGCTATAGAACCCGCCCTGAGACTCGCTTTTTGTATTCATTTCACATACCTGATGTAAGAATCTCGCCCTGTGCCATCTGTGTGATACAGCTTGAATTTGCTATTAATAATTGGCAATGAGTTCTGCTTTGACAAGGAGTAAAAGGAGTCCTCTGTATGCAATGAGTCTGATTTATAGAATCCACCATTTCCATAGTTGATGTATGTATCTCTTCCAGATCCATTTACTTTGTAATTGACAACTTTCGTCATTAATTATTTTATATTTTCGGTTTCATATATATAAATTATGATCAATAATTACGATCAATAATTATTGTTCATAAATTAATTATGATTTTCTTTTATAAAATATATTAAGGGGTAGGGGAAATTAATTAAAAAAAAGATATTATGAGGTGACCCATTTTAAGCTGCGTGGAAATTCAAAATTCAAACATTAAAAAAAACAAAATCCTTTTTCGTAACCGTCACAATGAGAGAAATAGTTCATATTCAAGGAGGACAATGTGGTAACCAAATTGGTGCCAAATTCTGGGAAGTCATTTCAGATGAACACGGTATTGACCCAACAGGAACATATCATGGAGACTCAGACCTTCAATTAGAAAGAATCAACGTCTATTACAATGAAGCCACAGGAGGCAGATATGTCCCAAGAGCCATCCTTATGGATTTAGAACCAGGTACTTCTAAAATAATAATCTCTTCATAGGCACAATGGACTCAGTCAGAGCTGGACCATTCGGACAACTCTTCAGACCAGACAACTTCGTCTTCGGTCAAACAGGAGCTGGTAACAACTGGGCCAAGGGTCACTATACTGAAGGAGCAGAGTTGATCGACTCTGTTTTGGATGTAGTTAGAAAGGAAGCTGAAGGATGTGATTGCTTATAAGGATTCTAAATCACACACTCTTTGGGAGGTGGTACAGGATCAGGAATGGGAACATTGTTGATCTCAAAGGTCAGAGAAGAATATCCAGACAGAATCATGGAAACCTTCTCAGTTGTGCCATCACCAAAAGTGTCTGACACAGTCGTTGAACCATACAATGCCACTTTATCAGTTCACCAATTGGTCGAGAATGCCGATGAATGCATGGTTATTGATAATGAAGCCTTGTATGATATTTGCTTCAGAACTTTGAAATTGACAACCCCAACCTATGGTGATTTGAATCACTTGGTCTCAGCTGCTATGTCAGGAGTTACATGCTGTCTTAGATTCCCAGGTCAATTGAACTCTGACTTGAGAAAATTGGCAGTCAACTTGATCCCATTCCCAAGACTCCACTTCTTCATGATTGGATTTGCTCCCCTCACATCCAGAGGATCTCAATAATACAGAGCTCTTACAGTCCCAGAATTGACATAATAAATGTTCGATGCCAAGAACATGATGTGTGCTGCTGATCCAAGACACGGAAGATATTTGACAGCCTCAGCTCTCTTCAGAGGAAGAATGTCCACAAAGGAAGTCGATGAATAAATGCTCAATGTCTAAAATAAGAACTCATCTTACTTCGTTGAATGGATTCCCAACAACATCAAATCATCCATCTGTGATATCCCACCAAAGGGTTTGAAGATGGCAGTTACATTTGTTGGAAACTCAACTGCTATCTAAGAAATGTTCAAGAGAGTCGCTGAACAATTCACTGCCATGTTTAGAAGAAAGGCCTTCTTACATTGGTACACTGGTGAAGGTATTTACTTAATATTAATCAATTCTAGGTATGGACGAGATGGAATTCACTGAAGCTGAATCCAACATGAATGACTTAGTCTCTGAATATCAATAATATCAAGATGCTACTGCTGAAGAAGAAGGAGAATTCGAAGAAGAAGGCGAATAATGATAATCTTAGTGATGTTTATCACAAATATATAAATTACAAACAACCTAAATTTTTATTTTCTCTCTTCAAAATTTACATTTAACTTTTAAATTTTATAAAAGAAATTTAATAATTAATTGACGAATATTATAAAATAAACATTATTGAATGATGTTATTACATTTAATTAAGATTATGTTTATATTAAAAATTCATAAATTTAGTCAAATTCATCATTTATGTTTGAATTATTTGAGTTCCTTCATCAAAATATCAGTGTTTTTACCTTCTGCTTAATATCTCTTAACAATCTGGGCAGCCCATTCATCAAATTCTTTATCTTGATTATCTAATCTTGCTAAACATTTATCTCTTTCATCAAAATTTTTCATGATTTCCTATGTTCTTTTTTGAGTTCGTTCATTTTCTTATTAATGATGAAAATCTTTCAATTCCTAATTCTTTTTTCTAATTTCCATTTTCTCTCGAAGCTCTTGTTCATGCAATTCCTTATTTCTATTAATCCAATATTATTAAAATTCTTAATTCAATTTCTTCTCCTCCTCTTCCTATTATTATTTAATTTCCATTTTCACTTTGTGACTATAACTTATTGCACTTTATAATTTACGTCTCTACTCTTTTTTCATTTTTTCAACCTCTTCTGCTTTAATCTCAGCTTCAATAATATTTTTATTTAATAATTTTTCTTATTCTTCCTTTTATTTCCTCAATTTTTCAGTTTAAGCATCAATCAATTTTTATCTTTAAGCTTACTTCTCTGCCTTTCTTTATTCATCCCTGATTTTCCTGATTTCCAAAACTCTTTCCTTCTTTTTAGCATGTTCCTCAATCTTTTTTTCCTCTTCTAATTATTTCTATTTCTCCAATTCCCTTTGCTTCTTCAACACCTCATTACCCTAAATTAATAATTATTGATTTTCCAAAACTTTATCCTTCCTTTATTTAGCAATTCTTTATTCCTCCTCCAAATCCGCCTGTACTTTTGCCTTCATTAATTCTCCTTCTATCTTTTCCTCTTGAACCTACTTTATAAATTTATCCTATTCTAAAATTAACAAACATTACTCTCATAATGTCATGCTATTTCTTAAGCATATCGTGCTGTTATTTCTTCTTCTCCACTAATTCCTATTATTTCTTCTTTTCTAAAAAATCTTTTTCAGCCTGTATTTCCAACATTTGTTCATATTGCACCTTTTCTCTTTCCTTCTCCAACATTTTCTACATCTCTTTAATTTATTTTTATCCTTCTCTTTCTTAAAGTGCATCCACGACAAGCATTTTAGATTGAAACTGTCTAATCCGTTCATTATTCTCATAGATTTATTTATTAGCTTTTTCTAAGATTTGTTATTTGACAAGGGCCTAATATCGACGTTCATCTTCATCTATTTTTCTCCTTTCTTCCTCGTCCTACTTAAAACGTTCAAACCTTAAATGAGATTTACAAATTGAATACTTGGTTCTATCCTTCTATACCTTGTTCTATTTCAAAGTGTTATTCCAATTCTTTACACGATCCTACGATAATTTATGCCTTTGTGAACAGTTATGAATACAATTCAAATTTCTCCGGAGTATCTTGATGATATACTGTAATATGGTCTTGCATTCTCTTCAACTCCGAGAGTGGAATCACTGCCTAGGTCTATTTACTTGAAGCCACTGCTGATTAAACTCTACGAACACTCATTTTTATATTATTATAATCAATTATTTATGTATATACAGTTTAATAAAGTAATTGCCATTTTATAAATGCCACCATCTTCAATCGCTCTTATGGTAACAAAGAGTTCATTAAACTAAGTTGGTTGATCAATAAATCATACCTATGTCTTTGAATGAGTCTCCAAATTTTGTGAGAATAGGCTGGACAGTAATTTTTTAATTACATATTGAATTTGATTGAAATTCTTGTACTATGTAATTGATCTCGATTTTATTAATATTTTTTGAAATTATTAAGATTGTAAATGTTGAATACGAAGTAAATTTTAAAAATAAATTGAAATTTGATTTACCTTCTTACTTCAGATTATTCAGAAGTTTTACTAAAGCAAAACAAGCTAATGCTGCAATGGTTACAAATGCAGCTCATATGATAAAGATTACTTAAACAATTAAGGATAATTGAAAAACAATTTATTAAATTGATACTTAATTAGTTGTATACTTTTCAGAAGCTTATAAGAATAAACATTAAATTATCTTTAAGAATCTCTTCAGTTTAAGTATTTCTTACAGCTATAATTACTCCTTCTCTATTGTTTAATTCTTATAATATTATTTTTATGGATTAATCAATTAATGATGCTGAGGCTTTCCTTAAACAAAAAATCAAGGTCAATCCATTGAAGGATCAGATGTAGCAGAATCAAAAGAATTATGAAATTCAACTTCAAGTAGCTCATTATTTCAAGAAATCTGAATGTTACACAAAAAAACCAGCAATAAAATTAGTAAGTATGATTTTATATCATTAAATTACTCAGGCAATGAGAACGATGAATTATAAGTCTATTTCATTTATGGAGAGCACATTCCTGATCAAAGTAAAAAATAAGATTATGATTCTTTTAAAATTGATGTCATTGAAACCATGCATCCAAAAATTGATAGATTTTTTATCATAGTCTTTTTCAATACTAATATGATGACTGCCTCAACTCTCAATGATTTCAAAGACTTTTATGGAACACTACCTGAAAAATACTTTTTTCATATGAAGAAATTTATTGTCCTTCATGCAAATTTTATTGTTAAAGGAGGAGGGATTTTTGGAATGAATGAGATCAAATCCTTTTTTAAGAAGATCACTACCTTTGTTGATACGTATTATCGCATATAAATATCTAGACTTCTCATATTATCCAAAGAAGAATGGTTTAAATATAAGATGCTAGCTGCATTACCAGAAAGTGTTAAAGCTTATGATTAATCTTATAAAGATATCGAGAATCAAAGAAAAAAGACGGTTTTCAGGAAACAACAAACCTAATAAGCAGTTGGAGATGATGACATAGATTCAGATGATAATTTCGATAAAGAGTCTAAGATTTTGGGATTGAATTTACACGAATACGAAAGAAACAAATATGGCATTCCAGTTATTCTAGATATGCTTGTTTAATATTTTGAAAAATAACCAGAGAAACTCAAAACGGAAGGAATATTTAGAAAGTAAGCTGTCGTTTATGAAGAGAAAGTAGTCGAGGCAGCATTGGCATGTCAAAAAGTAGGATTTGTGAACAAGGTTGAAAATGCTCATACTATTGCATGTGTTTTTAAATAATTTTTCTTAAGATTGAGAGAACCTCTTATGACTTATCAACTCTATGACTGGGTTGTTTAAAATAAACCATAAATTGAGTAAAATATGGAAGTAAGTGTGCAAATGCTTTTTGATTACATGCCAGAATTGAATAGAGAAATATTACTGTTCTCACTAGGATTTCTATATTCAGTCATTAAAGAATAAGAGCATAATTTAATGACTGCCTATAATATGGCTGTTGTCTTTGGCCCTAATTTCTTTAGATCTGAAGTCGTTAAAATGGCTGATTTAGGTTATGTTACGTAATTATTGAATTTAATTAAGTCTTTTTGTTCAAATAGTCCAAATTATGTTGGAATAGAAAAAAGACTATGATTATAAAAAGTTTTTAGAAGTAAGAAGTGATAATCTAAATTTTGATGCCTCATTAGTTCCCTTTTTGCCAGATGATCTAGCCAATTTAGATGACATCTTAGATATGGTCTCTGGTAATTATTGCATACTAAGACAATAGACAAAAATGTAGTAAATGAAACTGAGAGAAAGGAATTAAAGGCTAGATATAAATGAATTGAGTATATTGTTAGATCAAATTATTGTGATTTTTAGTTAGTTATAATACTTCATAAGCTCTCATCAAGTGTATGTAAAGTTGTAGATGTTAACTATTTCTTCTTAATGTCTAATAACTACGATCCGAATGGAATTGATTCATTTTTGTACCTAGTTAGTCTAAATTGCTTGTATGGTTAACTTATCTAGACTTGTATTTTTTATGCGCGGGCTGATTGATATATGGATGGTAATCGATTATTACATGATCGATTCATTCTTGCTTCTTATTGAACAATTTGGGATATTATTTTATTCTTCCTCGATTTCAATTTATTTGCATTCATTTATTTGATTTTAATAATCAATCCTATACGTGAATAATCTGACGAATTGATTAACAACCAAAGTATTTCAACCTATTTAAATGATAGAAATTTTAGGATTTAGATAATTCTAAAAGGAAGAATTTGTATTACCAATTAACAAAATACTTATTTGTTTATGGAAATCATTATTACTAAGTTCATCTGATATTTTAATTGAAAATGTTTTGTTTAATGGAATTTAAGAAAACAAAAACCAAAAATTAATTATGGTTGCGAAGGAAATTGAAAGGAAAAGAAAAGTATTTGCTAGATCATTGAAATAGAAGCACTTAAACTTGAAATATAGAAATTTTTTTTATCTGAATATCCTTACCATCTGGGATCATTTTAATACTGAAAAATGTTAGGATTACAATGTTTATAAGAGATACTATTTCATAGAATTAATAAATCATAAAACTTTTATTTTAAGCTAATTCAATATAATAAAGGAAAAATGCAAAGCAATTAATATAATAATTAACTTTAAATTAATAATATGGCTATTCCAATTAAGTGGGATGACATGTGGGCTAATCAATAAATTTAGAAATAAGCTTTAATTGTAAGTAAATAAAAATCAAATCACAATTTGAATAATGTATTACATAAAAATAAAATTATAATTTGTCTTCCAGCGAATTTTTGTATCTTTGAGATCCCTAGTATTTCAACAAAGTTAATAAACATAATGATCCAAGCAGTAATCATATGAACTAAATTGTTCAAAGTGAAATTGTTTATATCCATTCGACATCTTACATGATTGTTGAAAAGATTAAATAGGATCTATAAATAATTATTTAATATAAATAATTTAATGAATATGTGGTTTCTAATACATTATGATAATTTTAGAACTTAATAATTTATCACTTTTTATATTATATGAATAATGAAGATTTGGAGCGTATAACATTCTCAAAGTAAAGTCAATGAAGCTACGTAGTTAAACATCCATTTAAGAGATTGCTCATTTCAGGAGTAGACTAGTCTTTGATAAATTTGAAAACATGAATTCGAATTAACAATAAAAATGTTAAAGTTTCAACGCTTTTGAAATTGGTACACCAAAAGCAAGAAAATAGAAAAAAACTAAAACAAACATAATTTTGAGAAATGAAGAAAGTGTTTTTGGCTAGAGATTCGACAATGATAATTTATCAAAAAAGGATATCTCTTCTGTCAAATATACATTCGGAGCCAGATCTGAAAAACCTAAAAGAGAAGGCACTAATAAGGTAATGATTGTAGCGAGTTTAGATTGTTTAATAAATAAATGAGAAGGTTTAGAAGCAAAAATACAAGTTTGCTTAAGAGAAAATGAAATGTAAAACTGAGAAAACCTTTAATAATAGTGATAATTAATTCTATAAAATGAACAAGAGATATGAAAAAACTAAACTAAAGACTGAATAAATTTATTTAGTTGATCTCTATAAAATTTATGGTTATTAAAGGTTGAAATATGAACTGAATGTAATTTTTTATTTAAATAGATTTATCAAGATAACTATAGTTTTTTGAAACTTAGAAAATTCATAATCAAAGTTATATATGGAATACTAATCATTTTAAATTGCATGCAAAGAACCATCTTTTACAAATTATTTATGTCAATTATAATATTGGTGAATCTCGTAATTTTTGTATCCAAAATCTTATCTATAGAAGATGATAAGTTTGTTATTTATGAAATAAGTAATGCAATTTTATTAAAATTAGTGGTAATATACGTGTACATTGCTGATTAAGTATTTCGCATACTCTCAAAAGGAATAATAGGACACAAACATGCATATTTCAGAGTTGTTAAAAACTGGTTTGATTTAATTTTAACAGTCTTGCAAATTATTACTACTTTGATTCCCATTATAGATGTTGTAGACTTTTCACCTTTGAGATTAATTACGTTGCTTTTGTATTTAGGAGATTTTGTGCCAGGTATAAATTAGTTTAATTAGGTTTGAAAATTATGTTATAAGCTCTTGGAAAATCATTTAAATACCTGGTCGAAGCTTTAATTATTGTGATTATTTTTGGTTTGTTTTTTGCAACCCTTGGTCAAAGTCTATTTCATGGTCTAATAAACTATAGATGCTTGCCTAGATAGTATGATTCTCTTGATGATTAACCATGGATTTCGTGTAGAATCACCTCTTGTCCGGATGATTTGGTTTGTTAATATGTTTCGTAAGGACCAAATATCCCAACATCTTTTAATAATGTCTTTTCATCTTATGCTTAAGTCTTGAGAACAATTACGATGGATGATTGGACATGGGTCATGTATTTCACCCTTAAAAGTTATGGTACCTACATTTGGGTGTACTACTTATTGATAATCTTTTTTGGTGGTTTCTTTGGATTTAATTTAGTTATTGCAGTCTTAAAAATTCATTATAGTTAATAAACTAATCAAAAATTAAATCAATTTGAAGAGGATGATGAACATCAAAAGGAGGAGAAATTAAATTTATAAATTCTAAAATAATTTGGTTTGTATCATCCTATTTTATAATACAAAATGTATTTGAAAGGGGATCATTAATTAGTAAGTCGAAGTTTTTGTTCAATAACATCATCTATTTAGTCAGAATAACCTCGTATTCTATCAGGAAAACACTATTCTAAATATGAAAACAATTTTTAATTCTTGTAGTAATTCTCATTAAAGACATTATTGTTGCCTAAATTTGTGGATATTAAAAAATATTAGAATGTACTTTAGGATTTATATGACAATTTGAGTGAGAAACCCGATATCAACATGTAGTGTCTAACTCATAATGAATTTACAAGATATTGGGCAAATGCAAAAAATGAAGAATATGTTTCAAATAGCGCATCAGATGTTATTTAGTGCAAATAAGATTTTAGTTAGAAAGTTCAAAAACGAATTTTGGAATTTAGATATCAAGCAAAAATTAAGAATAAATAGAAAAATTCGAATGAACTCAAATAATTTCCAATACTTAAGAGCAGAAGATTAAAAGAGAAAATAGCATCATTTGCCTCAAGTGGTATTACATTGATGGACATTCATCATCATTAATCTAGGGTTACATCGCAATAATAAACTACATCGATCCATCCTAATAATATATTTATTTCAACCTAAAACAAGAAGAGTACCAGTGCATTTATTTTGCATAAGGAGAAGGAAATTTATGTTAAAATTTATGGATTCTATCATAATTACAAAGCAGTATCTGAGCTGATCAACAAAAAAATACAAATTAGAATTGCTGATGAGATAAAAAATTATGAGGAGAAATATTCATAAATAAGAATGTCAGAAATGTAGACTGGAATTATAGAATCCAAAAATTGTTCCATATCTAGTGTTATTAATAATTATGAACACAAAAATATTATTAAAAATTCTTTAAATCATATTGACTACTTAATTTGGTTAATAGGAATAAGAGGGAAAATCAAAATTATTAGGAAGATAACATTTATGATAATTACTAATAAATTTACAAATTTCTTTGTAGATTGCGTAATTTTAGTTAACTTTTTATGTTTGAGTTTGATAGGGATAATATCTAATTAATTTCTTACAGTTATTGAAGATTTTACAACAATAATAGTTTCAATTGAATTTGCATTAAAGTTGATCTCTTATTAAACATGTAATCAATGTATTTATTATCATTCTAGCAAAACTAGCTTAAAAAGAATAAGTAATCTTCGAATCCATCATTATTTTAATTAATTTTTATGAAATGTCCTTTAGATAGATTCTAAACTAATAAGACATAATTGCCAGATTATTAAGGGGTACCAAGATTCTCTTATTTCACAGATGTTTAAAATATATTAGAATGGCTGTGCTCATAGGTTTGATAGCAAAGAGAACATTTAAGTAATATATCTATTTGACATTTTTAATGTTTCTAATGATTCTTATATATGGTTTATTGGGTATGGCTGTTTATGCAAGTAGCTTTGATGAAACAGAACTACTTGGACATTTACATTCTTACAAGGATCCTTTAAAGTCTTGGATGACTGTGTTTAATATAATGACAAATGATGATTGGTATGGTGTATTGGCATTAGGATCAAAAGTTAATCAAATATTTGCATTTGTCTACTCCTTTTCAATGATTCACTTTCTAAATTATATTACTTATGGATTAGTGATGGCTATATTGTTGGATGGCTTTGGGGAATATTTAATCGAGATAAAGAAAGATTAAGACATTATGTTTAAAGGTGAAACATCTGATCAACAAGATTCAGATTCAGAAGCCGAAGAAAATTAAAAGGAAAAAGAGAAGGGAACGGGGACAAAATCACTTAAGGTATTGTCTTAAAACCAATCGGTTTAGAAGGATACTCAATATGGTTATCTTTTAGAATCCATCTGTAAAATATTGATATATTCGTATAGAATAATTAGTCAAACAGATAAAAACAAAGAGGAGAAAGATCTACTTAGGAATTAAGTGCAAAGAATCCTTATTTTTTTTTGATAAGTTCAATCAATAGAGAATCTTCTGTGTGAAAACCATTCGATCAGAGCTCTTCTATTGGAGTAGATTAGGGTTGAATTTAGGGTTTATAGTTTTAATTGCAATATAAACCTATCATGTGGAATATATGGTAGTTGTCGACTCCTTGATTCTGATAACTAATCTATTAATAACAGTGTAGACAATGATGCTTATAATTGCACTTGGATTATTTCATGAGAAAGGATCTTATATACAAGTAATTCTAATTTGTTATATAGCACATTTGGTAAATCATAGACATAATGTATTTGGTCTGTTATTATCTGTAATTGATAAATACTGAAAGTAGAATATTGCATTTATTTTTGTATCTAAGATATTTGAGACCATTCAAATTATTGTATTCATTTACACCGATAGTTAAATTGTATAATTCTTTAGTGGCTGCCTTATATAATATGAGTAATGTATTAGTAACACTATTAATAATATGGACAATGTTTGCAGTGTATGGTATGATACTCTATTAAAATAAATTTGGATTCTGTGATGATTTGATGTAGTTTGATATAAATAAATAATAATGTGAGGATGAAGGTAGAAGATGGATAACTTATTAACATAATTTTGATAATATTACAGTTGCTTTGCCTACGTTGTTTGTGATATCAACATTTGATGGTTGGGGAGAGATCTTACAAGTGGCTGAAAATTCCAGACCTTCTTATTAAGGTCCATCTCCTTTTGCAAACCAATTGCCTACTTATATCTATTTAACTCTATTCTGCTTTATAGGTTCAATGTTTTTCTTAAGTTTATTTACTGGTTTATTGTTCCTAAATTTAAAAGCAAGTTAATAGAAAATAGAATATGATGATTTAACAGTCTATCAATAAGAATTCATATAGGTCTCACAAAAAATTCTTCGGGATTCACCCTCATTTTCATAGCCTCCCAGAAATATCATTAGAAGAATAGCTTAAAAATTGAATAGCAATTCATACTTCTAATATTTATCGTTTCTTATATTAATACCAGATACAATAATTTAGATGTCATTTTATTAAGATATGGAGGTTGAAATTGCATTAGAATTGAACAAGTACCATGAGATAATATCTGTCCTATTTACTTTTTGGGTTATAGTTTAATTATTAGATTATGGATTTAAGAGATTTATAGATGATTAATGGAGACAATTCTATTCATTCATAGTCATAATCTCGTTATTTGAATTGATTGCTACCTAAAAATATGATCTATTTAGAATTCAATTTACATCTACAATGTTCACTGAGAATTATCAGATTATTCGATTATTGTTTGCTTTAAGGAATCTTAGAATTCTAATATTATTTAAAGGATTTGATGATCTACAAAGATTGATCAGAGTAATGATTTTCTCATTTCCATTTCTGGGAAAGATATTATTTATTTTGATTGTAACAACATTATCCTATGCTTTGTTGGGATGCTAATTATTCGGACATATAGACAAGGGAGTCATTATAGATTCTTAGATCAATTTTTCAACTTTCACAAGTTCTTTATTGACTTTATTAAAGTGTGGATCTTGTGATAATTTTAGAAGCATAATGACGGACACAATGATCCATAATATATACTGTTATGATGATCCTCGTTATTGTGGGTCTTAATTTGCATAAGTTTACTTTATTTCCTTTGTGTTTATATCAAACTATGTTCTATTAAATTTGTTTGTCTTGGGATTAATTGAACAATTCGAGAAATTCTTTTAATCGGAAAACTCAATTCTTTAAGTGTATATTGAATCCATTGACAAAATAAAAACTGTTTGGTGTAAGTATTCATATCAAAGACATGGATAAGCAATACATTACTTATAGATTTGTAAGTTTCTGTTAGAAATTGGTTAACCATTTACTCATGTTAAGGATAACATTTGGGATGCTGCACGTTTTGCTGGATACTTAAAAATTAGAACTGATGATTAAGGCTACATCTAATTCAACTCTTTAATTTATGAAATATTCAGGCGCACATTTAAATAGCAAGTTTTTAAGTAAGGATCTGAAGATTCAATTAAGATAATTAAAAAGTTCAATAAAGAGATGCAAATGAGACTGTTTTATTTTAGAAGGGACAAATTACAAAAAAGATCATTTATAGCAACTTATGTCGAATTCAATAGTAATTTTAGCATTGCCAGTGATTATCTTTCAATTTTAGTTATTTTTAAAGCCTGGCAAAACTATACCAAACAATTAATAAGAAGATCTAAACTAGAACAAGAGGATTTTTCTGATAATTCTTCATTTGGACAAGAAGTATAGTAATATATTATATTTATCATATAAGAGATATTGACATATTCTCAAGAGTAGATGAGGAGGAGGAACAAAGCCAGGAAAATCTGACTCGGAAGATTCCCTCGAATCCCATTAAATCTAATCAATGTTTGACCTTCGAAAGCGATCACAACATAAATTTAAAGAAATTGGATTTACCAATTTATCATGAAAACGAACTTTATTTTACTCCCAAAAGAGATGTTTCTAAAATGGCTTCAAATCTTCTTCAATAATTGCAGAAAAGATCTATAATCAAACCAAAAAAAGATGCATCCACTCCAACTTCTATTATCAAATCGTCGACTAAGAAGGTTGTATATCCTGCAGACATAATATTAAATCAACAGATCCCTCAGAATAATTAAAGCAATCTCAATTTAAGTGCGAATAACTCTTTTAGATCATTTATATCGCATAGTGAATCGTCATTATCTTCATTTGATGGAATACCTGGAATGATAATCTGATTATATTATATGATTAATAATTAAAATGAAATAGAGATTAGTAACTTAAGCAGATGAAGGACCTCAAGATAATTTCATTCAAAAATCCAATTCCATGTAGAATCAATTTCAAATACTCTAAGTCGTTGGCAATGGCACCTTTGGTATGGTTTATCTGGTATTATGTTAATTAATCTCTTAAATAGGCAATGGATACAAAAACAAATGAAAAGGTTGCTATCAAGAAAGTATTTTAAGATAAACGCTATAAAAACAGAGAACATCTTATTATATAGGAGTTAAATCATCCTTGCATTGTAAAATTAAGACAAGCATTTTTCACTTAGGGAGACAATTCAAAAAATGTAATAACAAAAATTAAGAAAATAGCCAGATGACATTTTTCTGAATCTAGTAATGGACTACATTCCTGAAACCCTCAGCAAACTCATTCGAAACTACAAAAAGAGCAAGACCCCATTTCCAAATATTCTACTCAAAATCTACAGTTATTAAATGTTAAGAGCATTAGCTTATTTACAAGGTACTCTGATTATAAAGAAGTTAGGAATTGGGATTTGCCATCGTGATATTAAACCTCAGAATATTTTGGTTAATCCTATTAATCATGTCTTAAAAATTTGTGATTTTGGGTCAGCAAAACGATTAGTACCTGGAGAACCAAATGTGGCTTATATTTGCTCCAGATATTATAGAGCTCCTGAATTGATATTTGGAGCAACTGAATATACAACATCTATTGATATCTGGTCTATAGGTATTCATTGATCAATAACCACAGGATGTGTTATCGTTGAGATGCTTACTGGTGAACCACTCTTTCCTGGAGAGTCAGCTACTGATCAACTTGTTGAAATAATCAAAATATTGGGTACTCCTACAATTGAATAAATTAAAAAAATGAATCCTTAACATTAAGAATTTAAATTCCCTTAGATAAAGTGCCATCCCTGGGCTAAAGTAATTTACCAATATATTAAAGGTGTTTGCTAAATTTAAGCCAGAACCTTTGTTTGTTGATTTTGTTAGTAAATTGCTTGTTTACTCTCCTAAGGAAAGATTGAAACCTTTGGAGGCTTTGCTTCATCCATATTTCGATGAGATTAGATAAGAAGGGTTCTCAATCCCAAATGTGTAATTACCTAACTTTTTTGATTTTCAAAAGGGTAATTATGATTATTATTATCATTAAAGAGGAATTGCAGATCCAACCTGAAATTGCTCATAAATTAATTCCTTCCTGGTTCAAGTAAAAATAGTGATTAATAATATATTTATATTCTGTTCTAAATATCAATAATTGATGAAAAACTAAATTCAAAACAATTTTAATTTTTTCTCAAACTCTGGTGGCTGTAATTGTCTATCATATACTTATTTCCAATTCGTATTTTTAAAATACTCATGTTCTTATATCTCCGAGATCCCCATCTGATATCCAATTCTTTTTGTTGGCTCCTTGCACAATAGCTGAAATAGAGACTCAAAAGATTACTTTCGATAATAGGTCTTTTAGTTGAGGATCTACTTCTATTGGAACAGGAAATTCTAATTGGCAGTTTAAAATATAATCAAATGTTAGGTTCTGGTCGTAATCAATAAATGGGGGATGACCATAAGCCATTTCATACAAAATGATTCCCAACTGCCAATAATCACTATAATATTGATAATCTTTATTTTGTATTGTCTCTGGTGGAGTGTATTCAGCAACCCCGTAAAACTGGTCTTTGCTTTTCAAAGCTCTTCTTAGGTATCCGAAATCACACAGAGCGATGTGATAACCTTGATCTAACAAAATGTTCTCCAAAGTCAAATCGCCATGGACTATCTATTTATTATGCAAATCCCCCAAAACTACTACCATTTCTTAGGCTATGAATAATAATTATTTCTAGTCAAATTTCTTCAATTCATCCAACTTCTTGTACAAATCACATTTGGCTTATGGCATAATGAAGTAATATTTATTGAAAGTTTCGAAACAATATTCCAAAGGTATCAAAAATGGATGATGAGACTAAATCTATTAAATCTATTACATATTTCTCAAAAGTGACAAACTCATTCAGGTTTAACCAACCGCAATCTTCTTTACTGATGCATTTCATAATATGGTAAGTGTGTGTTTTTGTATTCATTATCTAAACTATTTACGAAATGCTTCCTTCACATAGAATCTTCTTCAATTCAAAATCTCTTAATTGCAATAAGAACTCTCCGAATAATAATTTTGATTCAGTATCTTATTGATATATTTGTTGCATTTTTAAAGAATTCTCATGTTCTTCCATAATCGGCTTATAGTTTAAGTAGTTTGGTTTAATATTTGGCAATTTACAAATGTGTTTATTCCTATCCTATTTATAGACTACATATTTCTTCAGATTCAAATCTTGAACTTAGTATGAAGCTAAAGGGATATGAAATTCAAGTGCATAAGTCTTGACAATAAATTCAATTAATCTGGATCTACTCTCAGTTTGTAATCTGAGATCATCATCGTCATATTCATTTTTAAAATGCAATATGAACTCAAAACTCTTGGAGGAAATCGTTATCCCAATAATAAAGGACAGAAGTACTTTCCTTCTAATCGCTTTTAAATGACATTGTTGTTACTTGATTTATTCAATAGTAAAATTTTTTTATTGGTTAGCACGAAATATCTTGTATGTTTATTTCCATATTCATTAATTTTACTAACTTTCATACTCAACTGTAAGAACTCTTAGTTCAATTTAATTATTACCATCTTTAGCAAAAGTATTAACAATTTTCGGGAGCCTTAAGATGTGCAATTCATCAAAATTATTTAACATTATAATTATAATAATATTAATCAATTAATCTTTGTGAAAAACTTACTTAATTAGGGAACATCTTGTCTTCTTAATTGTTTCAGACTTAGAATCTTATCTAAATCAGTAGGAGCAGATTCATATTTCTTAGCATAATCTGGGAAATTCTCGACGAATTTTTCAACACTCATCTAAATCAATTTTAAAATAGAATCACTTCTTGACAATGTCTTCTAAACAAAATTATTGAATGATTATTATGATTTTGATTCTTACTTCAATTTTGAGATTCTCACTAAATTTGTTTTCAATTCTGAAACATCCAACATCAACTAGGATAATCCAATCTAAATTTTAATATAATTCATAAAATACCTCACTGATTTTTTTAATTCTGAAAACAGAGTTTATAAACTTATTATTCAGATACACAACAAGTTTATTCAAATAAAATATTAAATAGGACTCTGACAATAGATCTTTTACTATTTTAATATGTCCCTCCAAAAAGGATATGGTGTCTCTAATATATTTAGATGCATCTCCCATATTTTCGAATTCATTCCAATCAATCTTTAGCATTTATTGATAGAATTAATCTATTTTAGAATCGACATAGACTAACAAAGTCTCAATTGATTTGTTCATCATTTAATTGAAGTATTCTTCCTCATTTGACAATTCAACTTGATCAGAAAAAGGGGAATCGAGATGTTATACCATACTCTCCTATAATGCTGGGATGGTCTCTTTGCAATATTCTGCAGTGTTAATCACAAAACAACAGTAGATCTATGAAAATTGCTCATTATTTCTGGTTTAATTTATTTTGAATACAATTTCATCTGAATACCTCTTCAAAGCCTTCTTAATTAATTTTTAAATATCAAACATAACTTGTGTTCTGCTATATTGTGAAGCTCTTTTGAGCATTTATTTAAAGTAAGCAAACATACTCATAGATGAATTCAACATTTTCAAGTCCCCTTCAACATCCAATTTGTCTGAGTTTAAAATAGTTTAGATGTGTTACATTAACTCTTTCTCCTCACTGTCTATATAAGGTCGTAAATAGGGTTCAAAACTGTCAGAGATGGCTCCTTTAATTTTTGGTAATTCTGAGATGGCAAATTGATTGCTATTCTTTTTGCCAAGCCATTCTTCATATCTTTTCTTCATTTCATCATTGAGTTTCTATTCGAATTTTAGAGTGGCTTGTAATGCTTTCATTAATACAGCAACATCCAACTCCTTAAGGGTTTCCAAGATATCAGTTATTTATAGTCTAGTCACAGCACAAAATTCATAATAAATCTGACAGTGTACTGCCCAGTATTCTGGGAATACATTTTATGTTTTTGTATCAAAATCCTTAATGACTCTAGACATCCAAGCATACCTTCTCTCTGTGGTTTCCAAGCTTCTGTTTTCAATCTATTAAAACAATTCTTAATAAGGAGAAATAATGTATTTGCATACTTTCTGAACCAATTCATCCCTGAATTTCAATCCCAGATGTTCAACTGTTTGACATGCATCTTATAAATCTTTAATTTGCATTAAATTAGTGCCTTTTTAGAACAGGATGAAATCATCTATCAATTATAGCTTCAAGTCTTTAATCAGTTATTCTTTTTCTCCGGTTATCTCTAAAATTTACGGAATGTTTTAAAATTTCACAAAATATTGTGATAATTCAGTAAATGCTGATAGTAGATTAGCCACTTCTGCATATTTTTTTTCTTTGCAATGTTCTTTCAATTTTTCGATTGCTGTTAACATCATGATAAATTTTTTGAGGGCAGCAATTGAAAATGTAAGATTTCGTTTTGCAATGTCTAATGATTTGATATCTTTGCACATTGAATAAACCAAGTCTTCGCTTTTTTCTGCCTTCTATTTGATCTCTTGAATTTCTGCGACAATTCCTTAAGAGAGTTATTCTACATCTTAGACGTCTCTCCATATTTTATTTTGCATGACTGCATGTTCGTGTATGTCCTCTTGTAATTCGGATTGGAGTTGAGTCAGCTCAGATTGGAGCTTCTCAATTTCAGTGTCGATGCCCACAAGTGATTGTTCATTGGGAAAGAGTGTATTAATATGCTTAATACAATCAAAATTAGAAGAATAAGGATTCATACTTCAAATATTTTTAATTAAAAGAATTAAAAGATATGAAATACATCCTGACTGAGGAGCATGTTCCAATTCCTGAAAAGATTGAGATCACTTAGAAATCCAAGGTGGTCAAAGTTAAGGGTATTGAGTCATGTTTTATCGTCTCTTAGGACCCAGAGGGGAATTGACCAAAAATTTCAGACATTCTGCTTTGGATATCCAAGTTTCAAAGAAAGTGAACAAGAAAACCAATGTTGCCAAATCTAGAGTCAGCGTTAGGATGTGGCAATCATACAGAAAATAAAGATGCCAAGTTAATTCAGTTGCCTCTCAAATTAGAAACATGATTAGAGGTGTTACCACAGGTTATAAATTCAAGATGGTCTTGGCATATGCTCACTTTCCAATCATTATCAACCTTATTGGTAATGGACAAGGCATTGAAATCAAGAATTTCCTTGGAGAAAAGATCATCAGAACTATTAAATGCCTTCCAGGAGTGACCATCACCAGAAATGAAGCTGAAGAAAAGAGTAATTAAATCTTAATATACCCTCAATAGATGTCTTAACACTCTAAGGAAACGATTTGAATAACGTTTCACTCACCTGTGCACTTATTCATTAAGCTTGTGCTGTTAAGAACAAGGATATTAGACAATTCTTGGATGGAATCTATGTTAGTGAAAAGCGTTTAGAAATTTGATAAAATAATATATATAGAAATAAGTACAATAAGATTTATTAATTATTAATACTTCCATTGTCACTCTTCTACACTAAAAATATTATTTATTATTTCTTATGAATAAGAGTTATGATGATATAGAAGGCACCCTCCCCAGGATCGGAGAAAAGTGTACCTTGGAGTAATTCCAAGATTTGGAGTAGGCTTAAGAAATCTGCAGCAAATTAGGTAACCACAATTGTCATTCCTAGAAAGTAAAATACAAAAGGACATTTTGATTGATGAAATGAAGTAGAATCCATAAGCATTCTTCAACTTTAATTTTACTGCTGATGATTACTACCTCTTTCTTGTCAAATATAGTATGATGAGAGCTGAAAGACAAGTGATCGAACAAGAATTTACAAAATATTTAAAAGAAAAGAAAATATTTTTGGAATGAATTTTAATTAATATCATTATTAACATGAACATGCCTTATTTTAAGCCTCGTTCATAAGCCAGTTAGAATTCTTTTATTAAACAATATTAAGACTTTCTGTCAAAGAATCGAAAGAATACTGCGTCTATCTTGGAACCTAAAAAATAATAATAAGCAAAGTAATCATATTCTCCTCTCTTCAAATAACCTAAATTAAGTTATTCAAAACTTAAAAATTTGCGATTGCAAACTAGTCCAAGTCCAAAAAGACAACAATGCTATTCTCTAAGTAGTCATCATCAAACTGACAATTCCACTCAAATAGATCGATCACTAAGTCAATACGAATTTGAAGTAAAAGACAAATCTGTTAGCAGTGCCAGTCTATTTTAGGATACTTAAAAATAAGTGGATGAACCCTAATAACAAACTCCTGAATTATAATAGGGTATCGTTGGAATTTTGGGGTTAATTAAAAAGGAAAAACAGGTCATCTTGAATGATATGAAATAAATGACAAAATAAATGAACAATTACAAGCAATAATATGAAGAAATTTAAAAACAAAAAGAAGAATTGCAGCATAAATTCAAAGTTGCCAAAGATGGAAATGAAATTCATGCTCGTTCCATAGATAAAATTAATGACACCTACCTATAGATGATATAACTATTGAGAGGACTTCAAGTCTAGCATAACGATGTTCTACCTGAATTAGAATAGAATTTATTGAATAACATTGAAGATGCAGATGAAGATGTTAGAATACCAGATAAGGATGAAATTATCATCCTATAAAAATTAATCATTAAAAAGCTAGTCAAGAAGATTGAAGATCAACAACAATTGAATTAACTACTCCAAACTAAAATTAAGGAATATGAAATTTGATTTTACTTTATATTTAATGTTTAATATAATACTATTTCAAATAATCACAAACACCTTTGCATTTCCAGATGTAACACTCTCCTTTGGCACTCTAATGCCTAAATAAAAAGATCCTGAAGAAAATCTGCCTGCAACCATTTACAAAGATAACTAAATCAATAGATATTTTGATTATGATCAATTCCCATTATTATCATGTTGTCCTACCAATCTTACAAAATACAAAGTTGATTCCTTAAATCTACATGGACATGGTAGGTAAAAATTTATATTGCCCTTAACCATCACAAACAATGAAAATGAAACTATCATTTTGAGATAATTAACAATAACTGATTATTTAGAATATTAAGATATTCCTGTTGCACCTAAATTATCAGCCCTACCTATTCTGTAACCTCATTAAAGCATTGTTGTTGAGTTTATCCATAGTTGTGAGAGATAAGTGAACAATACCAATTACTGGAGTATATAAAATGTCTTTATTCGATTTCAAGACTTCTAGGGTTTAAATTTCTAATATTAATTTATTTGCGACGGCAGTTTTCATCCCAAAAGGTACTAAATTTAAATAAACTATAGGTTTGATTGGAGCAATATCATTTTAATTACATTTGATTCTATTGTTATTATAATTTTAGCAACTTTTGGAAAAATTTATTCATTTCGAATTGCTTTTGTAACACCAGCTAAAAGGAAGTAATTTGAAGAACAAAACATTTAAAATGTAGATCTAAGCCCTTTCTAAGGATTTTATTTATACTGGCCTTAAGCCTTGGCCTACATGGGATTATTATTGATTGCTCTATTTACCTCAATGAGTTTTCAAGAGAGGGCAGAGAAAATTATTTAAATATTGGTATATTTAATTTGTGTTCTCACTTCATTTCATTTTTTCAACGAGATCTTTGGTAAATTCAGAAACACTATCCCAATTTTAAATCAGAAGTTGTATTGCTTAAAAATTAGGGATTATTTATCAATGGTATTATCAGCTTTATTGATCTTCTTTTACCTCTATTATGAATAACCTTGGTTTGTATGTATTATATGTTAATTGCCCTTAGGTTAGCAATCTTTTATCCATTTGCATACTAGGATCATTCATTAAATTATTCAAGATAGTATCCTTGAAAGATGCTCTCTAATTTTTTATACCTCTCATGATAATTGATATTTTTTGCTCAATTTATTTGAGTTAAACTGTCAGATATGAATGGGATAGTGTTGCATTGAGATATTTCAACACTCCACTTTCTGCCTAATTTCCTTATTTTAGATATATTTACAAAAAGAAATGTGCATGGGTTTCAATTTTCAATCTGCTATTTCCTGGTAATGATTACTCTAATTTATTAGGTTTCTTTTTGGGTTATGTCAATAGATTTGACAAGCATAAGCAGACATATGTCTATGAAATTATTGCCTTCTTTGGTTTGCTTGTTGGACTAATTTTGTGGGTACTAATCCAATTCATAACTTCATTCCCTCTTCCAACGTATAACAAACTATTATCTTAGCTCTATCTTCACTGAAGTATTGATGATTCTCACTACAGCTTTGGTTGCAGTTTAGAGAAATGAATTCAACATATTTTATTCTGGAAACTTTTATGATTAGATACTTATGGATCCATTCAAAAATGATATTGCTCTCCAAGAGCCAACAACTTTAGAAATGTTTGGATTAGGTGCTACTACTTAAGTAATTAAAAGGAACACAATCTAATAAAAAGATTTAGTTTAAAGTGGAGAATAAGGTTTAGTTTTAAATAGCCAACTCTTTGCTGGGCTAGCTTCTGTTAATAGATCATAGTAATAATCCAATATTATATAATAAAAATATTAAAATCATTACTGAAGAAAGAATTCTAATGTTCATTCAGAATTTATTACATAAATATTCATATCAATATTTTAAACTAAATTTTTATTTCTAAGATTAAAATTAAGAATAATATTACTTAAATCAATATAAATTATATAAAAAATTATGAACATATTATAATTATAATTAGTTTTTATAAAAATTTATATATAAATAAAAGAAATTTAAATAAATATATTTGTATATTTAATTAATAACCTAAGTGAATATTTTATGTAATCATTATAAAAGTTTTGTAGTTTTCGGTATTTAAACAATTGCCTTATTCCAAGATACTTACTCTGTTTCACTGTCTATCGAATTAATTCTTATTTTGTGGTTTTACAGTAGATCTTAAATGACATTCACAATTTATATTCTTAAAAACGCATTTTAGATTCCCTCATAACTTAAGATTAATATTTGATAATTTTTATTTTCAATAAATGATAATTTATCAAATTTTATTGTTTTTTAACTGATAGTAAATTTAAGTATTCTAAACAGGTTTTTATTCTTTAATTTTAAAAATGTTCCATCTTCTTAATAATGAAATTATAAATTCTTCCTTCTTTCCTCTTTCTATAAATTATCATCTATAGGTTCATTTATTCCTAATTTACTTACTCGAAATAGAATTAGCGTTGATAATCAAATCTTTCAAGAGATGTAAAATGGGCTATTTATAGCTCAATACTCTTGGAATGACCAATCTAAGGCATATTGCAGAATGATTATGGATGAGTTTAGTTTTTAGTTGCTTTTGTTCCTAAATATTCAAGCTATTATGAATTACTGGCTATTGATAAAACTGTAATGAAGGTGTAATAGATAATTCTTTACACTTTAATTTTTGGATATCAATAGATGCATAAGAAATCAGAAAAGTTTTAAAGAGGAGGTAATTTCTCATAAATTTCAGAAGTTAAATTTTCTTAAGAATAATTTTTATCGACTATGGGAGTTAAAGAATGTCAATACTTTAATGAAAAGTCAATAAGGAACAATGAAATGGATTTTGAAGTTATGGTAATTGATTTTAATGATATAGTCATGGTTCTTTACAAATACGATTTTTAATTTGCTATTTTTAACAATTATATTTCTCTATATTTATAGTATAATCACAGAATAAATTCATTCATTAATATAATTATTTTTTAACCTATGGATTAACAAGATTACCACAAAATTGATCCAACCATTGTAGAAGACCCTATGTTGGATGATGGATATACTAGGTATGCAATTAAGTATTAAGTTTAATTTAGAAAATTTGGTGCTTATAAACCTAAATTCCATGGAACTACGCCAGGTTATTACCCATTTGAATGCATTGATTACTTTTATGTGGTGTTGATGACACTGTTCACTTGGGGAATATGTTTGCCTATTTGGTATGGATTGATTGAGGCTGGTATATACCTTATATCTAAAAATAGCTAAGGGAAATTCAAAATAATATGCAATAGTTTGCGCAGTGGTGTTTGTGGGATTCTATGTTATATAGGCCTTGGCTACATACTATGGAGGCAGAATGAAGAAAGTGATTGAAAATCAAATGATTGAGGATAAGTTGAAGGAGATGTAACAGAAGGAACTTGAGAAGTAAAAACTTCTAGCTGCCATTTGAATATTGATATTATGTTTTCACAGTATGATGATCTTTATATATTCTGTAATCTTGGTTGATGCACATTAATACGGTGGATTAATCTTTATTATATGTTTTATTAATAGTTCAAAGAATACCCAAAAAATTCATAGAGAGAGAAAACTCAATAGGAACGTAAGACAATCAAATCAATGGATTGGAATTGCAATGGAAGTTATTTGGCAACGTCAAGTGATTCCACAATTAAAATTTGGTCGTTTGATGGGAATAACATCAAGAGATCAACTGATTTGAAGCAAGGATCGGAGCAATTAGAGAAATTGTTGTTTCACCCAACACAGCCAGACATAATAGCTTCAATAACAAAGGAGTACGTGAAAATTTGGGATATACGCACAAAATAGAGTGTAAGACAAGAGAAGAAGGAATAAATGGGTATTGCCTGTTGGAGTTCAAATGGCAATGAATTGGCAGTGGGCACTAAATAGAATAAGGAAACACAGATAATGTTTTTGGACATGTAAGGAGGAGAGAGATCAATAATGTATTAACCAAAAGATAAGGATAAGAATTTTGAATTGAAGAACATCATGTATGACAAAGATGTGTTTGTAGCAGTCGGTCAACAAAATGGAGTTGGTATGATTCAATTTATGGATGTCACAAATCCTTAATTGCCACCTCTACATTAGATGGAAGCTCATAGGGCTGGAATTACTTAATGCAAATTCAGCAAGGATGGTTAGCATATGTATACTGGTGCTTAGGATTCTCTGATTATATTGTGGCAATTACCAGATTTATTGTGTGCAGGGTAGTTGATGACAGTGGAATCAGAGATAAAATCGATGTCTGTTTTTGACAGCAAATACATAGCAGCCATTGGTTTGGAGGAATAAGCATACATCTTTTAGGTGGACAGATGTTTGGCTGGTAAGACGGATCATATAGATTCAATTAAATTAGAGGGACAGCCATCTGATCTTTGTTTCCATCCTAACAAATTTATATTGGCGATAGTTTGTTAGGACAAGAACAAATAGGAGAGTGTGATACATTTATATGGTAATTTGGGTGTGTGATTATTTATATGGTATATTAATAATTTAGTTGATATGTGGATTTCAAAATGTGAATTTGTAGATAATATCATTTCTTTTTCGATTTGCGTTTCTCCAAAAATTTCTTCATCCAAATATGCTCCTTCACTTATTGGAGTGAAAATCTTTTGAGTGGATCTACTTCAAATAATCCAGCGATGAGTTCTTTCACATCATCATTTACACATTGCCAGAACTCATCTTGAATATCGTAATTGCCATCAATGATATTCTCTTTGATTTCCAAGACTATTTCTGAATAGAAAGGTGCATAACCACAGAGCATGAAATACAGCACTCCTCCCAAGGCAAAGTTATCAATTTTGGATGTCAACTCTTTGCATTACTGATACACTTCAGGCGCAATGTAATTCATGGTCCCACATTCGAAGTTCTCCTTCCTCTCATTCAAAATGGATAAATAATTGGCGAATCCGAAATCAATTATCTTCACCTGTTTGATGGTGTTCTAATTCAACACTATCATAATGTTCTCTGGTTTGATATCACGATGTACAATTCCCATTTGTTGAATAGACTCCAAGGCGTCAATCAACTAAGACAATACCAAGGCAGCCTCTTCCTCGGCCAAATACTTCTTCTCCTCCACATAATCATAGAGATCTCCGTCCTTTATCAATTCTGTAACTAAATAGATGTGACTCTTATTCTCAAAACTCTCCACCAATCTTACGATATACGGATGGTTGATCAACTTCATGATTTCCACCTCATGCTTTATAGCATCTGCTTAATTTTATGAGATCTATTGTTTATTGATGATCTTCAAAGCGTAGGTCTCCTTTGTCTGTTTGTCCTAACACTTATACACCATGGATGATTGGCCCTGTCCAATCTTCTCCAAAATGGAGTACTTCTTACTTATCTCGCCACTCCAATAATACTCTAATAATTACTTGTTGTAAGCTTGCAATGCATTCTACCACAATCTAAATTGCTTATCATCGGAACACTCGTAACTCTTAACCTTGTACTATTTCCCAACGTGCATCACTTCAAATCCATACTTCTAAACCTATTGGTGTACCTTTTCCTCTATTATCAAACCCTACAAACAAATCACCTTTGAAGGACCTTCTCCTTTTTTACTATACTCCAAAAGCACATGGGGATAAAGTTCGCAATGCTTCTGCTTTACTTCCTTTTTCTTTGAGATTCGATATAAGTCTCCTGACATTATTAACATTCTATTTTGTATTCATCGCATTCTTACAGTTATTTATAGTTGGGCTGTTTATCTGTGATCCCCCAGATGTTATAGTTAAATGCTGCATAAAGAGGTTGGATTAAGTTGGGATGTTTCGCAATAAATGCCTAGAATTCTTGCAATGACAATAATTAATCGTGCTTATTCTTATACACCAAGTCTACGTATTTCTTAATCAATACACTTTGATTCACACACATCTCTATCTTTTAACCGTCAACCTACTTTATTTATATTGTATACTTAAGCTGTTATTAACAATCCAAATCGTTTTTGCGTTGTTCCATTTTCCTAGATCATACTGTCTTATACAAAGAGGGCATCTGATTACTTGGAAAAACAACTCTATTAACCTTCTGAGATTATTTTATTGGAACTGTCGAATTACTACTCTGAAATATTCTAGCTCTGTTTTCGAAATGGTTACACTTTTTCATTATTCATTTAGATATACCTGACAATTCCAATAGATCTGCACTATTCTTATACTTTCTATGACGATGCTTACGACGATTACCAAAATCATCTATAATTAAAGATTCATCTAAAAATAGCTAATCTTCACATATCTTCTTTAATTCGTATTGGGGATAATTCTGCATCTATTTCTATCAAACACTTATCATACCATCTACAAAAAGTCACTTTTTGCTATTCCTTTCTAGTTTTGTAAATCATAAAGCTGAAATAAATTCACTATTCGCTATTCATCCGAGCACTTGATGTACATTTCCATTCCTGCCAAAAACTCGTCAAAATTCATATAGTCTTCCTGCTTGTTTGTGAACTTATTAAATATTTGTTCTCCCCAAAATCCCTACATTAATAATCTATATGCTACAAACTATTATTTAAAAGAAGGTATTGAATGTATCTCTACTTAACAATGAATTGCTCTATCTGGAAGCCAAGTCCTTGAAAATCAGAGTAAGCATATCCAGTTCAAATTGTTCAACTACACACTCTAATTTCAATGTTTACATTTTCCCAAGTATTTTTGAGCAACCAGTTTATGAGTACTGCTTTTCTTTGGTCTTCTTTGGATCCCACATTGTAAGGCACTTCCCATAAGTTAATAAATAATCAATATTTTTTTTTTACCGTAATTTTAAACTCAAACCAAAAATCATTCAACTAAAGACACTCATCGAGTCACCAATTACAAAATCACGCTCACTCCTCAACTAAAGAGCACTCAATTTATGAACATACACATTCTTAAATTTTATAAACATAATTCATTCCTTATCAAATTTCAGTACCAATAAACTATCTTTTAATTTCTCAATTCATTTTGGAATTTTTAATTTTAATTTATATTTCCTTATTGCACACCATAACTATTCTTTCCTCATAGAATTATTATACAAAATCCCATTGTGAAACCCCCTAAATCCCTTCACAGACTCCAGAATTACCACTTTTTTCAATCCCAAAATTTCACGTATTCCCCACCATCCCCATCTTGAATATTTTTAGCCCCTCTCCTCAAATGATCAATTTTATTCTGAGATACGAATACTCAAATTAAAAGACGTCCTCATCTGAAATCCTATAATTAAATTAATTTAACTGTCATATGAACAAATTAGTTGTATAACAAGTTAAGAGTATTTTCAATAGTCTTCCCAATAAAGATTTGGATAAACTGCTAAATTTGCTACTTGCCGCAGGAATCACTAAAACCTAAAAATAAGTTGGCTACAAATGTGTTGAATGCACTATTATGTATCGATAATCAAATTAATAACTAGGTTCAAAGGTACTAATGCAAGTGGATTTGGGAGAGATGAGGTTGAAGCAATTCACATTTGTTTAAAAAATTTTATCGAATAAATGTTAGAAGAAGAAGGACATTTAATATTCTTGAGAAATATTTTAAAAGAACTAAAATAACTGGATTTCCAAGAATAAGACATTGAATAATTACAACAGAAAATAGGCAATATATCAATCATCTAAAATAATCAAAATTATTAGACTGTAGATAGTTTGTTAAATGGAGAAAATGATTAAATTTTAGGATAAATTGTAGACAACAAGTCTAAAAAATTTGAGACCTTACAAGACAATAACAATAAAGAGAACATTTAGAATTAATATCAGAAATGTTGTAGTCATGAGCAGGAGTTGAAGAAAGAAAAAATGAGAGTCGAACATTTGGAATTAAGAATAAAATTGATTTTAGAAGAAAATAGAATTTTGAAATCCCTTCTCAATGAAAAGAAAGAGAGTGCAAGACAAGAGAGCAACAGAGAAGGTGATACTAAAAGGATTCGTTAACAAGTTAGATCCAGTAGTGTAAAAATGAATAAAATGTAGTAAGTAAATGGAGTGCCCAAACTAAATCTGGATGCACTTCCAACCTATATGGGTAAATAGAAAGCATTATTTTGATGATTTTTTCTATCTAATTAGTTTTATTGAATCATTTCTTTTTAGGAATTTGGCTTGCTTATTTCTTTACATTTTAGCTTTGAAATTGTTATATAGTTTATGAATTTCTAGTAGACGTAGTTTGAATTGTATTAGCTTTACTCGGCTATTAGGAATATAGATTAAGTCCTCTTCCCTTTTTCTATTAGATTCTTCTCTTTATCTTCTTTTTAAAAATATATTTCCTGATACATTTAATGATCAACTTGATTGCTCTTTTCCTTTTGATTAATCTTCTATATCTCTTTCTTTATAAAAACCCTTTTATAAATGCCTACAATCTAATAAACTTTTTTAATCGTTTGAGTCTACGAGCGTATCTCTTTGATTTGATCACAAGTCGATATGATTATATTTTTCCAATAGCCTTAACCCTTAACAATCCCATATTCCAAATGTTGACCATAGCCACTCTTGATTTATGTCTACTGTATGCCTTTGTTAATTTATTCAATCCCTTTTGAAGAATCTCTAATTTCTATTACCTTTTTGCCAATTTAATTCTCATTAAACATTATAACAAAAGAGTTGATTATTCTTTTTCCAATCTTTTTCTCAACTTAATTGCTTAGAATCGTTTATAATTCTTCTAAATTACGATAGCAGATCTATGATTTTTAAGTAATTTCTTGTATTTCCTTTTTTAAATAAAACTATATTGATGATTATAAATAAATACCATTTAAAAAGTGAATTTATTTTTGCACTCTATTTTACCCTTTTTCTGTATATTAATTTCCACCATCTCTGTATCCTTTTATATTTAAATAGCTTTTATTTAAGTTCATTAGCCAATTTAGATGAGATTTTAATTGAGATCAATTATTCTAAATACAAAAGTGCTAATTCTCTCTTTAATTAACTCTTAATCTAAATAGCTTGATTGCATCTAAATCGACATTGAATTTTAGTTGCCATTTTGGCTCTTTTCAAATGAAATTTCCTCTTTTTGGCTAGAAATCCTCTGATAAGCGTTTATAACTTCCTTGCTGAATAATATTTTTTTAATCTTATCCTTAATAACTTAGCAAGCATTCTCCTAACATATTTTTATATGACAATAGCATATTTTGTATCTCTTAAAAACCATTTTATCTTTTTAGCCTTGTACATTCTATAAAACTTCTATATCATCAACGCTGCCAGCGAATCTATATATCTCTTATCGATCATCCTTTCTCTCTTAATATTGCATTTCTATCCCCATAACTCAAATTAACCATCATTCTATTATTAATTATTGTAATTTTATTCTTCATCTATCAATAACTCATAATAATATTTTTTAGGTCTTATGAATTCATCACCAAATACTATATTAAACATACTCTCGGCCATAGAATCCAACATTTCATGTAACCAATCAGCCCTTTCTGCACATGCTGGGGATAGATTGACTTCCAACAACCATGGTTTACAATATTCATCTAACATAATATCAAAACCAAATAATTCAAAGCAATATTTAGATTCTCCTTCAAATTGATCTTACAATATCTTGAGTGTTTTGATCATTAACTCATTGCATTATGGTCTAACTACCTTTTACCAATCAACAGGAAGCCATTGCTACATAAAATCACTACTGTAAATTGAATCATTTTTACTAATGTATTATAATTGCTCACTTACTTCTTAAATTCTGATTTGTTTAAAGAGAAATTTGTCAAATGCTTTAATAAATTCTTTGTGTCTTTCACATCATATGGTTAACTGCACATCCTCATATAGCAATGACTGAAAACAAAGGCTTACAAAGGTTAGAAACTCCTAACTAGAACCCATTGTCTCAAATCAAACTTGAATCCTTTATATAACAATGGTCTTTCTATATACTTTTACACCAATCTCGCTTACATTTATTAACCACTGTTGAGAGCTTCTGCAATATCCTTCTCTAAATAAATTCCTGATCCTCTTGCACACCCTCCTGGTTTAATAATCCAAATATTGTGGACCCCATCAACTTTGTAAGCTGGATCATATTTTTTAAAAAACAAATGATATCTGTACAATTTTCTAATGAGAAATTTGCTTGGGTTTGAACCTTTGTCGAATTTCTAAATCTGAGAATATGTAATTATACTAAATCACTTAGTCAATATTACTTATATCGAGTTCTTGATATGTATTGCTGGCTCAATTCAAAGTTCTTATCATCATAAAATCCATCCTTTAACTATCTTTTCATATCCGAAAGTCTCGATAACACTTCAGACATAATGGAACAATCAAACTTGATATCCGATTGCTGAGATGAGTCTTACAATTCCTGTGCGGTATAAATGTTTTTGTATTTCCTCTTTACAGTTCTCTTCATATCAATTCTTCTAATCTTTGAGTTCTCTTCCTTCTTCTTCCATTCCTGAAATATAACTTCCTTTATCTTCTTCATCTCATTTTTTCTCTTCACTCTTAAAGCAATAATAGCCTTTTTTAATATAATGGTGACAGCAGTTCTTTCATATTCTTTGAGGAAATCATCTCTGTCAGTTGCATTTCCTAAATCAAAGGCTCTAGGAAAGAAAGTACTAGTATCATATCCATAATCACATTAATTTTTGAAATTTGCTAATAAACACGATTTTGTTGTAAGTTCCTTGGTGTTACTAAAATGATTGTAAAATTGTCCATCCACTAATGTTTTAAAATCATCCGGAGTGTCATTATAAACCCATTTGAGATCAAAAATTTATTAGTTACAAGATGTTTCAAGCCAACCATGTCTTTATAAGCACCTTCGTACATACTCATCCTACGAATTAAAGCAAAACACTTTAGTTGCAATAGAAATGTTCTATCTCTTCAAATAATCGTTCATTAATGAACGATGATTAAAGTATGTCTTATTCTTTACCAAGGGCTCTATGGTTTACTTCTTCGATTATTACTACTTCCGTTATGATTCTTATGAGATTGTAGTTTCTATGCTGCTTGATTATCTTGAGATGCGAGATAATGATAAAGGATTCTAAATAGCTGGTTTCATTAATTTCCTATATATTCATACACACTTACAGAGGAGCCTCCATTGAATCCTTTGACTATCTCTTTATTTCTGGTAGCATTGGTAGTTGCGTAGTAATTTTTGGTTTTGATGCACTTTATTATTTCATATATAATTATAACTGTTTAAGAGAACATATACATTTTAATCATTCATTTAATTTACAACAATTCACAAAAGAACCAATTGTCTAGGAAAATCCTCTAGAACAATTAATTTAAGATAAGAATTGTGATCCTCTTATTGGCATGTTGGTGCTCTCATAAGTTTTTGGCAAAATCAAATGATTTTTGGAAGATGCATTAAATGTCAATTATAGAAAAATGAAACAACTATGAAGAAAATAATTGAATCATGCAAAATAACTAAAATGTATATAAGCTGACTAAAGATAGATGTTATTGGAATTCATCAATTTTTTATGTTAAACGAATACATGTCAAACTTATTTTGCTTAAGTAGGAAGATCTAAATATTTTTATTCATGGGATACTTAAAATATTAATTTATGTCATAATCTTGGATAAAAGTGTATTTCAATTAATATTAACAATCTTCAATAGTCAGATTGTTACATCAAGGCAGCTGAGCTTCGTAGATGGGATCCATATAAAGTCTAATTATATTTGGAATATCTGTTAGATTGATGACTGAATTTAGTTATATTCTTGGCCATCCTTTACTAATATAATTCATATTGATCAATTGAATAAATTCAAAATTATAAATTAATTCTTAAATTTAACATAACTATTTTAATTAACCAATAATAATTATTTCCCAATAAGAATTGAGTTACATCTTATCAAGAACAACTTTATATACTTAAATAAATCAATATTAGAATGAAATTCAAAGATTTGAACTATGTAATGATTATGATAGCTCATTAGATAATAATAAATTCTGGTAATTCATATTAATCAACTATACCATCTCTTCCTTAGTTAATCAAGGATATTAATCGTAAATTATTATGAATTAACACCTTCCTACACATTTAATTCTACTGCTTTTAGGGCAAACGACAATGCCATCAAAATCTCTGGCATACTCTTATAGGAATACCAAGAATTATTTTTCTTTGCTACATTGCATTAAAACTTAGCATCTTTAATAAAATATCCATAACAGCTTGTTAAGTGATATTTACAGAAAATATCTCCATACTCACTGATGAATGCAGGTTATCCACATGGTTTATGATACCATCTTTTAAGTTTACTAGATTGACAATCACATTATTTAGGGCATGAGAATATTAAAGGTATAACAACACCCCTATTAACTCCTCCTTTTGGTAAATCTTTAGCTGACATATTTTTGTAATACAAGTAATCAGAAAAAGGATACTGCTCATATATCTCTATAAAAAAATTTATTCTATTATATTACATATTTATTTTAATATCATTATTTCGAAAATTCTATAATCTCTGAAATTTAAATAGTTCCATTAGATGGAATACAGACTGCAGATATTGGAGTTGATACAGATATTGAATTTAACCAACTAACATAAATCAATAATTTTGTTTTATTCTTTTTTTATTCCATTAAAACTGAATACATACTTGAACTAAAATTTTCTATTTCTTCAATTTTCAAAACTCTATTAAAAGGAAGTTAGAATTATTCCAGCATTTTGAGCTGGGCTATGAGATTAAAACCTCACTAAAAGAGTATACATTTATAATAATTTCTTTTTGGATGAATAAAAAATTTAATTTCAAATGGCATACTTAGAGATTAGAACATATGTTTTAAAAGTATTTTATTGCTTCCTTATAAAAATAATGAATATCAATAACAATATTTAACTTTCTTTGTTTATACTATTTTCAGCAGTGTTTATTAAGTTAAATGAAAAGATTATTATTAAATATCAATTTAAACTAATTAATACGATATAAATTGATAATATCATTATATCATTGAGTAACCTTTAAGCTTCTCCAATTTTTTTTAATCATAAGCTCGCTTTACATCTTTAATTACTTCTGTTCCCTTCACTCTCAAATATTGAGAATAGATGTCAGCATTTTCTTTAGTAACGCTTAAATTCTCTTCCTATTTAATAGAGTTAAATTAAGAGCAGCAGATTTTGAATAATCTCTGCGATTTAAAGATTTTTTGATTTTAAACTCTTTCTTAATCTAAAGTATTTAAACTATAGTTCATATTATAAAATAACGAAAATTGGAGATTTATGATGAAAATAAGTACAAAATTGAATCACAAAACTTTTCAATTATATTTAGGATTGTTCTAGTAATCTTTAATTAACTTTTTCAACATACTGATCCTAAATTTGTTTATAATGCACAATTGATGATTAGCTATTTTAATATGAAAAGGAGAGAGTATTTTAGAATTAGAATCAGAATTGATTATCTCCTTAATCATGATAACCCTCATTGCTTATTTTTATGATACAAAGAAAAATAAATGAACATACTGTATTATGTGAAACGTATTTGATTAATCTTCTTAATTCTTTAATATTAATTAATTGATTATATTATATAATTTATTTTTCAAAATATTTTGCAACACATCTTTTCTTACTGTTCTTAAGGTTATTATTTAATTTCAATCTTTGCAGAAGGCCTCTTATCTTAAGTAGTTTGCAATTAAGGTTTTGCAGTTGTTGGTTATTCTGTAACCTTAACTATTCCATTTAATTTATCCTACATATCCATTGCAGACATTATCAATTTAGTAAATATACTCATGCTTCGATCCATTCCTAAATTTTCAGTTGCTGAACATTCCGAATAATAGACATTTTAAGGAAGTCGTTTAGTTGCAAACTCTATAATATGATCATCATTCCATTTTTCTGATTAACGAATTCCGCTAACCGGATGTGCATTTTTTGAACCAAATACTGCCACCTTGTATTCTGCACATTTTTCATTTATTTAATTAATTATTTCATTGTATTTAGGACATTTTCTCTCTAAATCTCCCATGGTTCCTAAGAAATAATAATACGCATTTGTTTATTTTGCATTCTTGACACATAACTAAAACCATGTATTCAAAGCATTTTCTAAGGTCACCATGTTATTTAAGGAAAAGGCTATAATGTAAATGTTGCTCTAAAGTAGAAATGCTCTTATCATGGCACTAAAGATCAAATCAATATAAAAACATGTTCTTTATTTCTCCAGAAGTAATCCAAACATGAATCTTTTATGTAATCTTATTAGGTAACATAATTCTTGATATAAAGAAATCTACAGATTAAATTTATTTATCGTTAACTTTAGATTCAATATTCAGCAGACACTCCATTAATTTACTTTTTCCAACAGACTGATCTCCAATCAAGATTACTCTATGTAGATCATTTGCATTTACTTTATTTTTCTCTCCTACTATTCACATAAAATAGAAACGCTGTCTTATTCCATATCAATCAATTATTTATATATTTATAAACGATGAATTTATATTTCATTAATTAAATATTTTAGCATATAGATCATTAAACTCTTACTCTAAACTAGATGTGGTGAGCAGCCTCTCTTCAATCTTGTATGCATCTTATTTATGATGAATAAATTAGAGTGGTTAAAAACAATGTAACAATTTAATTAACACCTTCAAAATTCCATCCCTATCTTTGTTTCCATTCTCATTCTTATTAAAATTTTATATAATCCGCTGTATTATTTAGCAATAAACTTGGTTGAATGTTTAACAAAACTTCTGATTATTCTCATTTTGATCAAGTGCCTCAATTACATTTTTACACCACTTAAATTAGACATATTATTACATTCTTTTAATCTTCCTTCAAATTTTTCGAAGTTGCGAACTTATCAAATTTCACCCTAGCTTGAACGTAAAATTGGTTCATTATCTCATAATTTTTCTTAAAATTATTGAGTGTCTGATAATATTTATCAGTGTTCTTAAATAAATCAAAATCGCTTTGAAGTATATAAATTGAGAACAAATTCTAAGATAGAAATGATTAGAATTTACCTAACCTTTTAGAAAATCTAAATAGCATTTTAATTCATTCTCCATGTACTTAATAGTAATTATTGAATAACTAAATTATTACGTTTGAGAAAATTATGCAATTATATTTAGATTTTAAACATCAGTCATCAACTGTTAGATGAACTTTAGAATATCTGAAACATAAATGAAATATAAAAAGATACTCTCTACCTTATTTTCTGTTGTAAGCACTTGTTTCATCATCATAGCCTTCGATTCGCTTATTTAATCTATAATTTCACTACTTTATGGTTCTATTAATTCTAAAAGAGTTTCTGCAAATAATTCATCCCAACTAATTCTCTTTTCAGGATTGACAACAAGCATCTTTTTCAAAATGTTTACAATATATCCAGGAATCTTCTTATTTTCTGGAAATTTAATAGGATCAAATTTTTTAGATGGAAGTTTTTAGTATTCTATTATCTCATTTGGAATATAACCATATAGCATTTAAAAAAGTATTACTCCCAAAGACCAAATGTCTGCTTTAGATGAAAATTTCCTTGTTCTAATTTCAGGTGCAGCATAAACAGGAGTTCCAACAGCTGATTAAAGCACAGTTTCATCAAGATCATCTAAAAATTTAGAAAACCCAAAATCCCCTATTTTAGCAACTTTATTAGAAAAAAGAATATTTTCTGGTTTTAAATCTCTATGAATTATATTTTTCTCTCTGATTTATTTATATCCATTCACAATTTATTTGAAAATTGAAAGTGCCTCTTCATAAGGAATTCCACCTTTGGCAATCTTTTGTTTAAGGGTCCCTCCTTCGCAATACTCTAATATAAAATAGGTTTCATCATCATTTTCTATAAGATCTATCATTCTAAATAAAAACAAATAATACTTTACTATATGAGGACTCGACAATTAGAATTAGTTTTAACTCTCTCTTTTTATATAATCCGGGAAGACATTCTTAAAACTCTATTGGATTTTTAATTTATTCTTATCAATAATTTTAATAGCAATTAATTCCTTCTCATTTCCAAACATGTGTCCTTTATAGACTGCTGCAAAACTTCCCTTCAATCTAGGATTTATTTAATTTTACTTATCCAAGATAATGATTCAAATTTACTACATATTTATTCTGAAGAACTTTGATACACTTATTCTGATTGATCATTCTAAATAATAATAATATTTAATATTAAAGAAATTTAGAGATAAAGATAATTATATAAGTCCGAATATAAAAAATTAATAACGATAGGTGTCTTTCTATCTTAGTTTGTGAAGAATATGACATCTTTTGTCAATATAATTTATAAATTAAATTAAAATGCTAGATTTTGAGTCCCAATAGCATTTATTATAAAAAATTTGATTAAGTACGAATAAAACTTCTTGAGCTTTAGTGCAATTAGGAAAATACAACTTAAGCCTATCAATTACCATAACCTCGTATATATATGCTATTTAATTGCTCTATTATATTCTCCGATTTCTTCTACCTAAAATATATATTGCGAAAATTAATAGATGATATTAGCAATTCTTGTTAGTTTTAATATCTATATATGCATCATTCAATTTTTTCATCTTAATATTCTATATCTGCACTAAAATATTATTAGTAATTTTATATACATTTTCTCGTAAATGAAAACGTCACCTTAAATGTTTATCTTCATAACGTTCCATGTTTTCACTTTTTTTCCGTTTTTTACTAATCCCATGTGTATCACAAGGTTGTAACTAAATATGAACGAATGACTTACATAGAAAAAGATTCAGTAAGCTATAGCCATAAACCATCTTTTATCCCGTTTTCATTATATAGTCCACCACCTCTAGGTTTTATCATTATAGTAAATAAATTACATTTTATAGTTTGATAAGTAGCAATCCCATCTACCCACCTTATTATTATTAGAGTATTCGCCTTGATGAGTTACTCGACAATCTCTAATATATAACATTTAATCTCGATACTCTTAAAATCTATCATCCAATTCTATCCACTTTCCTTTTTTAACTGGACCTAAATTTGCACTTTCCTAGTCATCATAAAATCCTCCACCACTAAATTTTTTCATTTAATTACATATATTCCCTCTTTCCATTTTAATTCAAATAGATATCCCATTTATTAACCTTTCTACCGTTTCGATATTCACCATGAAAAGTGGCCTATGACAAAAATTCATGATGCAACTCAACCCATTTCCCAAGCTTTACCCCATAACCTACTTTATCATACTATCCGCCTGCCCTGTATTAATTAAATTTCTTTATTTTTACATTATTTTAAATGGTTTCTTAATGTCTATTATCTCTTCAATATCCCAGGAACCAAATTTTCTACCATTTTTATATTCACCTTTGTAAGTTATTTAACAAAAATCCTTCCAATCATCTGATATATCCACCCAATCACCAACCTTAAGTTCATTACCTTCTTCATCGTATGATCCGCAACCACTATAATTTCCATAAGATTAGTAAATTATAAAATATAAGTTACATCTTTGAGAAGTCACTGTGGCCCTATTTTCTATGACAAATTTCCCATATTCCAATTTTTTTACCATTTAAATATTTTCCATTGTAAGTGATTTAAGAATTATTTGTAAAATTATTTGATATTTCCACCCAATAACCTTCTTTTTATTCATTCTCTTCATAATACCCACCACCACTATATTTTCATAAAATTGTTATTAGTATTACATCTTTTCATTTTTTCCTTCGTACTTGTACCAAATATCCCATCTACCAACTTTATGACCATTTTTATATTAGCCATTTGATATTAATTAAGAGATATCCTTGAAATTATCTAATACTTTCTCCCAATCTACTTCTTTAATTTCATCACCTTAGCTTTGTTATGATCCATCCTCTCTGTATTTTCATAAAATTAGTATTGTTAAACTACATAATATATTAATACATCTTTTCATTATTTCCTTTATAATTGTTCCAAATATCCCATCTACCAACCTTTTTACCACCCATATACGAGCCATTTAATATTAATTAAAAGCCACTCTTGAAATTATATGATATTTCAACCCAATTACCCACTTTTTGTTCATAATCTGCTTCCTCATATTTTCCACCTTCACTATAATTTCATAGTATTTTAGAATTGTAATTATATAATTTAGTATTACATTATTCGACTTTTTCCCTAACATTTGTACTAAATATCCCATCTACCAACTTTTATTCCATTTTTCTATTCCCCTAAGTAAGTTAGCTAAGAATTAGAACTAAAAAAATCCATAACTTCGACCCAATCACCTTACTTTACTCCACCACATCCTTCATCATATGATCCACCGCCACTAATATATGTTTTTCCAAAAAATTGTTATTATTTCTATTTACATTGAATATTTTTTATTGTATAAATTCCATCTACCAATTTTTCTCCCATTTTGATATCGACCACTACACATAATCTAAGTATCAGAATTAAATCTATCCATAATTTCAACCCAATCACCTATCTTGACTTCAGCACCTGAGTCATCATATGATCCACCACCACTAAAATATTTTTCCAAATATTATAAATTTAAAACTATATAAAATATGTTTACATCTTTGAAAATGAACCACTTTTTTATTTTCTTTTAAAAATATCCCATCTACCTATCCTTTTACCCCTGTAATATTCACCTTAATGAGTTACTTAAGAATATTTCCAAAACCCTTTACTCAACTCCATCCATTTTCCAATCTTCAATCCTTCTCTACTATAGGCTCCTCCCCCTCTATTGTTATTGAATTAATTGATCAATATATACATCTCCTTATTTTCATAAATATACTTCCAAATTCCTTTCTTTTAATCCCTTACATATTCACCTACTTCAAAAACTTAGGCTAGACTAATAGTTTTAATAAATTATTACTTCTAATAATTTTTTATTATTTCTATCCATCTGCCTTATTTTTCCCCATCCAAGGAGTACTAACCGCCAACGCTCTAAATTTTTTCACCCTGCCATGTAGCTTCCCATAAACCGAGTTTTATGTTATTCTGTCCATATTTACCAAACCACTTCAAATTTTGGATTTATTCTAAGTTTGTAAAATTTTCTGGTTCTCTATTAGGTTCTATTATTGAATCTCTAAATAACATTAAAGAAACCTTACTTTCTTAAACTAGAATTATCTTTAACAAATTTTTATTCTCTGTTTCGGGCTATTTGTTCTGTTGTTGTAATTTAAAAATCTTTGAATTAAAAATCACTCCTTTAGATATCTTTAGTTTCTCCTGTAAATTTACTACTTTATTACTCAATTATAGAAAGCACTCCGCTCAATTTTTCTTAAATGTTGCGAATAAATAACTTTTCTTCCTGGTCCCAATAAACTCTTAATTCTTCCAATTTGTTCTGATAGAAATTATTCTATTCTACCTAACCAACCATGTTTTTCCCTTATAAAATTGATATCAGTTTTTCCAAGTCACAATTGGATAATTTTATTGGATTAATATTTTAGTTAAAAAGATGAGCGTATTATGTTGTTTAAAGTTCAATCATATCGAATATTTATTTGATTGATTCTGAGAGATATTCCAAAAATTTTATAAAATTATTTTTGCTTTGAGAGAGCATGTATTTAAAATTCATTTTCTATTCTGTTAATTCAGAAGTATCTTCTAGCTTACATTCTTAAAATTTCTTCTTAACCATCTCATTAAATTTAGATATCGAAATCATTTCTTTATTCTCCACTTCATGCTCGTAAAAGCATTTATCACACAATTTCCTTTAAAATTAACACTTGTGAGGTGCTATACATATCGATAATATTTGACTTCCAATATGATAAGTGCAATCCATTATTTATTAAAATTTCTAATATTTATTACTTGATTTTATGCGATTGATAATGAATAAATAAATCATGTGTAGTAGTTTTAGCGAGGGTATTCTAACATTAGAACTTGTTTTTGATTGAAATTTTAGAAGTGAGAAATCGGTTCATAATTAACTCATCTTGATTTTTTTTGGAATATTGAATAAATTATTCTAATATGAAATCTTATAATTTTGAAGACTACTTAATTTGACTTATACAAGAAATTCTATCATGATCCTTCTCCATTCATTAATTCTTCAAATGGAAGCAAAGTGATTCTAAATATCAAAATAAAATAAGAATAGTTAAAACTTTTTGTTAAATTTCTTCAAATTCTTATGGCGATAATTATTTTTTAGGACTCGAATTTTCATTGTTGTTTCCAATGAATATTCTTGAAGATACCCGAAAGAAGGAATTGGAAAAAATGATATTTACTCAAAATTATAATAATAATATTATCATATTGCAACTATATAAATTAGAGATGATTTTAATAACTTCGAAATGTGCATATTTGTTCTTTTAAAATAAATTTAGTATAGGCGATGGTAGTTAAAAAAGCAGTCAAACAGAAAATAAAGGATATTATGGATTTAAGTAGGGTAATGAGATGAATATTTTTTATAGTAAAAAATAATGGACATGGTAACATCTGGATTGGAAACTGATCTATATTATTATTATTATTGAGGATTAAGTGCTAGAAAAACAATTGAAATTGATAATTTTTAAGATTAAGAATAATATAAGATTTGAAATTGATCGTCAAATATTTCAAGAAAAATGAAAGTTTAAAGTGTACTTTCATATATATAGGATTAGTGAATCAAATTATGAATTATTTAGGGGAAAATTGAGTTAAAATGGCAACTAATACTTTTCTATGGAGTAAATATAATTAGTAGAATTGAGATAGAAAATAAAAAATAACTTATAAATTATAAATTATAAATAATAAGAATATATAGGATCAAAATATATTTAATTTATTCCAAGCCAAGAATAGCTTATCAAGTTCAAATTAAACATAAAATATTATTCTTCCAATTAGACTTTTGTTAAATTATAAATAAAATTATTTAAAAATGAAGAATGGCTTGAGAACTGATATTTTCTTTACTATGTTGTGATTCAACTACTAATTTAATTTTTGTTTCTAAAGTTAACTTCCTCCAATCATTACAAACGAACTTTTATAAGTAAAGCTTTATTATTAATCAATTTATTCATCGTAATCTATCTAAATTACACACAAAAAATATAATCTATCACATTTGAATTGTTTTTTTTAAAGTAATTTCTATTTTCCTTTGCTTAATATTAATTACTATTTCTGAAATGCCTATAGAATCAAAAAGCCTTAATAAAATATCCTAATTTTTCAATCTTTTTATTAATCAATCCATTATATTAGATTTACTGTAATAATTCTGAAAATGAATTTCTAAATTTGATTATACGAGTTTTCCATTATATCCATCAACACATAAGTATTTATCGATTCAATAATTTTCGAAATACTTTAATGAATTTTGGCAAATCCAAAATAAATATTACTTTGATATTTTTGAAGCACTCTCGTGACAGCATCTCAAGAGTAATGTAGATGACGTACTAGGTATCCCTGGTTTATCTTTAAAGTATAGGTCAATAAAATATTACTCAAATTATAAATTTTTTAAATCCAAACATCTGCAATCTAAATTATCTTTATTAAGTTTATACCATACCATTACAGATTATTAATAACAATCCTCCACGATAAACTTTTTTCTTCAAAATGAACTTTAGTATTTCTATAAAAAAGTTACTAATTTAGATTAAATATATAGTTCTATTAAGTTATTAATATATTGAGAAAATGAAATTTGATATGAAGGGAAATATCTGTAATGAACATAATAGAAACGCAATTGTAGTTGCTGATAGTTTAAATTTAGAAAGAGAAAAACGAATTTTGTGTGATATCTGCGTACAAACTAAGAGTCTGAAAGTCTCTGGAGTAGACTTGGTAAGAGTTAAGATTGAAAACAAATTAAAAGCAAATCGAGAAAAATTATATTAGAGAATAAATTATACTTTGACTAAATTTAAGGAATTGAAGGGAAAATAGGAAGAATTTAAGTAAAATATTATGTAATAGCTTGATACAATATATAATATTTTGGATGAATGGGATTCTTATTTTACTAAAATGAAAAATCAAATATTAGAGTATAGCCTAATTGATGAGGTTGACAAAATTGCAAAGGAATAGGACAGTAAATATGAATAGGAGCTTTTTCATAAAATAATTTCGGATAATAAATCATTTGAAACAAAACTTAGCGATTAGTTTTCAAAAGCATCTAATTTTAATAATATACAAGAAATATTAAAGGACATTGTAAATATAGATCATTCTGGTTGTTGTAATAAAGAAAAAAAAAAAATAATAAATTAATAATCAAAAGTTAGCTTTAATACCATTGGGGGTTTAGAGGAATAAAAGGAGTAATGTAATGCAGTGGCTTTTAATAATTAAGGATCAATTATGATATCTACTTTAGATAAATAAATAAAAGTATGGAAATTTAATGATGGAATTCTTAAGTTAGAGTAAACTTTAATTGGTCACGAAGATTCTGTGTAGTGCTTATTTTTCCTAAAGTTGAAAAATTCTTTTATTTCCAGTTCGAAGAATGATATTAAAATCTGGTTTCTTGACTCCCAATAATGGACTTGTTTACAAACTATTTAAGCCAGTGTAACCTGCATTACTACAGATCTAAAGGATAAATAAATTTTCTTTGGAAGAACAGATAATTCAATAGAAGTTTGGAAGTTCAATGAATAGAATCTATTAAGCGATAAATATGACTTAAAAAAGCATGATCAATAAGTAAGTTCGTTGAGCCTCAATGAATTGGAAACCATTTTAGTATCTTGTGCAAAAGTTAGTGAAAAATAGAGTCTAGAGGACTATGAACAAATTATAGTTTGGGAAAAAAATATGAATAATCAATTTATATTCAAACACTTTGTTAAATAGCCCCATAGACTAGAGGGACCATAACATCTACTTATTAATGGAAACAACATTTTCCTCATATGTGAGAATATTAATTAGGCCTTTCTGTTTTTAAATTTAGAAGTCCTCGTTGTCGAATTTGTTTAGTTAGAATTCAAAGATTCGCCTGAACGTTTATTTCCAATTTTATACAATAAAGATAAAAAGCTGTTATATTTCAAGTTTAAATCCTATATTTATATACTTACTAGTAATTTAAAAACATAATCTATTTTGCATTCTTCAGGTTTAATTTAAGGTGCTTTCACGAATGATGGGTAATACTTAGTTTTTTGGGATGAGTAACATAAAGGGTATCAAACATTTTAGATTTCTTACCATTGAATGTTAATAATTGATAAATTATTTATAAGAAGTGATATGAATATATAATCTTATTCTCATCTTTATAATTAAATTAAATAATATTTTTGTTCACACAGTTGCTTATGGTTCTAAATATTAATTTAGAATCAGATGTGGAAATAGAAATTAATCATGTAATAAGAATCTTGGAATTTTAATGATTATGAAACTATGAGAATAAAATGTATTAGCACAAAATTCTTTATATAATTATTGTAATTATATTTTAATTTCCTCTTTTATCAGATAACAAAACATAATATATTGCAATAGCATCGTTGAATATTTATACTAAAATTTAAATTAAAAAAGTAATGATGGAGAGCTATTCGTGTTGTGTTATATTTTAATAAAAAAGATTTAATTTATTTTGAATTATTCAAGAAGATGACATTCATAGTAAAAACCAGGAAGGTACTCTTAAACAAACTTTTGAACAGAAGACAATTAGTAAAGTGATCAATTAACTTTAGAGTGTTGAATTACTCCATCCAAATAAGCCAACTCCCTCATAGGAATCAGTTGTTAAGGAATTAGCAAGCAAATACAAGGCAGATGAAAGAAATGTTGTAGTCTATGGTCTTAGAACATCATTCGGAGGAAATAGAACAACAGGATTTGCTTTGATCTACGATACATAATAGTATTGAGTTTCCAATTAATATAGATATCTTCTCAAATTCGAACCAAAATTCAGATTGAGAAGAAGAGGTATCATTCCAAAGAGAGACGGAAGCAGAAAGGGATGGAAGGAAGTCAAGTCTAAGTTAAAGAAAACCAGAGGCGCTGAAAAAACAAAGATTTACATGTCAAGAAAGACAGACAAGAGAGAAGTCATCAGAGCTTAAAAGGAAACTTACCTTAAAGGTTTTGTTGGAAAATGAGTGCATTTATACCACATTTAATAGTACATTATAAATAAATATAAATATTTTATATTGTTATTTAATTAATCTTCACTTTAACTTTTCTTACTCCTGTCCTAACTTCTCTGTTGTACCATGAAAATTGATGATGCGCATTAATTTTTCAAATAGATTGGGCAATTTATCATTAAAATGATCTTTAAACTTATTCATACTCTCTTGTTTCTGAAGAAGCATGATCTTTTCAGGACCAAGAGCATTTTTGATATACACTTCAAAGTTTTCCAATTTATCAGTCTTATCTTCATTTTCAATAATTTCAACATTCGGAAATAGTTCCTTTAGAATATTTGTGACATATTCTGTCTTTTCTATAAAATCTTTCTCTTAATGTCTTGTAGTCTATTGGTGCTTATCACAATTTTAGCATCTGGTAATGTTGACATAGAATTTGCCTAGATTCCAATTATCTGGAACTTGAGGTAAACTCAAAGTTTCCAATTCAGTATCTGGATCCATCTCAAGTGGCTAATATAACTAATAAGATAATTACTGGAATTTCTTCAAGTATTTTCTTAGAATTTTAGATCACTATTCTTATTTGCTTATCTTAAATGCCAAATTTGACTATTTTTTCATTTTCATCTAATTCTACTTCGTGATTCAATGTGATTTCACTTTACTCTCCCAACAATAAAGAATTGGTCTCTGTTTTGATCTCATTAATTTGTGAATCATTGGAAAAGATAAAACTCAACTTTCTTTACTGGCTTAGATTCAATGTGCCAACAAATGCTGCAGGTAAATGTTCAAGAGGGAAGGTCTATACGGATTCATTTTTTAATTTGATTTCTAATTGAGTCTCTTATTCATTTTTTACAATTGATACTTCTGTTACTTCAACAGCGTTAGACAATTCAACCTCTTGCTCCTCTTTACCTGTTGATTTTATTATGATTTCTTTATAAGTATATCTATAGGATTCTATTATTTGTGGTGGTTGAGGCTCTCCTTTTTCTAACTCCTTCTTCTTCTTTAAGTCAGCCCTTGTCATAATACATTCTCGTAACACAATCAGAAAGTGATCATAGTGAATATATTGTACTTTGTCACTTGTATAGATTACTTCCATTAATTCACATAAATCGTGTAATTCTTCAAAGGTTACTCTTAATAATCCCACAAATTGGATATATTGAAGAAACTATTTGTAAGGCATCATATAATAGGGAGATAATTGGATTTTCGGTTTGATCACCTTATGAAATTTGGTAGGAGGTAACTCATCGTTTCGTGGTGGTTGTAATAATTGTAATCCCAAACTAATATAATCATAATTTTCAGTGAATGGACTCAACAATCTCTTATAATTGAAATTTGTATATAAAAACTTTTTGAGTTTATCTACTGAATACTTCCTGCTCCATTAAGGTTATTCTTGAATCTCTTCTGGCTTGGTTTCTTCAGTTTTTGTTTAGGTATTTGCTAATTCAAATTAACTAACTAATCCAGCTGGAATGGTTCGATTATTGATAATTACTGCTTAAGTTGGAGGAGGGGATTTAGATCTGCTTCCTGATTTCGGGGGAGACTATTCGTGTTGTTAAATCAAAAAGAATATCAAATCTCCTGCAGATAAATAGGAGATGTTTTCTTTCTTCTATCCATATCTTCTACTCATTTTCTTAACTCCATTATATTTTTAATAAAATGTTTAATATACTTCTTTAAATATGTTGATTCTTTATAAATTCTCTGTTATTACCAAACAATCCTTTAGTACAAGATGATGAGTGGTGTACTTTCCAAATGACAATTGAGCCTCTGGGAAAATTAAAGAAGTGGAAATTGAAACCTAATCATCTCTAACTCCATTCAAACACAAACCCATATCCATATATTAGCCTGATTCGTTTAAAATAAGGGCTAACAATTAAAATTCTCCTAATTTAATTGATAATTAGGAGGTAACTGTTAATGGATTCTGTTATTTCGTGTTTTTGGGATGATTATTCGGAATAAAAGTACTATATACTTATTTGCTATCTAAATAAACACCCATCTCTAGAAGCTTTTTATTTTCAGTGCTAATTTTGAGGATAGGTAGCATTTCTTTAGAATTAGTTCTATCAATTTTAACCCAAAAGCAAATTGTAAGATGTCCTTTTGATCTTGTAAAATCAATTTCTGAGAACTTCAATTGAATTTCTTCATTTGTAGAATCCTTAGAAAATACCTTATCCTCAACAAAGATCTGCTAAAATGTATTATTTCTATGAAGTGGGATTTAGGCTTATTTTGGAATGATTTTAATATCTTTACTCTAATTTTAGAGTGCTTCTTCTAAAATGTCGATTTTGTCTAAGCATTTTTAGTATTCCTCATTTAGTTAAAAGTTCTTTTTTTCCATTCCTTTGATTTGTGTTAAATAAATCTCTTACTACTGTTCTGACCTCTCTTTAAATTAATTGTGTAAAGCATCACTATTTTTCTTATCATTTTCTAATTTAGCATATTTGTCCTTCCATTCTTTAAGTTCTTCAGTTGTTTTGTTTAATTAAATTTGCAATTCATTCTTTTATTTTTCCAACTACACTTTTTCTTCATAAACTGTATTAATTTGACTAGCCATTTCTTTCAATTCATCATAGTTTTTTTTGGACTCTAAATCAGCTTTTAACTTTTCTATTTCAGCATTCAATAGTTGGACTTCAGTCTTATCGTTTTAGATTTCTTCCATTTTCTACAGTAATTATTGTTTCTCCTTCTAGAATTCTAGAGTTTGTTATTCATATTGAGAAAGCAATTTCTTTAGCTCTTCAATTTATTATTCCAATTCTAATTTTTCATTCTACAATTATTAAATCAACTTCGAATTATTCTCATTTTCATTCATCAACTTTTTCAGTTTGTCTGATAGATCTTTATCTTGATCCTAAAATTCTTATAGTTTATCATGCAATTTCTTGATTTCCTCATCTTTACCCTCAATAACTTTCTATTGTTATTACATTTCCTTTTGATGCTAGGCCTTTAAGTCTTCAATGTCTTATTTCAACTTATTGATTTCAGAATACAATGAGTATGTTTTCTTGATCTCCTCATCTAATTATTATCTAAATTGATCTGAACTTTGATTAGCCTATGCTATCTATTCATTTAGCCTCTCCAATTTTCTATCTGAATCTTGCTTCTCCCATTTCATACCCTCCAACTCCTTCTTCATTTAAAATGCTTATTATTTAAGATCTGAAATCTCATTATTTTATTCTCCAATTCTATCCATCAAGGCAGTTCGTTCTTTGGAGATTTCTTCATTTTATTATTCTGCATATTCTAAATCTTAGTCTTTCTCCTATACTTCCTGATTCAATCTAAGTATTTCAATAGAATTGGCTTGTAGAGTTTATAGTTACCTCTCATTTAAATCTGATAGTTCTTTAACCTTGACAACTGCTTATTCAACTTCATGTTCTTTCTATTAGACTAACAAATCAACTTATTGTAATTGTATTTCCAACTAATTCAAATCTCTTTTGTATTAGACACTCTATTTCTCCAATTCCTTATACTTCTTCTACCATCCTTTTTCTAACTCTTCCTTTTCTTATCTAGCCACATCATCAAAATTCTTCAATTACGTTTCCAATAGATTGAGTTTATTCTATAATAATGAACAATAATTTACATTCAATAATTTATTCTTTTTCTCCTGTTCTTCAATTTCTTCTACTCTTTATTGGATTACTTTCTTTTACTTGGTGATTTCATCTTACAAATTCTACACCTTATTGACTCTAGTATCTAATAGCTCAGCATGTAATTATTTTGATCTTCTTTGTTCTTCTTCCAATTTTTCTGTTTTGTTCCTCATCTCTTATTGTAGGAATGCACTTTCACTATCTAGTCTTTATAATTTCTTTTGTAATTGTTATATTTATGTTTCCTTTTCTTTTAAAGTTTCTTCCAGTTTGGTGATCCTGATTTTAAATTATTCATCATGAGTATTGCATTTCCTTTGCCAATCCTAAACTTCCAATTACTTTTCTCTCAGCCTTCTATTAATTTATTCCAATGACTCATTTGACATCTACAATTTATGTAATGCATCATGGAGATCATTTTCAATTCCTTGCATTTTCAATAGTTTCTCATAGATCTCCTAATACTTGGATTACCAATCATCTCTCTGCATTCCCAACATTTCTATTTCTTCCCTCATCAATTGTTGATCCTTCTCTAATTCATTCTTCAATTATTGCAATTGTAATAATTTGGATATCAAACCTTCACTATTATAATTCTTGACCATCCAAATCACACTCTCCAATTCTTCCTTGGCTTTGATTGTTAACTATTCACTGGCTTCCTTATATTGTTAGATGGACATATTATACCAATTTGGCAACAAGATGCTTAACTTAAATTTCGAAGTGACAATGATGATTGGGTCCCAGTAGAGATTTGATCCCCACTATTGAATCTATTTGGGCCAAACTAACACTCTCTTCTTTCTTAGCGTTCACTTATTTTGATTCATTACTTGAATAATTTACATTATTACTTCTATTTATCTCTTGTACGTATTGAAGGAAATGATGTACCCATTATTTAAGATCTCTAATAGAATCCTCCTCCAGATGTTTCTTTGGAGGATTTTAGAAAGTTTTGCTATTGAGGTTTCATATTGAATGTTTTAAGGGATTGACCACTGCTTTTGATTCGACGCACTTTTATATAATTGAATGGATACTATTCTTTCTTTGGGAGTCTTGAGTGGGGGATATACTCCTCTCTCCGTATTTCCTACTTAGAGAATCAACTTGTTCCGATATTTAATCTAATTTTTCTTAAGCATTCATTATTAATAAAAATAAAACTGTATTTTTGATTATGTAGAAATGAAATGATTATTGCAAATAATTCATGATTAACACATATAAATTAAAATATATTGCACCTAATTAAATGCAAGGGATTCTGATACAACAGCAATAATTCACTTAGCAATTGATGCGGATCATTTCGAAAGAGTTTGAGCCATCGGAAGGACTCGAATTAGAATTGAAACATGCAATGGAGTCCTTCTTTATAGAAATCAAACAACTGGAATATGAAATGAAAGAATCCATCGGTAAGTATTGTAATAATTGTGCAAAGTACAAGTAAAATAGCTAATCATACTAGATAATCAATTATTGATGAATTTCACGATGCATAGCATGATTAATGGAAACACCGTTATGATGAACTCAACACCGAGTTTCTCATCCTCAAGGCTTGTAATCAACAAATCGAATTGTAGAAAGCAGAACTCCAATAGAAGTTAATCGATTAACGGACTAAATACGAAGAATTAAATAGATAAAAAAAAGAAGACAAGGATAATTATCGACAGTAATACGAGGCTCTCAAAAAGAAGGCCCAAGACAAGATTCACAGATTAAAAGACAAACTAGTCGTCTTCTAAACTCAACTCCAAACCTACGCAATAGAAAGCGAGCATCTTCGAATTATAGCATCAGAAGGCAAATTAAATTCTCCCCAAATGTCCTCTGCCATCAAATTCAAATTAAAGTCTATCCTCAAAGAAGTTCATCAATTACGCAATCTATCCAACACACTCCTCTTGGAAAATTCGAAAATCATCCTATAAGCTAAAGAACAATTGCAATTCCTCAATTTCAAAAAAGACATTCAAGGCACAATCATAAGAAGAAACAACACTCCTCCAGAACCAGCCAAAATTAAGCAATATTACTCTCAAAGTCAATCCATTCAAAATAGTCCAGATCGAAAACTCAAAACAGAAAAACCAAATATGATAAGGAAACTAAATGTGACTAGATCTTCAATAAGTAAGAATTTATTAGCAGAATTTGACGCCTCTGCTCAAATTACTAAGTTTATTAAACAATACTACAATGCCGATTAATAATTAAGAAACAGCACAGGATTTCATGCCAAATTGTTTTGATAATTAAATTACGATTACATACTATAATTATTAATCTCATTACTTTATCCAGTATTGTCTCACTCCTTCAAAGTGTCTCACCGTAATCTCCTAGATTCCAATAGGCGATGCCACTCCATTTACGTAGTTCTTGCAACTTACCAATCCTCTCTGATTATTAAATTTCAACAAGTATAATTGTGTTTTTTAACTCAATGATGCAACTTGTTTTTCTCTCTCCTCATTGAAGAACTCATCGCATCCCAAAATCGCACATAATTTAGTCAATTCGTTGTCTTTGAAAGCCAAGGTTACCTCACTCTCTGATTACACATCTAAAATTGATAATTCTATTAGAATCATTTACTTAAAATCGATTCTATTTATTGATTTTTAAGAATCAAAAAATGACCAATATTCTCGTTGTTCTTATTGCTGCTATAAATCAAACCAAACAACTAATGTTAACAACCCTTCAATTGTTTCAAATATTCATCTATTAATTGTTAAGCAACTTTTATCTAGAAATTAGGCTTAGATTCTTAAACAAAGTTATTTTCTTTATAATTCTCTTCTATTTTTTGAAATGCTGCATAATACTCATCCTCCTAATTAAACTCTCCCTCATCCAATATCTTTTTCACTTCCTAACTCTCATCTTTCTCCTCCAATAGCTTGAAAAGTTTTAAATATTTTTCATTATGCAATTTAAAAGGATTTTAGAATGAAGGATAATCATTGAATGCTTCCTTTAGAGATACAACACTCTTGGAACACTTTAATATGGATAAGATTCATTACGTCTCCTTATTGGATGTTTTAACAAATCTCCTCGTCTGCCATATTTTATAAAATAATAATTATATTATAATGACTTTTTTATTCTAAATTTTTAACTATTCATAATTAAACATTCCAAAACATCTAGAAACAATTAATTAAATAATAAAAAATGCAACCTCCTGAAGAAGTATCCATTTCATTCATCACTAGAAACCAAAAGAGGAAGGAGAGGAAAAGCCAAAAGAAGAATAGTAACAATAGTAACAAACCCAACAGTAGTAAAAGCCTCCTGCCAAGAATTACTTAGACTTATCCAATAAGCCAATTCCTCCAAATGCAATAGTCATTAATTTTGAAGTGTGCATCAATTGCTAAAAATCACATTCGTTTTGTACACAACACGACGAACTTCGATATGCTAAATTATATCATGAATTTAAGGAAGGTAACATAAGTTATTATTTAATACTATAGCTGTTGAAGCTGCAATTCCGAATTCATTCTGTGTAGTTAATCATTCAATTTAGAAACCTTCCATTGGAGCATTTGAAATAACTCATTAAAGTAATGCATTAATTTCTAAAGTAGACAAGATAATCTATTCTAAAAAGAATTCTGGTTTGTTTCCTTGTGTTGCACCTACAGTGGAGAGAATTAAGAGATTTCTTGATGATCTCTAAAATGGCAAAGATGTCAAGGGTTATGCCACAACCAAAGAGAAGAAGCAAGAAAAACCAATTGAAAAGAAATCAAAACCAACCTTTTAAGCTTACATAAGAATGAAAGAAGAGGAATTTGCCAGACAGGAAGCAATTAGAGAAGAAAATGAAAGAAAGAGAAAGGAATAAGAAGAGAAGGAGGAGAAAGAAAGACAAGAGAGGGAGAGAATAGAAGCAGAGAATAAAAGAATTGCAGAAGAGGAAGCTGCAAAGAAAGCAGAAGAGGAGAGATTGAAAAAAGAAGAAGAAGATAAAATTAAAGCTGAAGAAGAAAAAAAGAAGGCTGAGGAAGCTGCAAACAACCCCTAAAACTAAGAAGGTGGTGAAAAACCTCAAGAACAAGCCTAAGGTGAGAAACCAGGTGAAAAGCCAGCTGAGAAACCTGCTGAGAAACCAGCTTAATGAAATTATTAAAATAGATAAATAAGCAGATATAAATCTATATTTATGTATTTTTTATAATACTCACATCATAATCTATCTGTAGAGATAGCACTAACTTTAATGCCATCTTACAATGAAATTACATAAACTCTGTAAGTCTTGCTTCTGTACTTAATGTCTTCAGAGGTATATAATGGTTGGTTTGTGACTTTGGAGAGTTGTCCATCTTTAAATGCTTACTTCAGAACTTGATTTGATAAAATGGTTTATGATATCACAGAAAGACTGTCTCTTACTTTAAGATTTTTGAAATAGAATGGAATGTGAGGATAAGGACTTTAACATGGCAATGATGTTTAATGAGCAAGACCAGCAATCAAACCATCAAAACTCACAAACAAGGTCTTAATAAATATTTCTGCTTCTTTGTCTTATACAAACTCTTTGAAGTAAGGTAACTATCTAACACTCTAATCATTTTAGTTGATTGTTAATAACTCTAATCTGAGTTCCTTTTCTGGAATGAAATGCTATTCACCATTCTCAAAGGTTTGTTTCTAAAAGATGTTCACAATTTTGTGGTAAGCTTCATCATTTTTAAAATGTGAATTGCCTGCATTCTAAAAGATAATTAAATTGATAAAATTACTAAGCAGTCTAAAATCCACCTATTTATTCTGTCTCTCATATTGTATCCTCCTTTGAGTTAGAAACTAAGTGAATTTGGTAAATAAGTTGGATCATATTGGACATGCTTTTCCTTTTTGGGCACTTTATTCTTTTTCTCATGAACTACTATGTCTTCGCTTTCCTTTCTCACGACATCGTCTACTTTAATTGGTTGATGCTTAGTAATTTTTGTGACTTTGGGGAATAACTAATGAATAATATTCTTGATTTCCTCTTCGAAAGTATCATTATTCTAATTTTAAGGGTGGATCTCTTTGAGACTTTTAAAGAATTGATTCAAATTCTTTTTAGAATCGTTATCAAATAGATCCAATAAATCATCCTCCAGGTATTCATGCTCAATCTTTAGATCCTCATCCACAAATGGAAATTCAATTACTCCATTCACTTAAAGAGAACTGACTTTGAAATTCTCAAAAGTCCTAGCTTTCTTAATGAAAGATTGAACTTTTTCTAGAGTAGTACATGTTCTTTTCATGGCAGTAATAAGCAATTCATATGAAAATGGCATTTTCAATTGGTTATAAGATCTTTTGGTGTATGGATACAGGATGATTTTGTTGTAAAACTGACTACATTTAGATATAATGGATTATGCTTCTTCTGGAGTGTGATTATGTTCTAGGATAATGACATAGTTGTCTCTAATTTTGGCATCTTGAATATCACTGACAATTTAGGTTTGGTAATAGAAGGATTGAAAAGTTCTTGCAAATGTTGAAACACCAACTCCATTAACACATACAGGTATAATTAAAAAGACATTTTCTGGGTTCTTTTAGAGATCATCACCTGCATATACTGGTATTCTTGTTAGAGAGTTTGGTTGATAGGATGACCAAGAGGCTCTATAATCTTTAATAGAATTTAATTAATTCCATTTGAAAGTCTTGTTGTTAAAGATGTTGTATAAGATAATAGTGACGAAGTCATTAAAATTAAATTTGATAGTATTTTCCATCTTATTATAAGTTTCCAATATTTTCATGCCTTCTTCATATATGCTCTCATAAAACTTAAATGGTCTAGGGGGTTTGACTTGCAAGGTTTTTACAAATTATTTAAAGTCTCTTTCAACGTGTTATTCATTCAACAACATTGATTAAATGTGTTTGTAAATTAAATACTCAGCTGTGTGCACAACATAGTATTGATCATGGAAATATAAGATAACTCCTGCTGATTCTAATTCAATATCACTTCTTTGAATTCTCTCTATGTGTTTTTAGAGTAATTTTAATTGCAATTTGAATTAGGATGTTTTTGGATGTGGTAATCCATAAAAGCAAAATAATTATTGGGCTTATTCGAAATTCACGTCGACAATGCCAATAAATTATAGAATGTCATTAGGGTGATAGATCAGAGATTCCTGATTGATGATATGACCATACACAGTTCGATTGTGAAAATCGAATTTCAAATTATTAATTTTTTCTTGGCTGACTAGAATAAAGACATTGGTTTACATTCATTCAAAATATTGAACCACAACTCAGCTACTTAAACTGCTGAATCAAATCTTTGGAATGCAAATTCGGTCAAATCATCAGACTTTTATGCCACAACGGTGAGATTGTTAGAATAGATTAACCAGGCATCGATTTCCTTCTAATATCCAATCTTAAATAATTAACCTCCTGGATAGGTCTGACTATAGACAGTTTGCTTAATTAGTTATGATTATCTTACAACTAGATTACTTTCAATTGAGTCTTTGATTATTTACTCTAAGTTTGAATGAGTGGGAAATTGGACATCTTAGAACCCTACAATTGAATTAGGAGATATTACCCCATAAAGTTTTGAGTAGTTGATTCTGGGCATTGAATATTTGTAAGACTGTTTTGTGATGGTGAATCTAGAATGAATGATTTATTTGATTTACCTAGTATTTGACATCATAAATCACAAGGTTTTCAATAAACAATTTATTTTAATCATGAATATGCTGGTCTTGATCATTGCAATAATGTAAACTAAAGGAATTAATGGATCATATAATACAATTCGTAGGGATCGCTGCTCTGATATGAGGACATTAATTAATATTAAATATTAAATTTATTGTAGTATCAAAAATCAATGTTTATTTTTCACTTACGAAGTTTTTAAATCTTGAGAAAGCTATCATTTATTTTGTGACTCAATTCTTCGTTGATATTCAAAGTTTTCATTCTTTCACACAATTATCTAACCTTTTAAATTATATCATACGCTATTGAATTTATTGAATTGTTCTCCAAAAAAGCAGACTGTATTGGTAATTTCTCTATTTCCAAAATATTTAGCAATTCTTACATAGAATTACTCTATTCACTGATAAATCCTTAATTTTTCCAATTAATCTCTGAAATCTCAGAATGGGAATCACTAGTCTCCATTTCAAAAATCGTATGAGCCATACCGTCTTTAGAATATTTCAAAGCCTGAAATAAATTTGAAAAAAACTATTCACTCATCATAATAATTTCATACTTCTTTCACTTCAATCGGTTCTTACTACCACAACTTGCTGAAATTCTTCTTGTCTGGATCCTATTGTGTAAGTTAAATTAAATTACATTAAGACTCTACCTATACAAAATGATCACTGGAGGAGGATTAGAGTTCATTTAATTTTATTATAAAACAATTATTAATGAAATTAGAAACATATTTTTAGCATGCTTCCCAACATCACCTTACCCTTCCTTTGATCACTCTCATTCTTTATTCACTACTTTGTTATTTGAACAATTTAAATTTTATATTGACATTTGAGCATTCATTTGAAAACTATAATTCTATAATGAAAAACATATAAACAAATAAAGTGAAAAATCAGAATCTGCTATTCTTTCTCATTGGCCATACTTTTCATTTAACAAGATCTTTATTTTAAAGTAATCACTATTAGTCCACTCTCTCTTGGTATCTGATTTCTCTAACATTTTAATAGCCTACACTATATATTGATATTGTACCTGTTTCCAAGTAACGAATCTTCCCTTAATTCTCAGTCTCTCCTCTGCCACCTTCTATCTGATCTGATAATGCACTTTTTTCTCAAAACTAGTTCTGTTGTGCTTTTTCTCTAAGTATTTCTTTACTTTCAGTTTCCTCTACATCTCTTTTTGATTGGCTTTAGTGTTGCACAATTATTAAACCCAATTTTCGAATTTTAAAGTTTATGGATCATCCAAAATCTTATAATCTAAACCAATTTTTATTCTTTGGAGGTCCTCCTAGTTTATGAAATTCAAGAGAAAGTTCTCCTAAGGGATGCTTGGATAGTATTTCATCTCCAAATTAAACAAGTGTTAATCAGCATTAATTGGAGGAGGAAGCTACTTTGAAGGGAATTTTGGTGATGGAATATCCTCAAAAGAGTTGTCAGAGTGTTCAGACGACTCAGTCTACTCAGCTGTAGAACATTCACAGTTATTCTTTAAGTTAAACTCTTCACTTTCAACGAAGTAACTTGGTTTTTTGAATAAGCCAAGTTAATGTTAAGTGAAGATGTTGATATTGGATTCCTCATCCTAAAAACTGTTGTTTCTATCCTGTTCGAACTCAGAAATTACATCGTATTAGACTTAGAACATTTTTATTAAGATATTAATTTTTAAAAAAGGGAACACCGGAATTAAAATTTATGTATTAAATTTTATAATACAAAACAACCGGTTTGCATCAGGGAATCTTATTACTCATTTTTATAACTCATTTCAACACAATTCTTATATTTCTTTATCCTTAAATTATTTCATATAATTAATGATTTGTTCATAAATTAATTTACACTTATAAACCATCGAAATACATTACTCTTATTAAATTATCTATTTGCCCTTTTAAAACAAATATATATATAAATAGTCACTTACTTGATTTTTAGAAAGAAATCAAAATATATATATATGATAACAAATATCAGAAAAATATGCAAACATGAATTTTCACTTAGTTTCGAATTAATTGTCTCTTTTCATACTATTGTTTGGATTTGTTTATAATTGAGCAATAAAATATAATTGATGTATAAATTCTATTTAATTCACTCAGGTTATCCAGGCAATATTATAATTTTAAATGAACTTTGAAATAAAATTGCCAAATTTAATTTAAAATACGTATCTAAATTAGTGTTATTGAATTAGTTCATCCTTTATGTATTTCAAATTATAGTTGAAATTATAAGTATCCAAAAATATCCCATCTAATAATATTAATTGATAAATATATTTCAATAATATAATTTGATAAATTTATTTAAATATGTATCCTTCAAGATTCATTAATCAACAAATCTATGCTAATTTAATATTAAAAAGTATTAATAGATGGTCTAACAAATAGGTAAGCTGTTAGAAAAGAAAGGGTAATTAAAAGAAGCACTAAATTTTTTGAATTAGAAAATATTAGAAAATGTATAAGATATAAGGTTCTATGAAGAAAAAGGTATTTCCACATTAGATGTAGCTGCTGCATTAATGAGAAATAGTTAGTAGGAGGAAATAATCAAATGCTGGGAGTTTGGGATTGAGTAAAATCAATCTAACATAGAATTTTATAAGGCAAAAAGTATTTGATAAATTTATAAAGTAAATGCTTTAAAGAAATTGGGTAGAGATAATGAGGTAATTGAATGCATAAACAAATGGATGCGTTTAAACAAGAATTGTAGTTTGGTTGAATTTGAGCTTTCTTAAATTTCAAGTTCTAAGTTTGAATGTAATAATCTTAGGTTGATCTATTAGCAGCTATAAATAAATTTGATAAATCAATCGATGATAATGATGAGAAGGAATGTCTAATAAAAAAAAAAGTTCTATGTTCAAATAATATCAGAGACTATCTTGCCTATAGTAAATCAAGATGAAATACAATTAGCTAATATGTTAAAAAAGTTGGGTAAAGATAAAGAGATACTTTAATGTTGGGATTGGGGAGTCATGAATAATATCAACAACATAGATTTTTATTATGCAAAATGTATTGATCACGCTTGAAAAATAGCAATGCACTTAGAATCATTAGGTAAGGATTAAGAAGCAGTAGATTGCTGGTGGTTTGGAATATCAAAAAACAAAAATTTCATAAAATTTTATGACGCTTTTTGTAATCTTAATTTAAAAAAGATTAGCAAACCTTTTAACCAAATTGAATAGAAATTAAGAAGTTGCTGATTGTATGTAGTTGGGAATTGAATAAAATCCATAGAATATTAGTTTTTATACTAAGAAAGGTTTAATTTAATTAACTAATATTTAATATTTTAGTTAATGTATTACTTAAACTAGGAGAAGAATAAAAAGTTATCAATTGTTTAGATTATGGAATAAGCTAAAATAAAACTAAGATAGAGTTTTATAATTATAAATGTTTTAAAGTGATCTTATATAATTAGGCTAAATATTAAAAGACTTAGGAAGAAATTAAGATTGTATTGAATGTCTTGAACTTGGTATCCAAAATAATCCTACTGATTTTCAATTTTATTATAGAAAAGGTAATTAGAGTTATAATGAATTTTAGCTTATAAATTAAAAGAATTGGATAGAGTAGAAGAAGAACTTTAATGTTGGTAACGTGGAATAGAAATCTAAAAGGATTCTTCTAATTATTATTCAGAAAAATGTAAGAAGAATATCAAAGCCTTAGTTGATGTGTTAATGAGATTACATAGATATGAGGAAGCTCTCAAAGTATGGGATGATGGAATTCAGAGTAACATTCATGATGGCCGCTTTTACTATTTAAAAGGTAGGATCATTAATAATTACATATTTAGCTTAAGCTTTAGATACACTGGAAAGAAATGATGAAGTACTTCTATGTTGGGATAAAGGAATATTAAATAACCCTGATAATTTTTCGTTTTATGAATAAAAATGTAAATTATATAGTCGATTTTAGGTGATGCTTTAATGAAATTTGAAAAGTTAGTAGCAGCTGAAGAAAGTTGGAGTTCAGATTAAGAAGGTTCGAATAAATCTGATAATGAATCATGCAAAAATGAATAGAGTATTTCAGATATAATAAATAGCTTCCCCATTACCACTATCAGAAAATGCAGAAAAAGCTCTTCAATGTTTGGATGAAGGAATATCAAGAAATCCTAGTGATTTTGCGTTTTATAATAAAAAAGGTAGAAATGATTCTTATTGTTTAAGTTGATTTGCTAAAGAAGTTGGGAAAAAAAAAAGAAGCTGTTGTTTGTTTAAAGATTGGTTAAGAGAAAAACTAAAATGACCCTGAGTTTTATCTAGCCCTTGGTAGTCTAATTTGTAATAAATAGCTGAGGAGTTACTAAGTTAAAAAAATCTTTTGGAATCAATATATTACATTGATTAAGGATTGAAAAGATTTAATGATGAGAGATTAATGGCAACTAAATGTTATTATTTAATTAAATCATTAGGGCTATTGCTATCAAAATAGAATATGTTAAGAAAAGCAATAATTTATTTTCGTTTATCAGAAGGCTGGAGCTATTAAGGGAGAAAGTTAAAATATAATTTATGATAATTATTGCTATCAAATAATTATTAAGAATTGCAGTTTTGTGAAATAATAATTATTACTATGATCGAATTCTAAAATCATACCCTCTACTCTATTTGATATATATCTTATTATAATTTCTTAAATAAGCAATTGACTTGAACAGTAAAAGAATCAAAATGATTACCATAGTTGTAAATGAATAAATAAAACATTAGTTTAATAATATATATTATAATACGATCCGAAATCATCAGATTTAAATATAAAAAGAATAAAATTGAAACCTCTCTTCTCTATATTTTAAATATATTAATAATCAGTTCTATGAACAATATCCAAGCTTAACTTTAACATAGGCATAGGAAGGTCCTAAAAGTGAAAAATAGAGATATAAGAGATAATTCTTCAAGCAATTTTGACTATAACTTATAGAATTTGTTGCCATAAAAGATCACTCAAAATGGAATTAAAAATCAGAATATTTAGATGAATCAAAACATATTCAAAAATTTAGATACGGAAAGAAATTCAGGTGTGATGTAGTATTAGCAAATGAGAAATGTAAATTGGGATCGAATGTCTACATTCAAGTAAAACAATAAAGCTCAAGAATTTATGTTTAATAACTAATTTCACTAGATTGGAGATTAGTTTCAATTAAGCAATCTTTTAAGATTTCAACCTTCTTTATAAAATACTCAACAAAATACTCTTCCAAAAATAAAAAATAATTTATATACAGACAATTAAAGTACTATTAAGTTTCCAGATTAACTCTAACCTCAGATGTAAATGTTGACTCCATAAATGAGAATGAATTATAAATACATACAGAAGATACCAAAATGTGATGACGATGAATAATTGATCCAAAAACAAAGTGCAAGATTATAAAACAAAAAAAAATATGATTTATAATCATCTATTGCTTTTGAAATCAATTCCCTTAGGACTAGTTGCAAAGTATCAAATTATAAATCAGAGTACATTCCTGCAATGATTAGTGTTAAAACAAAAGAAAATTAAACAGAAATGAATGAAAGAACTATTGGAATTGATTTGGTATTTTTTATCATTTACATTAGATCTGCTTAATCGACAAGAGCGCGAGCATGATGGGAGAAAATATAAATATGGTTAAAATCAGCTTATTACTGCTTCTTGATTTTTTAGGTGAACAAGACCGACTACAAATCATTACTTTTAATGAACATGCACAAAGACTAACTCCCTTAAAGTGTTTAACAGAGAAAAATAAACTATATTTTCAAGCAGTTATTTCATAAATCAGTGCAGAAGGATTGACCAAAATTTCAAGTGCTACTTATATAGCATTTAAATAATTAGAGGAAAAGGTCTATAGAAACAATGTCACCTCTGTTTTTTTGCTATCAGATGGACAAGATGGAGACGCCCTGTTTGAGATATCTGATTAAATTAGACATGTTAAAGAGGTTTTTACAATCTCGACATTTGGGTTTGGTGATGATCATGATGCATAAATGATGACATCTATAAGTAATTTAAAGAATGGAAATTTTTATTATGTTAAGGATATCACATTATTAGATGAATTTTTTGCCCATGCTTTGGGAGGTATAGTTTCTGTAATTGCAGAATAAATTTAAATAAGTCTTTCGTTAACATTCTCAAAACCTCTGTAAGATTTATAGATTTCAAAAACATATGGAAATGTATGGAAACAGAGAGGAAATGTCTATGAAATTAATATACCTCAATTAGCATCAGGTACAAGAAAAGATTTTGTATTTGAAATTTAGATACCTTAGATTTATTCTAAAATTTAAGATCAAGAAAGGGTTGTAAAAGTACTTGAAGCCCGTTTAAGATTGAAGGATCCTTAAAGTGGAGAGATTATTCAAAAGTCTGCTGCACTTAACTTAACTCTATTTAATTAGGAAGAGAATGTAAGTGTTCAGGAGGAAAATATTGATGTGTATTCTCAATATATGAGAGTAAAAGGAACAGAAGCAATTGATGATGCAAAGAGAGCTTGTGAGTAAAATAATTTTGAAGATGCCTAAAAATTACTCGATGATATGATGGTACAATTATCGAAAAAAAATAATAAAGTTGTCTAAAGATGTGCTGGAATTATATAGGATTTAAATTAAGCTAAACAAGCTACTTAAAGTACATCATATAATTCTTATGGTTCCAAGTAGTTGTGTTAAATAGTTGTTAATAATAATACATAAGGAGGTATGAATTCCGTATTTTCACTTGATGGATAATAGTAATAATAATTGAATCCTTCTTAATATTCAAATTTAACTTAATAAACAATGCTAAAGTTGGTATAAACTAAGAAAGCTAAATATTGATATTTATTACATTATAATTTTTATAATAAAATTATTAAAATATGTATTATTAAATTTATTCAAAGAAAATGTATACAATTTGGAATCAAATTTTCTATTCTTTCAAAACAGAAATTTTAATTAAATTTGTTAATATTTCAACTCTTCTTAATAACCAATTAATAGAACAAGCGCTACCATTGAAAATCAATGTGTGAAAATTATTGTTTGGGGATGATTTCATATGCCAGTAATTCTGAATAATTTATGGGGGTTTGTTTAATAATTTTTTTAAGAATTTGTAGAAAAAAGATTGTTGCTAAAGTATAGAGCTTGTATTTAAATAAATAGACTAAGAATGTAAAAAAAAATTTTGATCTAACTTGGTTGCTCAAATTGATTCGATAATTTTATTCACTCCATTATCTAAAGCATGTGATCCATCTGCTGAAACCAATAAAACTTCAAAAATTATAGAAAATAAAATATTTTTATTAAAATATTTAAGCAATAGAATAAATTTTTTTATATAGATATAAAGAGCTTATCCTTTTTCTGATTATTAGCATTAAAAAAATATGTCAGCTAAAGAATTACCACCAGGAGGATGTAATAAAGGAGTGGTTATACCTTTAGTATTCTCATGCCCTTAAGAATGCATATGCAAATCCAATGTACCTAAGAAGTGGTACCATAAATAGTGTGGAAAACCTTTATTCGTCAGTGAGTATGGCTATATTTTATGTGAAAATCACTTAAAGGATTGTTCAGCATTTTTTATCAAAGATGCTTTTTTTTAATGCAATGAGGCTAAGAAAAATAATTCTTGGTATAAGTATAGGAACTTGTCTAATATGTTGATGGCACTATCTAATATCGTATAAGCAGCAGAATTAAAAGAGGAAGAAGGCCTTAATATATAATCATTTACGAAAAATCTCCTAGACGAACTAAATAAGAAATGGAATAGTTGATTACCATGAAATAAATAATTTATTATTATCAAATTAACAATCATAATTGTTATTTCCTTAAAGAACAAAGCCTTAAATTTTCATTCTAATATCTATTTAAATTACATATAGTTGCTATTTATATGATTTAATCTCAATTATATTCTCATTTTAAGTTCTCTTAATGTACAATTATCATCTTGGAAGATAATTAGAATTGTTTAAAATAAAAATTTATTTTGTATTTACTAAAAATTCTATTAATAAATATTGGTTTAATTTATGATTTAATTTATAATTTGTAGATTATTCAATAGATCAATATGGCTAATATTAGTAATAATTGGCCAAGAATATCGCTAGATTCAGTTATCAATCTTACAGATTTTTCACATGAAGTACATTAGGCTTTAGATGGATCCCATCTATAAAGCTCTCCTGTCTTGATGTAACAATCTGAATATTTAAGAGTGTCAATATTGATGGAAACACACTTTCTTCCAACATAGTGACATAAATTAATATTTTAAGAATCCCAGGAATAAAAATTCTTGCATCTTCCTACTTAAGCAGAATAAGTTTGACATGTATGAGTTTAACATAACGATTTTGTTGAATCCCAATAACATCTATCTTTAGTCAGTTTACATGCATTTTAATCTTATTTTGCAGATTCACAACTTACCATCAATTTACATTATCCTGTTGTCTCAATCCAGACACAAATTCCATCCTATCCTTACTAGTAACAACTTTATTTAATTTTATAATCTGAACAATTACCCTTACTAATACATGATCTACCATCAGAAATACAATTTTCTAATACTCTGCATGATGAAGTGCTATAACCATTTGGGATATCTTCACACTCCATTTTTCTACATTTTTCCAAAGTTTTATCAAATGCAGTTTCCCAAAAACACTAACCATCTAGTCCTTCTGCATTTTGACAAACATCCTATGACAAATAAGATAAACAGGGTTCTTTGAGAATGCATTTTTTGCCATTAGTTGTGCAATAAGTCAGTCTTGATTAACATTCAAGGTGAGTTATAAATTTCATTTCAGAACAGTCTTCATCTCTACATTATTATTGTATCTAATCCCAAACACAGATGCCAGTTGATAATATATATCCCTAATCATCTTTAAGAGTTCCCATATTATTGATAAGGCATTATTCTTTATTGTATTCAAAGCATGATTTTAATGAAATGCAACCATTTTGATAATCAGATGTGCATTAAGAGGATGCTTAATAACATTGTTCATGAGTTAAATAGTGAATATCTGTACATTTATTAAATACCTTACAGATATTCTGTTTTGAATCTAAAGACTCTGTAGTTACAATACAGGTTTAAATTCCTTTGTTATCAACACCAATTACACATCCATTTAGATTAGTTTGATTGCAATTTGTAATTGGGACACATTAATTTCCATCCGTTGTGCATTTGGGAGAAATCTCTTAGCACAAAGCATGGGTTTTCCATTTTAAACTTTGACATGAATCATATCGAAAACAAGCGCCAAGCGTATTGTCTTTATTTTTATATTTACTTATCCATAAACAAGGTCCATCAGTACCTTCAATGCAAGCTGCTTTAAATTAGGTTTCTTAACAAGTTCTAATACTTACACATCTTGAACCAAATCCGACTGTACATTATTGTCTTTTACTCTAACATTCTTGATGTGTAGAACCAAAATAGTCTTAGCATTATTTGATTCTACATATATTTTAGGTTTCATCCCAAAAACAGAGCTCTCCAATGTAACTGGTTGTACATGCAGCCTATATGTTAGCATCAAAACAAGTTCTTTTGAGAACACAACCTCCAGACTTAGTGGTTGTGCAAGACCCTTCTTTAGGTTTAAAATACTCTTAACATAATTGTTCAGTATTTAATTCTGATGGAGCTGTTTCGCAACTTTTGATTGTGCAATGGGATTACTTATTGATCCATGCACATTATCTTCCCTGAACATCAGTCACACAGCCTGCTTCTGATTATGCTTATAGACAAGAACCCCTTTTGACACAGTAAACACCATTTGTAGTACAAGTTGACATGAGATTACTACATTGTTCATCTAATGTTAATGAAAAGTCCTCGCAAATTGCATTTCGACATCTTTATGCACTCATTGTACAATAACTTAGAAAACTTGAACATTCATACTCCGAATATGAAATTGGTATTAATTCACATGTTTTAAGAATACATTTCCTTTGATTTTGATCCCAAAGACATTCCTGCTATTAGTTGTTAATAGCCCCATAATAACATTAGTTTTACGTCATCTCTTCACAAGTATCTGGGATTTAAGTGCATCCTGAGTCAGTAGGATGTATAGTACAACCATCATAATATTATTAACACAATTCAGGAGTGTTTAAATAGGTTGGTGCAGTGTTACAACTTTGATTTTCACAAGAATCACCATTCCAACCACAAATATTACCAGATGCATCAATAATACACTAATCTTGATGAATATATTGATTACAACTTAATTTAAGGGGAATACAACCTTAATTTACATATATTCCATCTATTTCTATGATCTTTACAGTGCAATTATTTAAATATATCTGACATGATACATGATCATATGCTAATAGTTCAGCTGTCTCACAAGACTTATCACTGCATTATGCAGGAATTACATTAGTATTCCAAATGCAATCTTCATTCAAGGAATTCCTTACACATTATTCTTATATTATATATGATCTACATGATCCCCATGAAATACACCCTTATCCAACTGTATAATTTTTGGATGCCTTAACGGTGCATCTTCCAATTTAAATACATTCGTCATGACTATCAAAATATTCAGAAGCTTCAGCATTTTCACATGTCTTATTAACGCATTTTGCAGTAATTGGATTCCATAAACAATCTTAATCTTATTAATTGATAATGCAAGACTTTTTCAATAAATATTAGCTACATTCTCGTTTTTTATAGCATCCATCAACACTGTAACCACAATTAGCTGAAATTTAGTAGCAATCCTATGGAGAATTAATTTTATTTGAACCAGAATCACACCGCTTTTAGACACAAAACTCTCCAATTATCATGCATTCACCTTCATCAATTGCATGACCACAATCAATCAATGAATATTCAACACATTTATATTTTGCAGGAATGCATTAGGTCTTTGCAGCATTAACTGAGCAGAATTGAGAAAATACAAAACAATTATAATAAGTAAATGGTGAAATTGCCTTATCACAATTAAGCATAGAATTTGAATAACATCCAGATCCATCACCAAGTGCTCTGCATGAATCATTAAATTCTCTACATTTTAAATCTGAAATAACTTATAGTTGATATAATTTGATATCCTAGCAAAAGTTGACTCCAAGATAAAATGGAATGCATTATTGTAATGTCTCTGAAAAAATACACTTTTGATAATTAGTTGATACACACTCCTCTTAGCTATATTCCTAACACTACCCTTTCATTGTTATACAACTTGTTTCTGATGTGTTAACTGAACATTACCCTTAACTTATCCATAAACAGTAAGCAAAAGTTAATCCTTTTCCTTGGACTGAAGAACACTCAGCAGATTATAACGGTTGTTGCCCTACATTTACACAGACATTTTCATAATATTTTTTATAACAAAAAGTTGATAATGAATTTGTACAATTCTCAAGAGAAGTATTTGAGCAATTATCAACAATTTAAACACAACCAGATCCGTCAATCTTAACAGTGCATTCATAATAGAAATTTCTACATGTATCAAAAGTATAAGGTGGTTGAGCATATTCACAATAGGTATTTTTCCTGCATTAATCTTGATACCAAATACACTCTCCCTCCAGACCCCAGGCACATTAATCCTCTGTATAATTATAGCAATAATCCCTCTAAATACAAGAAGTACCTTATCTATTTACTGAACACACTTAATGTATAAATTAGCAATATCCAAAATTTAATCCATCAGCTCTAACTTAAGAGCAGTCAAAAGGATACATTTGTTAATCAAAGGTTCCACAACCAGAGCTATTCCAGATACAGAACCGTTTCCAATCAACTGTTGATTACTCACATTCACTCTTCAATGTAAAATCCTCGCATCTTGATTTTTTTAGATAACATCTCTAATGCGATGACGGAACACAATTCTTAGAAATACTTTAGCATTATTAAAAATCCCAAGATTCATCTTCTTATTCGCAAGGTATATCAATACACTTCCAATTAAGCCAAACACATTTATTGTAATCTTTAGATACAATACATTGACTTTCACTTAAATACTAAGAACACTCTAATAGATCTGTGCAACCATATTAATAATAGTTAACAGTGCATTGTTACATAACTTAATTGCACAAATCGTGAGAATTTATTAAGGGACTGATACTGGAACAAGAATAGGATCTACAAGAACTAGATTCTGTATCCCAATAACAATTTCTACCATCTTCTAACACTCCACTCCAAGTACAGGCCTGAAATCCTAATTCAAGACAAGACTTTGGTCTTACTATGCACCTATATGTAGAATAATCTAAAACGCATTTTAATCCATAAAAGTTCCAACATGCATCTTAAGTGATCTGAAAATCTAAAGAAAGGTGGACATTTTCACATTTGATATCCAGACAAATCCCATTTGAATACTAATCCTTGCCCCAAAAGCATTTTGGTTTAAGTCCTTATGGCTATTCATATTCACAATTTTATGAAAGTTCTCTTTATTAACAAGAATTCGGCGGTATCATACATCCTACTCTATCATTCTTAACAACACATCCGACCATATAATCATCACATTCAAATGTTGAACTCAGGTATTGAGGAGCTGTTTAACAAGATTTATCAATGCATTCTCCGTTATACCAACCACATTCTTATTATCCAGAAGTTAAATAACATCCTTCCATTCTCGTTATAGCTTTGCATGTAATCGGTAATTCCATACAACCAGAACCTGAATTATCTACTGTACACGATGATAAATAAGATTAGCATTGCTTAAAGTTTAGTAAATTCTTTGGAGCTAAAGCACAGAATTTCTTAAAGCACCCTTCATTAAACACACATAGTTTATTATTCAAATCATAGTTACAATTAGATCTCTCTTGTACATTCTCACAAGTCAGAGATACACATCTCTAATCTGATCCTATGGTACAAGTTTGCATAAATTCCTTACATTATTCATGAGTATTCAATTCTATTGGAGCATTTTAACATGTTTTCAATTAACATCTGTCCTTCCACCAAAAACATTCTTAATTATTGGCATTTCTGACACAACCTTCTTTCATATTAATGTCCTCGCAATTTGTATTTACTATGCACCCACCTCCATATTTAGGAATACAATTTCCATCTTATATATAATTCAAACATTAAGCATACGTATTAAACGATACTGGAGCATTATCACACTTTCTATCTGTGCATCCTGTAATATCATCTGTAGATGCAGTGCATGTCTCCATATACTTTGAACATTAAACATGTCCAATATAGGATGGACCTGCATTGTTGCATGTTTTAGGCAAGCATTTAGATCCATTCCAGTGACATAGTTTACCATTAATAGTTTTATCACATGCTTCTTCAATTATAGCTGCTCCACAACTTGTATTTAATACACAACCCTAGCCATTTGTTATACAATTATTTAAGTATTCTTGGCATTTTTCATTTGTTTTATATATTTTCAAGGCATTCTCGCATGTCTTATCCACGCATTTATCACCTGTCCAAAAACAATCATTTCCTAAGGCATCTTTTTTACAAGCTTCTTTTATTTAATAAGTTTAACATAATAATCTAGTTATACATCCACCATCCTATTTAGTTGTACAAGATGGGAGGAAATCTTAACACTCCTTATCTGTTGTTAAACTCAATGGAGCATTTTCGCATATTTTATCAAAACATTTTCCATCTTACCAAAAACAAATTTGCTTATTTTTTTGATTATATACACAGTTTATTTTATCATCTTAAGCCTAACAATTATTTCCTTCTTCTATACATCCTCCTCCAATCTAAGCTGTACATGTTGAAAATTGAGCCCTGCATTAAGAATCAGAGGCAAATGTTTATGGCAATTTTGAACATTCATCTACATCTTAGCATTTTTATTAGGTGGCATCCCAATAACAATACTAACCCACTGAATTATTGATACATGAAATAGAATTCAAGTAGCTATTACAATCACCTAATTCTACGCAGTGCAATCCATTTGATATGCATCGATATGAAGCAACCTTACATTTTTCATGTGTATCATAAACAAAGGCTGTACATCCTGTGAAATGAGTACATAGATCATCATCCCAAGAACATTAGTAAATTGAAGCACAAATTTCTTTGCTCGCATATTAATTGCAATATGTAGCATGATTTGTAAAATACTACATCCTCATTTCTATTGTGTAATCAATGCATTCATTTTTTGATTTATCCCAAATACAATCTTCTTTTTTTGAACAATCAACTTAGGTTAACATTTATGTACATTAACAAGGATGAAATACCCTTATTGTTTCACAATTTATAACCAATAAAACACTTACAAGTATCAATAGTTTATTCATTCTAAATTATTACAATTAATATATACATCATTAAAATAAGAAATAAAGATACAATTATTTTTTTAAACTTCTAAATTATGATAGTACAATTTCATTCAATTTGTTCGCGATTTATCAATTGTTAATATTTGTTATTTATTTTTATTTAATAATAAACATTTTTTTGTGTGAACATAAAACAGTTATTAACTTTTAGACAATCTTACTTGTATATATCTTGCTTAAAATACTCTTGTTACATATTAACTAAAATGAGTAATTTAATCATAGAAATAGAATAAGAATTTATTATGATTAAATGCTAAAGATTGTTATGTAACAGAACAAATTAAAAATCAATTAAAATAAGTTGAATTTAGTAACTGAAGCTACAAATATTGATGACATATATAATTCTTATATAATATGAAAGTTAAATCATACTTTCAAATTTCTATTTCTGTATTTATATACCCAAGATTTTTCATTCTATATTTGACTAAAATATAAAAACCTATTAATTAAACTGTAATTATGGCTATTAATGTGTAAATCCACGCACTTTTATGAATATTTAAATCTGGAAGGTAAAATGTTAATTCATAAATTCCATTTGAAAATGCATTCGTGCATTAAGTATTAATTTGAACAGTATTACTATGTTTCTTAAAATGGCATTTTAAAGTTTTAGTATTAATAGGATAGGATATAACTTACCCATTGTTAAATGTAACACATGTAGCATTATTATCTTCTTCATTAGTGATTAAAGCATATTCCAAGGATGTAGAATTTAATGATCCTAGCATCAAAATAGGTTCATTCAAGCTGTCATATATGAATTTCTTTATTTAATAGACTCCTATAATATATGTATCTTCATATTGAAATTATTGAAGTAAAAAACCATTTGAGAACAGAGCAGTGGGAATTGGCAACAAATCGCCATAATTAGGGATAAATATACCAATTTCTAAAGCAAAGTTATTATTGTTACCGTTTACCAAATTAAATTGCCCAATACCTTCTCTACCGGTGAGAAACAAGAGTATTTAATCATCTATTATTTGCAATATCAAAATTTAAATACAGAAAGATTACACTTATAAGTAATCAAACTTAAAAATTTTAATTGAGTTATTTACTAAAGAAAACTGTTAACACGAAGCTACAATAGTCTCTATCAAGCACAAATAATATCTATCTAAATTAGAGTTATAGAGAGCGACTGAAAAATCTTAGCAAACTTTACTCATTTTATTCATGCTACCATTTTATGAGGTAAATAAATAGACATATGAATAGAAGTTATTAGAAGAGCCTAAGATAAAATTAAGGTTGCCTATATTGCTAATCTTAATTATTTTAGTGAATCTCATAGAAATTAAAGATATGTTTTAAGTTACAACGTTTCCAACATAGTCAAAAGAAATGCTAAGCCAATATTATGCAGTTTCATTTTGACAGATAGATGATAAGGTTAAATTAAAAGATGTTGATTTTAAGCATCCAGTAAAATTCAAATAAGAATAATCGTAATATGAGAGCTGTTCATTTTTAGAATTAATTGTTTAGATTTATTTGTAATCCTGCAAAACAAAAAATTTGTTATTTATGGCAGTTACTAACGAAAAGTTTTTATTCACAAGAATATTATAGTAACCAAAATTCGTCAAACTGCAAATCTGATTCGAAAAATATTAATCACTAGAACTTTTATTTGAACTATTAGGAAAATCGCAAATGCTTACCTACCTATCAATTATTATACTCATAGGTATTGTGAAAGTTCGATCCACTAAGTTTAAATCATCTAATGACAAATTAATGTTTTTAGAAGCATATGGTTAGAAATAAGTGAAATTTGAGAAGTAAGTCAAGCTTTAATTGGGTGTATATTAAATAGCACTTAAATTTAATAGAGAAGTAACACTATAATTATAAATGATCGATGGGTAAGTGCGTTCAAAGTTTAGAGATTAATTAACAGAAAACTAAAAAAAAACGGTAGCTGATAAGATATTGAACTTATTTTCATAAAACATTGAAACTCCAATTTAATTTGAATATTCTATTTCAAGTGTGCATATCAACTTCGATGATAAATTTAGTTATTAATATAAATTCATATGCTCAGGTTATTATGGATTGTAAACAAACACAGTGTAATTTGAAAATTAAACATAAAAAAACAAGCTATCTGATTGCATTTACATTTAATTATTGTTATGCAAACTCGCCATATTTCTTATAAAAAATGGTTGTTTAAAATTTTGAATACTCCAAACTTAGAAACACAGGTAGCTCCCTTTATTACAATAATAAGACAACACTAATTGTTGATTGACAATATTTATTGATTAAATTTTGAATTAAACATTGATAATTGAAATTGGTGCCGGTTGATTATTTTAACCAATTAAGATAATTATGACATTATTAATGTTATTGATAAATAAGCAAGAGGATAACGATTAAACATTTACAGCTATTTAAATAGGATTGAAGTGCAAATCATTTAATTTAAATAATTATTGAATCAAATTTTAGTTAACAATTACAAGGTTAGTAAAATTCAAAGTCATTATTTAAATTTCTCCGTTTTTAAACAAAGTTATTAAATTATTATATGTCACTAAAAATTCAGAAAACTCTTATTTAAATTTATAATGTGAAGTAAAATTGGAACCATTGAAAGAAACCGGTATTTAGTAGAGGTAGATCTTATCACTGTTACTTAATCCTATAATTAATGTCCCATATATATCATAAGCAACTTATAATGACTGAGCTTGAATGCTAATATTAATAAAATGCATGAGATAATTAAATTCTTTTTAATCTAGCAGTTTAAAGATTTGTATTGATTTGTTTGTAACTCCAATAAAGTAGCTTATTTTATTAGAACTTTGATATACTGTATAATTTGCCAATTTTAAAAATTAGGCTAAGTAATATTGTTCTTCCAATTTGAAATACTCTTTAAATGTTGATTCTATAAATGATCCAAATTATTGATTATTTAAGATTGGGACATATTATAGTAATTTACCTGAATAGGCTGTAAAACCTTATTAATAAGAAAACTCATTTGTAATAATCTTATACTGAGAAAAACTTTATTTGTATATTACATAAACTGATGTATCATTCTAATTTAAAATTGTTATAGACATAAAAATTCTACAATAACCTTTGAATGTTAGGTTTTGAGGTTGAGAATAAATTGTAATATTGTAATTATTTTCTGAAGCTTATTATTCTGTTAAATTAATTGATAAATTGGGTATCGCTAATTAATAAACAGTTATTTATTTGTTAAATATAAATAGATAGCAATCGTAAGGATTAAAAAATATTTAAGAATTACTGTTGATCTCAGTAAAACCAATTGATTCGTCAAAATCCCCTGTTTAATACAATGTTAGACTGTTTTATTATTAAATCAAAAGGAATTCATTATTAAAAAATTGCTAAATCACTTATTGCTAAGGATAAATGTATCCATAATCATATTAAACTAATTAGTTCTAACATCCTTCGATAAACTATTAATACCTTCCTTAAGATTAGATCCATAATTAATCACATTAAGAAAAAGTTTAGTAGTTGTAATAAACATAAAACGTATCAGCTAAATCACCAATAGCATAGTGTAATGTTTCTTCAAAAGTTTAATTCTAAGTAATGATAAACTATGAAATGAATTCTCTGAATAGTAAATATATATAAGGGTTTGTTCTTTAAGGTATACCAAATTGAATAAATTAATTTTAGTAAGATGTTAAATTGTTAAACTGAGATGAGAATAAAGTAAGTATAGAAAAATCTTTGTAATATTAGGCATAAATAAGGAAAGCGTTTGGTTCATTAAAAATACCTTTGATTTCAGATGAATTTGGTTTTTTTGCTTTGAATGAATAAACTATGTCAAAACTAATATTCTTTAGTTTTAATAAATAAAAATTGTCTTCAGTATAACAATCAAGCAAGATGTCAATATCAGCCAACAAAATAACATTATAACATTGATATTTCTTTTCAACATTTACTATCTATCCATACTATTAGATGTTAAGATTTTACCATTCATATAATATGAGTTAATTTAGGTTAGTTATTGCAGCAAAATGAGTTAAATTAGATGATATTGATATAAACTCTTATATTATAGTTTTTATATATACCACATCCTTCTATTTGTGTTATTTCAGTGAAAGCATTTGCTATTGATACATTTGGTATAATTGGATTATAATGATATAAAAGATTTTCTCCCTCAAATAAATTACTCATCGGATACTCCATATACTCTCCAATAGTTGGATACAAATGAATGTTTTAGTATTCCTTTTCGATACATGAAAGCCCTTGAGAAACAATGATAAAATAATAGAAAATCATTTTTATTAATTAATCAAAAGAATTTTATCTTGCAAATGAAGAATCTATTAAAATCATTACCTAACACTTCGCCATAAAAAGAAGATGTACATTTTTTGTTGTTCTTGGTTATTAAAGTCTGATGGAAAGATAAATTAAATTGAACCTCAAAAAAATACATGGAAGTTGGTATTGTTGGTATGAATCAAATTGCTATGTTTTTGGTTATTTTAACAATTTGAAAATGATAGAATTGAGAATTATAGCCAGAACATTCTATAACAACTTAGCCCACTATTATTTGTGCTATTTCATTTTTTGGCAGATATTAGTTTACCCAGAATATAATGATTTATGTCACCCTTTAATTCCTAATGAAAAATTACCCATCAAGAAGAAGTGAAGAATTGTCCTAAAAGTAGAAGTGTGCTGTAAGCACGGTCATTTTTAAAGTGAACGAGAAACACGTTTTAAATAGAGAAGAATGGTTATATTACTATCTAAATATGCATTTCAATATCATAAATCGAAATCAAGGAAGAAGAGTTGAAGTGTATTTTCAATTAAGCAAAATAGAGATGTTATAAATATATATTAGATATATGGCACTTCACTCGGAATATAGGGTTACAATATATTCATTCGTATTTGATAGCTCCAAACTCACTATTAGCAAGTATTTCCAAATAATGATAATAACATGGATACTTTATTATTATAAAATATTAAATATTGTCACAACTACAAATAAAGTAAGAATTTTCATTAACAAATATAGCATTTCCTCCAAATTTTGCAAAAATAGTATTTACTCATATTCTATTAATTCATTATTGATCTAATCAATAACTGCTGCCTAACAATGATTAATATAAAGTATAAACCAAAAGAATTATCAATAAAAATATCTAATTGAAGCCATTTAATTGCCTGATTGATAATGAATTATCATTAATTAAGTTTCAAGGAAAAACTAATTTCAAGTCTACTTAATTATTTAAACACAAGATCTTCAAAAACATGAAAAGATAAATTTCTGGAAGTTTTATTTATTTTATATATAATTCAATCTAATAATACATATAATTGTATACAATATGTAAATTATCTATAATCTATTCGAACCTTTTGATTTTAATCAGTATTTAATTGAGAAATCAATTTAGAAAGAACTAAAACAAAAATTATTTTAAAGGAAGTTGGAATAATCAACCTATGAACTAATTCGGCTAAAATTATAGGGAAAAAAGTTTTGACAAGGGGTAGTAAAATTATTTAATTGATTAAATATTGCATTCAAATTTACAAAAAAAAGGCAGATGTTGGGTTTGCCATATTTTATATAAAAGGAAATGGTTATATATTCAGCATTCTTCCCCATAATTAAAATCTTAATCTTTTTTCCCCATATTATTCTGATTAATTAATTAAATATTAAATTGGTATAAGAATTTAAAACATTTAAGAAAAAGACTAAGAACATAGATCTAAAAAGAAAATAATGGGTGTAAGGATAAGGCTTTATAATCAAGAATTAGGTTTTTGAGATGTTATGTACTAATAGCTACATTCATTTTTAACCCATAAACCATTCTAAAATATTCATCAGAGACTAATAATTATATCTTTTTAATATGTCCTTCATAATATATTTTAATTTCATTTATGCTAAATTGCTCCATTTTAGTTTGATTATAATGTTAAGCAATTCTCTTAATATTATTAATTAATTAAACCTTTTAATCTCAATGATGGTTCATGATTTGGATCTAATGTGAGCACTTCCTCCAAACATTTTAGAGCGGTAGAGTATTCACCATTTAGACTTAAACAATGAGCTAAAATTATTATTGTATTTACCTTTTGCGGATAACGAATAGATATGCTTAGGATTGATGGCTAAGGCTTTGTTGAACAATTTAATAGACAATTAAGATTGACCCATCATTGATAGACAATAGGCTAATGAATAAGTAGAATTTCATTCAATACCCTTTTAAGATAAGCAGTAAACATCAAACTAATTGATTGCTAATGCTTTATTGAACCACAAGCTAGCTTCTTGAAATTAGTTCAACAATGATAAGCATCCTCCTTTGAATACATAAAATATTGTAACCTAAACTAGATAGGGAATAAAAGTGCTTTGGATCAACACTCAAAGATTTATTTAACCATTCAATTGCTTCATGATATTATCCCATCATAATTAAACACATACCTAAATAATAGAATACCTTGTTACTTTTTGATGATAAAGAATATAAGTGGTTTTAATCCACTTCTAGTGCTTAATCGAAATATTTGATAGCCTACTAAGGTAAATTCAAATTCGCTAAACAACCACCTTTTATTTAAATTAATCAACACCTTTATCTGACAATGAATATAAATGTTAAGGCTCTATAGCCAATGCTTTATCGAGCCATTCGATGGCATCCTAATATCTTCCCATCATAGTTAAAGACATTCCTATATTTTCACAACAAAAGCATACCTTTAGTTGCTAAGGCTTCAACATTATTTTAATCGATTTTTAAAACGCTGTCTAGCCATAAAATAGATTCTTAATATTATCCCATTAACGATAAACAACCCCCTTCATTTATTATAATTTTGACCTTTTAAAAGTAATGATGAAAGTCTAAAAGGATCAATAATTATAATTTGATTCAATTCTTGAATAGCATTTTGATATCTGCCCAATTATTTTAAACACTCAGCTATTTGTAAAAGTATTTATAAACCTCTTAATAATAGGAGATCGACATTCAATGGAATCATATTTACTAATTTATTCACTAGTCTTGCTGCACTCTCATACTCCTTTAAACCTTTTAAACATTTGCCTTATAATCTATTTTTCTATAGTTTTACATTTCGAAATCATTGAATAAATATGGTTAGGATCTATATCAAATATTTGTTACAAACATTCAACAGCCTTAGAATATTATCTAAGAAGTCGTAAACTCTCACCTAAAATTATTAACTGTTTTACTCTTTTCATATAATATAGACAGATTATTTGGATTTATTTTTAGGTTTTTGTCGAAATAAATTATGGCTTCAGAATAATTTTAAATCATTTTTAAGCAAATACCTAATACTAAGATTTCCTTCATTACCTAATTGAGATAAAGCATCAATATTTTTTTCATCAACTTTCAATACTGATTTGTAGTTTACAATTGCTTCTGCATAATTGCATCGTATTTGTAAATAGTTTCCTTTCATAAGCAATGACTCAACATTATAGGGTTCTAAATTTAAAACTCTCTCTATTATCTCAGCAGCTTGATCATAGTTTTTCAAAGTCATTAAACAAGAACCTTTATCATTTTTAAAATATACATAGTGAGTTTAGACAATTGATATCTTTTGGATTAAGAATTAAGGCTTTTTCTAAATATATGATCGCTGACTAGCATTTGTTTAAGTTCTGTAGGCAATTGCCTAAATTATTGAATATAATTTTAATACCTTGTAAATACAATGAATAATGATCATTAGGATCTTTTCGCAATGCTTTCTCTAATTAATCGAATGCTTTTTGGTATTCACACAGTTAGAATAAGCATTTCCCTTATAGTATAAGAATTTTATCAAACCTAAATTTTTTAAACACTAGATGTGATCCTCTTCAATTTATAATGCTAATTTGTATGCATTTATTGCTTCCTGATAGGAGCCAATAGATTGTAAACATTCACCTTATTAATGCATGATAATACCTTTAAAGAAAATGCAAAGAAAGTGATTTGATTAAATAGATATTGCCATTGATAAGTATTCAATAGCCTTTCTGTAATCTCCAATGCATTTTAAGCACTCCCCTATGCTCTTATTAATATAATTAAACCTTAAATAAATATGCAATCAAAGTTTTTAGGTTTTGTTCTTAGAGCCCTATTTGAATATATTATAGCATTATTGAATTCCTAGAGTAGTAATAGGCATTTGCCTAAGAATTACTTAATTAATCTATACTTTTGAGTTTTAGTGTATCAAAATGATTTTGATCAAGTTCTAGTGCTTTATCAAGGCACTAAATAGCATCTTTATACTTTTTCATCATCAATAAGCATTTCCCTATATATGTTTATAAAGTACCTTTTATGGACAAAGTACAAACATCATCATAGGAGTTTATTTACAATGCAAATTCTAATATTGAAAGAGCATTTTCATACAAATTCTTAGATATTAAGCAATCGCCTAATTGTTATTGTTTATACCTTTTATTGTCAAAGATGGAACATGTTTTGGATTAATTGATAATGCCAATTCAATACATTCGATGGCTTCATCAAGCTTTTTCAACTTTAATAAACATTAACCTATTTTATGAATGATTAGGCTTAATTACTTTTTGCATCAATCACTTCAAGATTTTTTGCATCTAATCCCATAGCTTTATCGAACCATTCAATTGCCAATTCATATTTCTTATTTAATTTTAGACAGAATCCTAAATGTTTAGTTTACTTGTTACCTTTTTATTTAATACAAAATTAATTTTTGTTATCGATATTTAAAATCTTATCCAACTCTTAAATAGCTTTTTAATATTATTCTAGAAATTTTAGAGCGTGGACTTAAATTAAATTTAGATTTACATTTCTTTAACAAAATTTCAATATTATTTGGTTCTATCGCTAACACCAAATTTAAAGAATCGCATGCTTACTGATACTCTTTCAATTCAAATAAACAATCACCTATTTAATCAAGAATAATCTATACTTTAAATTTTCAAAATCGTGATATTTTTTGGTTAGATCTTAATGACTTTTGAAGCACATTCAAGTGTCAATTTATATTCTTTCTTTTATTATAAGCAAATGCCTTCATTAAGAATCTCAATACATTTATTAGTTAACAACTCAATATTTTTTGAATCAAATCTTAATGCCTGATCAAATTATTGCAATGCCTGGTCAAATTCATTTAGTTTTAGTAGACATATACCTTTGATTCATAAATTTCTTACCTTTATTCAAAAAAATTTCAACATCATTTGGTTAAATTTTCTCTACTTATTTAAATTATTGCAAAGCCTCCTAGTATTTTTCCATTATTGTTAACAAAACACCTAAGAAAATATAATTTTTTACCCTTTTCCTTAAGGAGGTCAATATTTTTTGGTTCGATGCTTAAAGTCTTTTCTAATTGCTGCAGTGCTTAAGGATATTATTTTAATAATTTTAAACATAGGCCTAATTATGTTTTGAGAAAATACATTTATATATCAAGGCCTCAATATTCTTAGGTTCAATAGATAATACAATATCAAGCTATTCAAGTGCTTCTTTCAATTAATTTAGATTTCTTAAACAAATACCTAAATTAAGAGAAGAACTAACTTTTTTTTAGTAACATTTGAATATTTTTAGAATCAATTTTTAATACCAAATTAATTAATTAGCATGCTTATTCATAACTCTCCATCATCATTAAACATTCACCTAAATTAATATATCTAAAACTTTTATTGATTAATATTTCAACATTCTATGGTTAAAGAGCGAGCACTTGATCAAAAAATTACAAAGCCTCAGAATGCTTCTTGAGTTAAATTAAACAATTCCCTATAAATCAACCAGCTTTACTACCTTTATTCTTTAATAAATCTATGTTTTTCTTATCATGCTTTAACGCATTATCAAATACTTTAGAAGCTTGATCAAACTTTTTTTGCATTTGTAAGCAAATTCCTAAATAATAATAATCAATAAACCTTTATTTAATAATACTTCAACATTTATTGGTTAAATTTCTAATGCTCTATCTAAAAATTATACTGCCTTATCAACTTCATTTAGAATCTTTAAACAAAAACCTAAATATAAATGTCTTAAACACCCTTCATCAATAAAACATCAAAATTTTTTGNCTAGAAATTTTAGAGCGTGGACTTAAATTAAATTTAGATTTACATTTCTTTAACAAAATTTCAATATTATTTGGTTCTATCGCTAACACCAAATTTAAAGAATCGCATGCTTACTGATACTCTTTCAATTCAAATAAACAATCACCTATTTAATCAAGAATAATCTATACTTTAAATTTTCAAAATCGTGATATTTTTTGGTTAGATCTTAATGACTTTTGAAGCACATTCAAGTGTCAATTTATATTCTTTCTTTTATTATAAGCAAATGCCTTCATTAAGAATCTCAATACATTTATTAGTTAACAACTCAATATTTTTTGAATCAAATCTTAATGCCTGATCAAATTATTGCAATGCCTGGTCAAATTCATTTAGTTTTAGTAGACATATACCTTTGATTCATAAATTTCTTACCTTTATTCAAAAAAATTTCAACATCATTTGGTTAAATTTTCTCTACTTATTTAAATTATTGCAAAGCCTCCTAGTATTTTTCCATTATTGTTAACAAAACACCTAAGAAAATATAATTTTTTACCCTTTTCCTTAAGGAGGTCAATATTTTTTGGTTCGATGCTTAAAGTCTTTTCTAATTGCTGCAGTGCTTAAGGATATTATTTTAATAATTTTAAACATAGGCCTAATTATGTTTTGAGAAAATACATTTATATATCAAGGCCTCAATATTCTTAGGTTCAATAGATAATACAATATCAAGCTATTCAAGTGCTTCTTTCAATTAATTTAGATTTCTTAAACAAATACCTAAATTAAGAGAAGAACTAACTTTTTTTTAGTAACATTTGAATATTTTTAGAATCAATTTTTAATACCAAATTAATTAATTAGCATGCTTATTCATAACTCTCCATCATCATTAAACATTCACCTAAATTAATATATCTAAAACTTTTATTGATTAATATTTCAACATTCTATGGTTAAAGAGCGAGCACTTGATCAAAAAATTACAAAGCCTCAGAATGCTTCTTGAGTTAAATTAAACAATTCCCTATAAATCAACCAGCTTTACTACCTTTATTCTTTAATAAATCTATGTTTTTCTTATCATGCTTTAACGCATTATCAAATACTTTAGAAGCTTGATCAAACTTTTTTTGCATTTGTAAGCAAATTCCTAAATAATAATAATCAATAAACCTTTATTTAATAATACTTCAACATTTATTGGTTAAATTTCTAATGCTCTATCTAAAAATTATACTGCCTTATCAACTTCATTTAGAATCTTTAAACAAAAACCTAAATATAAATGTCTTAAACACCCTTCATCAATAAAACATCAAAATTTTTTGGTTCTAATTATATGGCTCTATCCAATGCTTTAGAAGCTTGATCATATTTATTTAAGGCCTGTAAACAAATGCCTAAAATAAAACTCTAATTACATTTATTTAGCATCAAGTTCACATTTTCTGGTGAAATTTATAACGCTTTGTCTAAAAGTTCTAAGGCCTAAACATGCTATTTCAACATCTTTAAGCAAATGCCTTAAATATCTATTTATTTTTGATACTTTTATTCAATAATATTTCAATATTCTTAGGTTCCAATTATAAGGCTTAATCTAATGTTTTGCATGCTTGATCATATTTTTCGAGTTCCTATAAACATAAACCTAAAATCAAAAATTAATTACTTTTGTGAAGCAACAGTTTTGTATTTCTATTTTCTATTTAAATCGCCTCGTTTAAGCAATTCAAAGCCCTATCAAGATTGTTCATCATCTTTAAACATAAACCTAAATAATTATATTTAATACTTTTATTGAATAAAAGGTCAATATTCTTAGGTTCTTATTTTAATGCAGTATCTATTAGTTTTAAGGCACTTTAGTACTTTTCCATTTATATTAAACATAAACCTAATACAAAGTTTTTAAGAAATACTTTATTTAAGTATTAATTCTACATTATTTGGTTGTATCATCAATGCCTTTTGGAAACTATCTTAAGCAGCTGAATATTTTTCCAAAGATCTTAAACATTCACCTGATATTTTTCTATCTTACCTTTTTCGCATAAAGTTTCGAAATGCTTTGAATCAATTCTTAAAATATGATCGAAGACGTTAATTGCTTACTAATAATTTGTATTCCTCATTAAGCTTAAACCTAAGCATTTGCTTCAACAACTACCTTTTGTATACAGTTTATCAATCTCATTTATAGAATTGTTGGCCTATTTCATAATTCTTAATTTTATTAATAATATAGAATTTGAAATTTATCATAGAATTACAGACTTATATCAACCTTTGATCATTCTAAAATTTCTATCAACCTTTTTTAGTTTTCAAAAGAAAATGGTTAATAAAAATTATTGAATTCAATACTTTTAATGTATAAAGAAGGAAACTCTTTTGAATTTGCTTCTTATCCTTTAGTATTATCGTTTAATAATTCTTTTGATTGAGACATGTTTTTTATTAAATGTATTATTTTTAAAATCATAATATGTGACATTTGTTACTATTGATCAAACAATATCTCCAAAGCCAATTAGATACCAATTCTTGAGTTAAGATTTATATTATTTCTGTTAAAACATGCTCTAATATTTTGATATCGAAAGAATTTTGCAAAACAGAAATACTTTTTGGCCTCATTATACTCATTACTTTGTGCAGATAATATAATCTAGAGTATTTTTGCTTTATTTTCAAATACAAGTTACTAACATATATTAATTATGTATACAATATTAGGAGTAATAAATGTGTTAATTTTTGTTCAGCTTTTTAATTAATCATTTACTTTGAGAGTTGCTTTAAAGTTTGACAAGCGCAATAACTCAAATTAATTGCTATTTTTTAGTTCCAAATTTTTGTTATTTGTTTTAAAGAGATCTTTTAATATTCATATAAAATTATTTCTAATTTATTTTAAAACGACAATAATCAAAGGGTCTAGGAAGGAGTTAGGTTAGTATTTAATGATATTTGAATTCAGGTGATCTATAATTAAAATGTTAAATTTCGCTGCTCTTAAAGCTTTCAGCCTCTAAATGATTCCAACTTTACTCTTGTTATAGTTAATTTTTTAAATTATTTTAAAGACTACAAGAGCATAAATTCTTTTCAAATATAGAACTTCAAATGATAATGAAATATTGCGAACATAAAGGAAGATTTTTATATATATATTTAGTGTAAAATTATTATTATTTCTATTAGAGATGATAGTAAATACAACATCTAACCCTTTAACCAGATAATGTTTTGAATTTATATTAAAAACGATGATAACAATCGCCAGCAATCTTTAATGCAAGATCGAATCAGATTTGGAGAACTAAGAAATTTCAACTAAAAAAGTGTGCACATAAAAATCAAAGTTAGGAGATCGAACTCAAAAATAAGGATTTATGAAAACAGGAGATAACCTCAATAACCATGATGCGAATTTTGACAATTAATTTTCTATAAACGAAAATGAATAAAATGATTATTTACTTGAAGAACCATTATACAATCATGATAAATCACATTTTAGTAATAAAAGTTTACCTGATAAAGTCTTTGTAAACGTAATTACTTAATTTAATTTCAGGAGTTTGATTAAATTTTACAGATCGAAAAATAAGAGACAAATTAATTTGAGTCTGAGATATAAAATTATAACAATTATGAAGATCATAGCTCGAATAATATTTTATACGTAGAAGGGCATTTCTGGTAATCCAAGGATTAATATTGATTTAAAATAAACATATAATCAAACTTAATTTTCAAAATAAGGAAAACCTTCTGAATTAGTAACATGCAGTTGAGAAATCTATTTTCTATTGGTAAATATTCGTTATCATAATTCAGAAATAGTTTTAAGGAGAATTAACTGTAGTTTAAATTTGCTTCTAGCCCATAGAATAAAATAATGTAAAATTCACAAATATATATTAATATTTAATTTTGTTAAAATCTAGAATTCATTGCTTTCCAAATATTTCCAATCTTTTTTTGAATTTAATCATTAGAATAGCTCTTTAATCCTTAAAATATGAGTTAATTGTTAAAACAATGAAATTTGAACTTACTTCTCAAGGAGTTTTTTGCATTCAATAGTTTTGAAACATATAACGGGCGTATGTCTTGTGCACTACTTTCATGATTTAAATACACTTTAATAATTTTTTTTTTAAAAAATCCAAAATTTCAAGAAAAAGTTACAGTTTGGGTTCCAAAGGAGGTAGCTCTCGTCAGGGCTTTTAGAAATCAACATTCCACCTAGAGAGTAGCTATGATGACTCCGTTACTGCTGAATGTCCTATTAGGACATTTATTGAAAGAGCAATATGGAGGACCCCATTTTTAAATTTTATTCATTGGAGGATCTCGTCCCAAGCATGATGAAACTGAAAGAACCTTATGTTTAGGAGAATGCGGGACTGACAAGAAGGAGAAATCTAATGGTGTCAAAGAACTACTTAGATAAAAAATTTAGTGCCAAGGAATTGTCACAGAGGTCAATGGAAAGTGCGCTAAATACTCTTGAGTAGGGTCTCCACTCATAAAATCATCTAAATTTGGATTGCTAAGGTAGGGGAGGAAAAAAGATTAAAAAAAATTTAATTAGATACCCTTTGGAACAATTAGATTTTATTGGAAAGTGCAATCTGAATTCAAAAGGAAGGTTAAATAAATGTAATCAGAGTTAGTTTAGGCCAAGGCGGTGATACATAGGCGGGGTAAATTCTTGGATAGAGACCTTTGGGTCGTTAATGGTACAAGATGATATGGATATCCTTAATCATGTTTTCTATATGACAGTCAAATATTATTGTTAGGAAAGTTTTATACTTGTAAAGTTCCAAAGAAGATTTAACTGATATAATAAGACTGGTCTGCCTATATTAGTATGGCAAGAGGCAGGAAGAAGCTATTGTATAACAATATTAAGAAGAGAAGGGATAACTCAACTGAGAGCTCAAAGATTAGAAATGGAGAAGCAAAGACTTGTAAAAGAAATTGAGGATGGACACAGAGGTATCCTGTAGCATAAGAAATGCAGATGTCATCAAGTAGGAGAGGGATGAAATTGAAAGAATAGAATAAATCCTAAGCTCCAACCAGCTTATGCTTCATAAACGAATCCATTCATCCTACCTAAGGAAATATTCCCTGACGGTGATCACATTTGTGGGTTAATTCGGCTTGGATTAATACTTGAGACTATTCCTCAAGTTCATTTACTGTTACCTAAGGTTACCCCGGAATGGATGGTTAGACAAATTACAAGATAAGAAGATCCTTTTGATGAACAAGATAAGTAGATAACTCCTAATGTCAAGATCCTTAATGACTCTTGAAGAAAATGACTTGAATCGATTGTCATCCTTGACCAATAATACTATTTGTTTAATGGATATCGCTTATGATGCATCTGACATTGCAATATATAAACAAATGGAAGGAGACAATATTAGATTGAAAACATGAAGAAAAGCCCTAATGATTATGGAGCAGCTGCCATCTATTACAAGGTAACCAATGATCATGATGATCTCAGACAAGTGGTTGACCACTGAATTGACTCATACCTAAGGTAGGAATGATAAGGATCTCCTTTGACTAGTTTATGATATGTCCTTTATGCAAGAAAATCTTCCAATCAACTGAAATATTCAAGCATCCATGTTAATCAAGTGTGAACTTTGACTTTCCAAGAGGCCGTTCACAATGGCACATATTCAACATCGTTATTATTATTATTATTTGTAAAATCTATTCGTTGGATGAAATTCTTTGTCTTTCAAATTTCAAACACCTATAATATATTTTTTTAATTTGTATTTAAATTATAGTTAATTCATATCTTCACAATGTATTAAATGCCATAAAAACCACTTTTATATTACTATTGTTCTTAAATAACAAATTTTTTTCCTCTTAAAACAATAATAATTATATTAACACAAGTCAACAAAGTCATTAAGTTTGTATAAGTCATTTTGAGATTATCATAAAAGTAGAAGAATTTGTGATAGTTTTTAAGTAATTCCAAAGCTTTTTCTGCAATTTAGAATGGACAAATTAAGGATAAATTATCATTCTCAATCGATTTACATAAAAATTTGCTAAACTTTAACATTTTTTCAAATAAATAAGAAATTTTTTATTTCTTAATCTTAAATGAAGCATGAACAAAATATTAATAGAGTTTGAAAGTCACCTTTTAAAATACGAGTTGGTAATCAAATATACGAAATAATTAATCAATTACTTCAAGAAACCCAGTCATTAAGAGACAATATCAAAGCATGAAATTTAAATAAATGAAATATTATTATTATTCTCGCAAGATCAAGAATTTAAATCACTTTCCAAATTAAGTCAAATTTGCCAAGATGGAAATTCAAATTATATAGAATTTCAGTGAAATTACAAATTGGGGATTGATTCTTAGAATCTGAAAAGCAAGCGCAAGGATATAAATATTTTGAAATTTAAAGGCTGAATTTATAAGTATGATTTTTATATGAGAACACTTCTGAGTATCAAACCTTTTTTCAAAACCATAGCGATGGTAATTTCAAGAATTTAGAAAGTAAATCTTAAGTTGAAATTAGGGAAAACTTAATCAAAATTTAAAGAAAGAAATACACATATAAATCAAGGAGGGTTAAAAGAGTTTAAGTTATCAACCGAATTGAATTCATGTTTCTAGTTAATTTTTGAATACAGTCCCTTATCTTTCATTTTTTTAAAGAATAAATATTATTAAATATTGTAAGATAGACACATAAATCCTGATTATCTTTGGTAAAAATTTTGCTTCTCTTTTACTGCATAGGGGAAAAAGGTTTAAAATTCAAGAACTGAGCTAAGGGGTGGATTAGAAATGATAGAATGCCCCCCTAAAACTTACAATTATATTACTTTTTTTTACTGATATTTTGATATTATCAAACAAGTTTTATATTAGATTTATTTTCAGTCACTTTTCTTCATTTGACTGATAATCTAAGAAACCATTTATTATTATAATTTTTAGGCTTATACAATTCAAAATTCTTCCTATTTGTTCCTTAATGATCTCAAAATTGAAATCTATTAATGTCTTTATTTCTACACATAAATTTTTGGATTCTTTTTTAGTTATCAAGAGAATAAGTATGCTAAAAAAAATCTCGTCTACGGAAATAAATTGATCCTATTCCCTAAATAAGGTTAAAAATCAAGTAGAATATATTTTATTTTTTATGTTGAATAATAGGCCAGCCCTGGGGGATTTGCATGACGACCAAAGTCGATGGACAGGAGTGTTTAAAAATATCTTACCAGCTAAAGCTAGACTCACATAAGGGAAATATCATAATATCTTCCAAGCTGATCCTGGCTAAGCCCTCAAATTACTCTTCTAACAGGCAGCGTTTGAATTTT